GGACAACTTCCTGAATATTCAAATTAATTATTAAATTCAATTTGGAAAACTTTCTTTCTGAATATTCATAAAGTTCATAAGTTTGAACTGATTTTGTGAATATTAATGAGAGTCCCGTAGTGTTCTCAATTTTAATCAGGGAAAGTTTGGGTCACGCAATTTTTTTAAGTATTCATGGAAAATGTGCTTTGTTTTATCATGATCGCATGAATTTCGGTCAGGTCCCAACCGAAGTTGTCCGTATTGCTCATTTAATAATATTGCCAAAGTATTGGTTCAAATACCCCTCAGGTTTGTCGAGGTGTATTAGCGAATAAATTATATTCGTCCAAAGTTATAAACAGAATGGCGATATTTTACTGAAAAAGATATGTATTGAGAATTCTGAGCTTTTAACTCTAAGAAAGCAATTAGAAAGTCAGGGAAAGGGTTAGATAAGGGTTAGGGTTCTCTAACTTCCCTTTCTATCTTATCGCGTCCTGAATGCATTTCATAGTTACATTCTGAAATGTGTTGTGTAATGTTTGAACTTGTTGGTCAAAATAAAGCACAAATTCATTTTTATATCTTTCCACCATCTTGCTTTCTTGAAGAGATTTTTGAATAATTTTGTGTTGGCATCTCGCATTTAGTAGTTGACGTTCTTCGGATGTTGTTGTCGGGTCATATTCATAGTCGTAAGACATACGTCTTACGTCTTTTACGTTGTTTCTCATATTGAAGCATGTTTTTTCTTTAGATTAGAAGTAGTTAACATCGTTTTAATTACTATAATAACCCTGTCTCTTTTAAACTCCAAATTTATGTAAAGAGTAAGATGAAATAAATTTCCACGATAAATACTTTATCTAATACTATTGTTTATAATATCGATCTATGTTCGATATCATTTTTGAAAAGTTGAAACGGAATCGGATATAATAGGTTCAGGTCATCATCCCCACATGTCCAGAAACAGTTGAAATTCGACCGTCAGTGAATCTGATGATAAAAATATTTGTTCAGCAAGAGTACCTAGACATGTAATAACTAAGGTATACTTTATCATCCTGTAGGTTAGTCTTAAGGTTAGGGTTAAACCAAACTTATAAATTCTTCCGGGAATCTGACAAATTAACCATATGTAAATCGTCTTGTAATTATTTACCAAACATATTTTGCATATTCTCAAGATAGATTGAAGAGATTTTATAAAATTGGCTGCCCGTATTGTTGCCGTCAGTTTTACTCTCCGAATCGATGCTCGCGGTGAAGAGAAAAAATTGTAATTGGTTGGCCAACAATGAAGGACCCGCTAGAAGAACTCTTCTATTTTAATATAATATTTTGCCATCAGATTCGAATCGTATTGAATTCTTTTTAAGACCCTTAACGCCGTAGTGATCAAACAGAGTCTGGATTCCTTTCCTACATTCAGCATTATACAGTATATAATTCTCTAGTCAGCGAATAGATTGCAATCGGTCCATAGATTTGTTGCTGTGTAAATATATGTGAAATATTGGATCGCATTTGAATGGTAAGATTTTGTAGTAGCTGCAAGATTGAGTATAATTTGCCAGAATATCGATATCGGTAATATCATTAAAGAAACCAGGAGACCCAGTATCAAAATCATCAAATGATTTTCCGACATCAAATGATGATGAAGAATCGTACATTTATCCAGATCTTCCAGTTTCTAACTTATTTAAATATTCTTGGGTTATCTCAATATTAGAAAATCCATCTTCTCGTTCCTTATAAGGAACTGAAATGAACAAATATTTCCCGCTACTTGAATATCAATAAGTGTTTGCTAATATTATGAATATTGATGAGAGATCTCTCGTGTTCTCAATTTCAAATATGACTTGATGGCTTGATATACCTTAGGATTCGCTGTAAATCACCTCGATGGTGGTCTGTCTAGTCGACCACTGAAAATATCGATATTTTCAATGATTTTGAACAGGGTTAGCTCTTACCTGGATAATGGCTGCCTACACTACGTTCTACAGTAATTAACCTTTCCAAAAAACCGCATGTATAGCAATCAGTTAGCAACCTTTCGTAACTTATATCACCCGTGATATAACTTTTTCTAGTTAAAGAAATTATGGGTAATGGAAAAAGTTAGGGTTACTGATTTGTGGACGTTTTCTGTCCTTGGCTCTAATTTCGCACCATATGTCTAAAATATTTTTGAAAGATTGAAAGATCTTTTTTATCTTTTTAAAAATGTTTAAAACTTGAAGATTAGAATGAATTCAAAAAAGACCTTAAGGATTTCCGGTTTAATATTTTTGAGTAGATTGCACATAGGCTGAAAGTTAAAAATTAAGGGTATGAATTTCTCGAATCGATAAACAGAATCCTCACTTAATACCAAATTTTCATAATGAAATTATGAGAAGAGAAGTTGAGCAAGCAAATTCATTGAAAGAGGTCAGGTTAGCCCAAACCCTACTAACATAGGCTAAATAAGAAAAATTTTAAGAAGTAAACAATAAATCCAAGTTTAATTTACTATTCAAGAGATAGTGATATGATATAATGATAATGAAGCTCATTGCAATTCCGTCTTCCGAGCAGTCTGTGTCACGTGCTTAATTTGGTTATCTTGCTCTATAGTACGTATTCATAGCTCTTTCGCTCATCTACAAGAATTTTACATTCAAATAATAGGCATGCGAAGGACATTTTAAAAATGTTTGCCAAAAGACCTTATTACCTCTTATTATCACATCCAAGAAATGAGCACACGTGTGTAGCCATTGTAGTTTGATATCTGCTAGGTTCGTCGGTGGATTACCTTGTTTGACCAGTCTCGTATTATTTTCAAAATATCTCTGCAACACCGTTTGTTTTTGATGTAGGAATGTGTGATTTTGGACAGTCGGTTCAAATAGAAGTCGAGCCATCTCCGAATCCTGTAAGTCTGAGAAACAATATGTAACCACTGGTTTGACCATACGTATCCTGTAGAATACGTCACTTTTTACTAAGTTTTTTGTATCCTATCCCTCTTTAGTAGCGTTGAGGCTTCAATATATTTAGTATGCCCTAATAATATATCTTTATGGAAGAGAGGCAAAGATATTGAAGAGGCAGAATAAGGTTTGAAGTAACATTTTAAAATCCATATTAATAAAACTGTCTTACAGAGAACATACATAAAACAGAAATGCAGTGAAATGCAAAAAGGATTATTATTTAATTAGAATTAGTTCTTGTACACTCCTACGAATTTCCCTTCCATCTGAAGTCTTGACTAGGACGTTCCTAATCTTACTGTCATCCGACTACATCAACTGAAGTAACTCTCTTGTTAGCTTGTTTCTCAAGATGACCTCCCATTGTGCCAATTCATTTCTGGAAATTATATATATTATATTTCTTAATTACAGTTTTTTTGCTTTATAACCAATTTTTAAACAGTTTAGACATCTGTTCAGTTTGGTTAATTTTTCCTTTAGTTCTTTTTACCTATTTGTGATTCGGTAAAGTTACTAACTGCAACAGCAATCATTGGTCGGACCTGGTTTTAACAAACAATTTTATTGCACTCCTTATGTATTCTGCGAGTTTGATTAAAGTATCGCCGTTACTTATATCCAGTTTCATGTTTTCATAAATTCGGTTAACAATTTCCTCGTATTTATCTACCCTGTTAAACTGGCGATCCAATCTCTCTAGCCGATTCAAAACTTCCATCCTTTGATGGAAGCATATTCTTCAATTAGAGTCTTAGCTGATTCACCTAATTGCAACATTAAAGCTTCAAATTAAACATTGCTGTCAACATTCGGGAACTTCTCTGAAAACGTTCGTATTCGACGTCTGAAAACAGCATACTCTATCGGCCTTCCTCTGAATTCGACCAAATAGTTCTTTAATTTCTTCTGGGGATTTACTTCTGCTAAAATTCATACAGCAATTACTGAGGCTTCCTTTAACTTTTAATTTAATTTTTCCGTCCAGTTAAAACATATGAAAACTGTAGAGTACAGATCATTACATTGCACAGAAAATGCCTACATATATTTAACAACCTTGGAAAAACGGCTAACATTTTATTACTGATCAATAGAGGATAATTTTTATATCTGATTGAAAACTCAAAATGATATTAAAAATCTTTCTACGGAATCGCTTTGGTGAAAATTTTTTTTGTCTTACTAGACACAAATAGAACCCTGACTTAGAAAATAGTAACTTAATATTTGTTGAAATACTTTTGCAAATCGAAGCATTTATCCTATCCCTAGAAATATGTAAAAATTTGATAGGCCGTTGTGTATTTTCTTTTTAATAAAAAAAATTCATGTATATTTTTTGATGCAACAAAATCCTTTTTGTGCATAAAAACAATCTTTTTTTTGATACACAATTTTTAGAATTAGCTGTTATATAAGCTTTTGTAAAACAAGTGCCATAAAAAAGCCTACAATTTGTCTTTTAGAAACTCATCAATGTGAAAAAAAAATATTTTGCTCTGATCATATCATAATGTTTAATATGAGAGAACTAAAATATTCGCTAAATAATTTATCTTTAAACATCATATGTTAACATACACACGTTGTTCATATAACTTTCCTTCTAATCGTATTGTAATCAACAATCTTGGTAAATATTGTTTCCCTATTCTAATCAACTTATATCATGATGAAACGCAACAATATAGGACTGCTATTCTCGGGTGTTTTTTTTCCTTTATATACTGACTTAAATTTTAAGAAAGGACACTTATTTTTCCAAGTTCTTTTGTAGACAATATAAATGTATAATTTTCTAAAGAATCCAAGTAAAGTCTAAATGTCTTCATCCCATATTTATTATTAATAATTTTTAACAAAAATCAGCCTTTTGGTAAGTTGTAATTCATTATTTGTCATTGTTTTTAGAAGCATATATCTATCTACAGACAACTGTTCTTTTCTGACTGTTTTTCGTATATCAAATTGATAAATTCGAAATTGCATTAAAACAAATTTGGGGAAAAATTATTTTTTATATTATTCGCTTTCAATTGCTTCAATTTCTGCGATCATCGCCTTGATGCCATTCCACATTTCTTGATAACTTGGCTCAATAGCCGATGGTGACGGATTGAATCCTGGCCCTCTCAATTCCGGCGTGAAGGAATATTTTACATTTCCATGAGCTTTGACATAATCATCTGTTCCTCCAGATGCCGCGTCTGTAAAAAATGTATTATAAATTCTAAAATCGCATTTTTTAAACTATTTACAAATTGTTTCACAGCTGGTTCCTCTGGTCCATACAGTTTGATAAGTGTTTTCAACAGCATCGGCATATGCATTTGCTACCCTAAACTATAAAAACATAAAGTACATACTTTATCAAATGTAAAATAAAATAATAATTACCATATCATCGTGATCATCTGCTCTATAGCATATACCATTTTCGGTGTATCCGTAAGGATGAAGAATCATTTGTGCAGTAGTATGAATAGTATTCCAAGCTACAATTCTAGATCCATATTTTGAAACAGTATCAGCAACGGCTTTTGTTTCCAATTCAGATGCGGCAGCTGATCCTCCGTATGTATCAGAGCATGGATTCGAAGAAGTTCCATCACCTTTCAGTCAGAAAGTTTTGTTAGAAAGTAGAATAAATTTAACGATTAGATAATACATCTCCAGCATATATCATTGTTTCGGTTAAGATCTGTTCCGAGGCAAATTGAGCCGGGATTTGGAGATCTATTCTTACGCCAAAATCGCTAAAAAGAATATTTTTTTGGCTTCAAATCTTTACTTATAATACATATAAAAACATACCTCACTATTCCAGCTGTAGACGTATCCATCAGGGTTTAAAATAATAACGAAATAGAAATCGTATTTGTTCAAAAGACTTATTGAATCGGCGTCGGTTTGTTTTATCATCTAGTGTATATCATAGTTCTCTCTGAATATTTTGAAATTCATTTTTTCAGAAATATATACCATACCGTATCGAAGATTTTCAAATTCGTTGCTGGAGCCAACCATTCACGAGCATGAATTGCTGAGTCAAACCAGTAAATTCTTCTATTTGCGCCGGGTTTTGTTAGCTGTTTGAAGGTAGAGTTTAAAGGATATACGTTTTTTCTATTAAAGTACCTTGAAAAGTCTAATTTCTCTTCTTTCGTGGGTGGTTCCGATAACTTCTATTTCACAATTTGCGCCAGAAGGACAATTATTTCTCTGGTTGTCTAAATACGAATTGATATCTTCAAGAGTATTATAGTCATTAATGTCAAACTGCTTCTTTTCGTCAAGACGTTTGAACATATTTCTTAAATCTCTGTAAGAGTTCTATTAATACAAAAGAGAATAAAAAAAAAACAATTTTCTTACTCTCCAACTTGACTGTGAATAATTTTAAAATCCAAATTGATTTTATGGAGTAGGACTTTTACTCTCAGAAATTCTCTGGGACTTAAAAGCATTACAGCTTCATGATCGACTTTCATAGGAGGAACCAAAAAATCAACCTAGAATAAGAAACTTTCAACATTAGAAATTTAAAGAAATTATAGGCAAACATTTTTTTCTTGAAGATAATTTAACCATTTGGCTTGAGTATCAGTTTTCGCATGAACAGACACTATTTTATATCTGAGGAAATTAAAAAACAAATTATATCATATTTTACTAAAAAACGGAAAAGGTACCCGTCGTAGGATTTCCTTGCAGCCGTGGCTACAGAAATCGTCAAAAAGAAGATAAACAATTTCATTGTGAAACACAAAGTTAATGGAAAATCTTCTACCTTATATATTCTCTTATCAAAAGTTTATAGGTAATTGTGGTAAGCTTATCAGTTAACAAATGGCAATTCACAGCGATTAGATATGTTTCAAATTGGTAATACAGTGTTTTGATACTTTAGTAACTTATGTATTCACACATTTTTGGTAACACATTTATTAAAGATACGTTAAGTATTTTTAATAGTTGAAGAATTTTATTAAAAAACTTGTTTATTTTTAGCACACTGTCGTATTGTTTTTTTGTATATTTCGGCTATATCTTCTTTTAAGTTTTTTTGTATTATTGATTGACAAACTCAATCTTTCAGTCATTTTTTCGAGATGATGAAGTTTTTCTAAAATTATGTCTTTCTCTTTATTTTCCAAAATGGACATGTAATGGTCCACTCTTATCTTTTCCCATTTAACAAGTTCTTCTTCCTTTGGCTTCAAAAATTTAATTCCTATTTATAAAGAAATATAAAAACCTATGTATATCATATATTTAAGCATACTGAAAATTGATCCAATTGTTTTTCTTGATTTTGAAGAACATGCGGATATTTTTAAAAATAAAGACCATAAGTGACTTATAAAAATCAGCGGTGGCGGTAGACGAGGTCGATCATAAAATTCTCTTATTAGCATGTACCTTTGGTATCTCCAAACATTGTCAGTATTTTCATGAATTTCTTGAAAGGTATAACTGTAAAGAAAATAGTAAGGAGAAAACATCTATTTCTTTGTAAATAACAGACCTGAACATAGCAATTATCAAATTTAATATTAAAACATTTGTAAATAAAGTGTAGAATGCTAATAAAACTGGTATGAACCATTGTGCGTGTTCCGTTGGACAAATATTAGTTGTCTGGTTACATTCTTTTCGCTCAATTTCGTCTAGAAAAAATTCGCCGTATATTTGAAAATATGCTTTGTGAAAAACTTTCTTGATAATATCTGCACCCATTTTTGCATTTGGATATAAAATAGACTGTGAGGAAATTCCATAACTGAGTATCACAATAAGTAAAATTATGAGAAACCATGCCAATTCTTTCATCATTTTCAATATCATTATTAATTTGGGACCCAAAATTCTGCTTGGTGTAAAAGTGTGCAAGTATCGTAAATAAAATACAGCTAAACTGGAAGGAAAAAGAATTTGATAGGCACTAAAACAATTCCTGCATTCGTATTTAGCAAAACCCTTCATAATAATACTTGACAAAAAAGTAACTATAGATATTATATCTAATATATTCCAAAAATTATGAATATAAGAAGAAAATTTTTCTTTCTTGGTTCTTCCATCTATTTCATAAAACTGTCGAATTTCTTCGCACAATAGCGTGAATACCCAAAATATCAAAAGATATTCATATAAAGTAAATATTTGGGTCATTTTAGTTAGAGACACAAATGAAAAAAGTAGTAGGAATATAGTATAGCTTATAGAATTAAAAACAAAATTGACTTGAGGACTATTGTAGATGTATTTAGCTTGATTATTTTTTTGAACTTCGTCGAAAGTATCCCATAAAAAATTTGATCTAAAAAAATTACTTGTTAATACTTTTTTTATCATTTTAATATACAACCTTTTTAAAAGATAGATTTTACCTCTCCAAATACGATCTAACAGAGCCTTACATGCACCGTGCGCAATGAAAGTTTTATTGTCAGCTGCCTTTGCTAATGTCAGAAGAGTGGTGTTGTTAAACATTGCTATTTCTCTTACAAGCATAAGTTGCGCTTTTTTAGCGTCATCTAGGTAGCATTCACTTAATAATTCTACAGCTAAACTTCCGAAGAAACTTAAAAAAACTTCAAGTTTTATTAGAAAACGGTATAATCATGTTGTTACCTAGAGTTATTTTCCATTTCTTTTTGTATTTCAGAATCATCGATTTTTAATCCTAACTCTTTAAGAAGAACTTCTGCAATTAGACAAGCTGCTATTGGATTCTGAAATAGACAGGTCTTCAATATTGTTTAACATAGGTGTTATGGGTCAAACCTCCATTTCATCTAAAAATAATAACGCTAATTGTTTTTGATTTTTTATTATGCAATAAACAAACAGTTCTTTAGCTGTATTATTGTAATCAAAGCTATAATACTCTTGTTGACAATGTATGGTCAAGTTTGTAAGTTCTTTAGCAATATTTTCTTCAGTTAGCTTGCCTTTCTGAAAAAGAGTTTAATCAAAAAGCTTATGTAAAGTCATGAAAATTTTTACCAAATTTTTTCCAAAAACATTCCTCGAGATCTGGAAAATTATAAAACTACTGTTAATAATAAGCTGTAAATAATGTATATTATACATTATACATTTCGATACAAAAGGACAACTTCGTCAGAATTAAGTAAATTAGCTAAAATATCATAATTCCTTAAAAAGAAAGAAACAAATTCAGTTCGGCATATTTTTACTGCTTCCATAAAGAGTTTTTGTATTTCTTTGGTATCAATATCGTTATTTAGGATATGTTCTTTAGCTATCTCTAAAACATTCCATGCAAGAGCGAGTCGTAACTGCTGAAGAACATCTTTTGATCCTCCTTTTAACCAAAACTATTTTTATTTAAATCATGTATGTATTGAAGAAACTACCTTTCCGTAGAGATGCTAAAATGGCTTCGTCCAAACTAATAGAATTATGTTCACTATTCATTTCAAACAGAGTTACAAATTTAGTTTTAAATTTTTCTTCAATATCATATTTAACATCATCAGCGTATTCTTGAAAAAAACGCCTGACAGAGTTTTCATATGTAAAAGGAGGTTGGTCTCTGTTAAATAGGAAATAGATTATGTTAATATAAAAAATGTACTATTTAAAACGAACATTTTTTCAAATTTACGATAGGCATAACATAAGACATCTGCTGCTCTTCCGGAGTTTTCAATTATAACGCAGGGTGTTTTATTTTCTATAGCTGACAAACATGTACTAATAGTACCTCTACCTCCTTCTAGAACAACACACACAACAGGAATTTTTTGTGAATCATTTTCGAAATTTCTACTTAAATATTTTTCGGATACAGCTTTTTCTAATTTGGCTCTAAAGTTTATCTCTTCTTTGTACTCGTTGATGTCATTGTCAACTAAAAAGAAATGAGTATGGTTAACATCTAGTTCAATTTCGTCTCCGTTTTTAGATTTTGGGTTATACACAGTCGCATACGAATTGTTAGTTCGCACTAACTGTTCTCTGTTTCTTATTTTAGCCCAAGAGGCAATTCCGATAGTTATCAGTTTCCGTTGTTTCCCATAAGCGGTAGAAAAATCTTTGACAGCTTCTCCAACCAGCTTCATTACACCTGAATTTGTTCCTCCAGTAATAATCCATGCCCTTGTCAATGTAGCGGTTTTCATCAATCCTTTTCCGAAAGACTCTTTTAATGTCTTTCTAATATCGAAATCTTTGGCTCCACCAGTTACTGAAATAATTAAATCAGGAGTTTCTAATTGCCAGTAATCACGCAAAAGAGTAAGTACATTCTTTATATCACAATCTTCAGATAACCGTATATACTAGAAAGTATAATTTTTTAGGAATATATAAATGTATCCAAATCTTACTTTCGATTTTTCGTTTGCTGAATAGTTAATATGTGAAAATTCTCCAAAAGTATCAGTCGTGACCTTTAGGCACCTATTTAGTGAATATTTTTTTTATAAATTTTTTCTGTATATTGAGGAAAAAAACAGCTTTTTCTTACTCGATTTGATAAAAAAAGTTTTTTCTGATGAATTGTTCTTCATCCATCGCTTCAAGATTTTCTAGTTCTTTTAGCTCAAACGATTGTGACGGGTTAGATTTAGTCATCAGTGTTATGTTGTATATGAATTTCGAATTTACAATATTATATTGAGATATTTTGTGATCTTTTCAAATATCTTGGCTAAAAGCCAAAAATTTGGGAATTTTTTACCTGAATATGTTCAATAATGTTGATCTATAATTATGATTTTTTTGCTCTGAATCATGTTATTTTCAAAAAAGTAATGCGCTTCGCTATAGCCAAATGAAAAATGAAAATGAGCAACAGAGCCAGCTGAATGGACAATTGCCATGAAATCTTTTTCACTGCTTTTGTTTTTGTAATATTGTAATGAGTCACAAAATTTTTTTCGTTTACCCTGAATCTATTAATTTATCTAACTTGTAAATTATCCCTAAATAATTGTAATAATTTAGGTCAAATTAAAATATTTTTTTAAGCTGTTAAAAGACTTTGAACAGCAAAAGTCTACCGTAAAACTGCAAAGTAAATTACCTAAAATGAAGTTTTTGTCTTACTTTAACCACTTTAAATGAATTTACAGTCTGTGTATGTAACCAGTCTTTTCCGTTTTAATTTAAAAGTACTCAACAATTGTTCTTTTTGGTAGAAGGTGCTGCTGCTATACGTGGTAAATTATTTTGTTTTCTAGAAAAGATTGATAATTAGTTGCTTTTTTTTGTCATGAAATCACTTTTGGAACTGTCTGTATTAAAATACCTTGAGACTCGAAACTTTGTTCCTCTCTCTGTGCTTTTGGACCGAAAGAACGGGTTAATGTACATTTGTTGCGATAAGTCTTCGCAGGTTACTGATGAGCTTTTTGATTATGTATCAGATGAATTTTACACGAAATTTCGAAACTTTCGAAAAAGGTGCAAGTTCCTTTTGGAAAATGTCGAATTTCCTAATATTGCTAAAGTATTTAAATGCTGGCAATGTTTTTTTATTAAACATTTTTGGCCCCTCATTAAGATGTTAGCGGAAAAACGTTGGTTTTGTGAGATGAATATTATAATGGGTAACGTCTTAGGGAACGAATTACTTATACCAATCTTTGTCCATTTTCTGTGTCAGCCTAACTTGGATATTGTTGATGAAATACTTTCTGACTATGACATAGCAAACAATTTTACCGATGAGTTCTGTTCGGTAATATATTCATGTCTTTTGAAACTAAATCGTCCTGATAAATACTGCTTGATTGATCGACTTAAATGCGTATTTTCTGTTCGTCCAATTGATTTCGATTATGAAAATATTATAACAGACAAAGAAATATCATGGTTTGATTTCTGTTACGTATCTAAAGATGTTGTGAATTGGCGGAATGTGAACACTAGATTGCATTTAACAATGTTGGCTTACAAAAAAGGCAATTACGAAATCTTCATTCATTTAATTCAAAAGAAATTTGTGAAGAAAAAATTTTTTAGAGCAATTACTTTTGATAATTTTATAAGTAGCTCTCCAGAAATCATTGAATATATTTGTCAAGAGTCACCTAGTGTGTTACAAAAGTTTGAAAGTTGGATTGTCTCTAAATTAAATTATGATAGCGTTTCTGTTTTGTTTAATCAGAATTTGCAAAATATGTATTCTGTGAAATGCTTGCTTGAATTTTTTGTTGTGAGAAAGGAACTAGTTGTTAAGTTGCTTTTGTCTTGGATTCGTAATCTTGTTCTGTTAAATGAAAGTTTGACTGGTAATTGTTATATTAATTCTTTGTTTCATGTTGTAAAATGCATGAGCAAATGCTCTATTTCAATTGAAAATGCTGGAAATTTTTTTTGCGAAGTCCTTTTTCAAGAAATATTATTAGAGAATGAAGAAATGATTGCGTTTAGTTTTTTAGCTCTACCGGTATTTTTACAGAATGGCTTCGTTTTTACAGGAAAGATACCTGAAAATTTAGCTAGTAATGGTGAGTAAAATTAATATATGAAATGACAGCTTTGATCAGTTAGTTACCTTTTCTATAGAGTATTACGTAACTGAACTACTGGAAATAATATATTACTGCTCTTCTGCTGAAACGTATTTCCCAGTGAATTTTTTGGACTTTATCATTAATATGCCTAAACCTCGAAGGTTGTCAAACCTGGCAGCTGTTACTGTTCGCCAGTTTATTCGAGGACCTCTGGACGAAAATCTTTGTAAACTTAATATTCCTAGTCGAATTTCAGATTTGATATTACTTAAAACTCATTCTGAGATTGTGGATTTATCTGAAGAATTTCGGTCTTCTGATGAGATAGATTTTCCGCTGTTGTTTAGTGAAAATTATATGGCAGAAGAAATTTTCGATGATCACGAAAACTGCCTTGCTGAGAGCTTAATTGATTTCTAATTGAAATATTTCTTGTATTTAAATAAGATTATGATGCACAAAAGCAGGCTGTTAAAGTAAACAGTGTCATGAAAAAGTCCATTGCCCTTAAAAACCCAATATTGTAAATAATTCGCTTAATACTGATAGAATTTTTTTTGAAGAACTGGAATAGTACTGTAGCAGAGTATTTGGTACTCTTGCATTTCCTATGTTGTGAGATTTTTGCTTCGCTTTTTCATCCTAAATGATAGTAACTCAAAATGTGTTTGTAGTATGTAATTTTATACATACGGATATATTTATTAGAAATTTGCTTTTCCTTTTCTCCATAGTTCGAAGAATATTGATAATTCGTCTCCTGATATCTAAAGGTACTTTTCCTTCGTGCTTTAGCAAAGCTGTAAAACAATGAAAACATCCGGAAGATCGTCCTTCGAAGCCTTCATATAGTATTTTTTCAACGTAGTGAACCAGAGCCTTGAAGCAAATTTATGAAAAGAGTATGGTTACAAATAAATTACTTACCTTCGCTACAGTGCTAATAAGGGAATGTTCACAGTCCTTTTGCAAAAAGTATAATATTTTTTCAAATAGTTTCAACACTCTAAAGTTACGATAAAAAATATCATCCGAAAACAGAAATAAGCAGCTTATACATTCAATATCGCTTTCGTGCCCCATCTAAATTCAATAAATTAGTATTATAATCTTCAAAAACGGCTAAAAATTTTTACTTTTATTAATGGAAAGGTATTTTTTAATTCTGTAAAACTTTGTATTTTGACAAAGAGGCAGCCAAAATACTCAAGCTTGCAATGTTTTTCGAAGAAATATCTAAATTATAAAACTAATTAACCACTTCAGATGTACAAACATATTTATTTACCTTATATCAATCTTTTCAAATCCATTACTTTGAGAAATATCCAAGTATTTCAGATTAGGAAAGCTGCACTCTTTCTGAAACGTCTTATGCGCAGAAGTATTTCGAGATAGGTCCAAAAATTCTAACCTATCTGAAAAGCCTTCAACAGATATTCCCAAATCTGAACGACCAACAGAAATTTTTCTCAACTCTTTAAAATAGCTAAGAATGTTTATGTTATTTACGAAGGTATTAGATAGGCATATGTTTTGAAGTTTTGGATGCAAATCAGATGTCAAACGAAGGTCGTCATTGTTAAAAGTAGAATTTGATACATTTAGAGATATTAGATACGGAAAGTATCGTAAAACAGTCGTTTCTAGTTTTAAAAGGTCATAAATTTCTATTCCATCCTTAGAAATTATTCGTTCTACTTCATCAAATTCAGTTAATCCTAAGCAGTATATAGACTCTGTGTTAATGATTTGATGCCATTTAGAAAAAGCCTTCTTTGCATTCTTAAAGTGAACCCTCTTTAGTTGATGTTCCTTTAAAATGTGAAGGCTATCTTTGAAAGAGATTTTTCCAAAATCAATACGAATATTTTGCAATTGAAACTTCTTTCCGGAAAAAACTTCAAACTTATCAGACATATTTGATCCAAGTGTTTGACTAAAAATTTCGAATAGATTGTCAGATATAGTTCGAGGGAAAAGTATGTCGTGTTCCGAAATATACCAGAATATTTCTCTTGAATAGTCGGAAATTTTTTGGTAGCAGAGATTTTCAAGATTCATCTTAACTTATCCTCTGATTCTGAAAAATAGCTAGTGATATTATTTTAAACAACCTGATTACAAGCACGTGCTCGATGTTTCACAGATACGTGTAATTAAATACTACAAAAAAATTTAGTACTGAAACTGTTTAATATTGTTATATTTTTATATGGATAGCAAACACAGTAAGCCTAATCTAATGTTAAACCTTAAATTGCTTAAAAAGACTATACGGCAGAAAAAATTTTCAATTATCAAAATAGTCGTCTTGCTGAGAGCTCAATTGATTTATAATGTGAAATACTTGTTGTATTGAAATATCATTACAGTGTGCACATAACAAACCAAGTTAAAATGTGAAGAAGTAATTACTCTTGTTATTCGACCTTATGCAGTTTATTGTTTAAATCAGTTACTTCTTTTAAGAAATTTTCACAATCTTGATCATTAGCTTCCCCCATATCTAAGATATCCTCAAAATATGGTTTCAGAACAGAATGATTTTTTGTACTATTTTCTGTCAACATTGTTAAAATGTCGAGACACTCCTGATATTTTTTATCAAGGCAAAAAGCATATGCTTTCATCGCTAAAATTTCCTGTTATAAAAATATGTTCCATTATTTAAGACTGTGACAAGTATTCTAGGTATGATATTTACTGTATCGTCGGGCATTATCTTTAAACCTTCATTAATCAAAAGAAAAGCCTTTTCTGCGTATTTCTCCCTGTTGGTTTCCAACATTGCTTGTGAAAATAATATTATTGGTAAATTTTCATTTTTTCCAATTTTTTTAAATAGATTATATATTTTTAAGGTGAAGTCTCGTAATTCCACAAAATCTCTGTCAAAATACTTTGTGCCACTATATTGAAGCAGGTCTATACTGTTTGGAAATTTCTCAATGCCATACTCAAGGCATAAATTATCTTCTCTCAGACTCTCATCATTTAGATTTTCATAAACTTCATCCATAATAATATAATGATATGCGCGTAACAGTTTGGTCTTCATAACTGGTGCCAAAAAGCGAAAGATTGTCCTAAATTGTTTTTGCTCTTTTAGGTAATATATCATATTCTTATATAACACAAGAAGACCTTTTTCAAAATCATTTCTCTCCTCGTGGACAGCAACTATTAAAGAACATGAAAAGTACTGTATAACAAATAAAAAACCAAATTACTTGTTTCAAGAAATATTTCTTTACTTTCTTCTTTTCTATTCATCAGAAAAAGGCCATGAGCATAGTTTTCTTTTGCCATCATAATCTGATGATGATTTTTATCCGATAAACATTCCTTTAAATTTTTGTAAATTATTTTGCATTCTAATAAAGAATATTAATATTAAATTATACGTTTAAAATCTCGTAACATTTAGCAGAGTAATCAAAGAACATCTGAACATTTTTTCTAGCTAATTCCAGAGTTGCAAGATTCATATACGTTGTACCCACGTCTATACTCTTTTCTCCTAAGTATTTTAGCTTTATATTCAAAGATCTAGATAAAAGAAACCTCTAAGAAAAGATAATTATCAATATACTTTTACTTTGTATAATATTCGTGTGTTTTATCATATTGTTTCAGTCTTCTGTAAATCATTCCAAGGTTGTGATAACAATAGGATATATCAAGTGTTTGTTCTCCAAAAAAATATTCTGTGTATAGCTGTGTAAAATAAAAATGTAACAACAACCAAAATATGCTATATAAATTATCTTTTCACCTCAAGTGCTTGTTTTATTTGACGTTCAGCTTCTAATAAATTGCCAGTACGGAGGTGGACAAGACCTACATTTGAATGAGTTGCAGCGAAGGAATGTTTATTATTAAACCCATTACGATCATCAGCTTTATCAAGTTCTGGATTTTCGGAAAGTTCCTTCTGAACCTTCATAGCTTTCTTGAAGTAATCAAGTGCCTATGTTATAAGAAATGAATAGTTAATATTATTTACCTATGTCGAAAAAAATAACAGTTACCATATCATATTTTTGATCATTCAAGTATACTGTTCCAATTGAATGATAGCTTGCTTGAATCTCTGAGCGGCTTCCAACGGATTTTCTCCACTCTAAAACTTCTTCATGGACTTTTAGGGCCTCAGACTTCCGCATAAGGTCAGATAAGAGGCAACCTAACCGATGTTTGTATAGATATAGCGTGTTTGTCCGCCAATCTTCCGATTTATTTCGACAATGGCTAATAATATTTATTCCTCGCCTTAAGCATACTTCAGCCAGGGTGTAAATTTTGCCTTTGTCAGCTATGTTATAAATTTTATCATAAAAACTAAATATCTGCAGACAAAAAAAAATGTTTAAAGATGATATCATTTTGTCTAAAGAATACTTTGTGAGATATAGTTGACTGGTCTTCTATATAATTTCGTTCATAGAATGAATGTATTTTAGCAGGGTAGCTCAAGATTGTTTCAGAAAAAGTATTTACAATCTTATCCATTGAAAGCAAATTCATATATGATATGATTTCAAATGCATTCTTGCTACGAACAGAAGAGGAATTATATTACTTTCAGTGAAATTTTTATCTTATTAACTTTTCAAAGTGAGAAATAACTTGATCATTACTCAAAACCGTAATTAATTCCTTTTGTTTATTAACTTTCATTAAGAGTTCAGGTAGTTCATTCATAAGAGTTATAGATAGTTTTTCTGATCGCCTGATCTTTTCCTAATAGTAGAATATATTATTGCGAATATTTTACTATCCTGAATTTAATTTCAGCTTACTTGAAAGATATCATAAAAAAAATTAGCCATGTTTTCGATGTGGCCTTTTCGAATTTCTGCAAAGGCCATAAATTCTTTTTCGATAACTATTGATAATTCCCAATGAGCAATTCTAAAATATTGGAAATAGAATATTTGTAGTAAACAAGTAACACATACTGTAGCATTGATTGTCGATTCAGCAAAAATTTTTCAATAGCGTAATAAAACGGAGACCAAATATGCTGTTTTATATTTAAAAAATTTTTCAGATCATTTTCAGAGAAACCATACTTTGAAAGGGTAAGACCGCATAAAGTCTACAATTGGTAAAATAAAAGATTAACATTGTATAACTTGTTTTGAAATATATTAATTTGGTATATTTTACCTTCTCAACAATTTCTGTGCCTGCTTCTGGGTCATTATAATCTCTTTTCAGACGAATAATCATTTTTTCGAACAGTTGACTAATACTGCAGTGTAGATCTTAATTAATAAGAAAACTAATACATTTTTATATATAGAATTTTCTAACTCTTTTGCTGATGTTAAATCATCAATTTTATTATTAATTAGCCGAAATGAGCCAAAAGCACAAAGTTCCTGTTATGTACTAATTTTTATTTCATAATTAAACACAGAGTGTTCCAAAAGCTTACCGAAATTAGAACCTTAAGAAACAGCGGGTTTTGAGTTTGTTCAATATCTACTAATTTTGAGAGCTGTTCTTGAGTCATTTCTTTTGAATTTTCTCTTAATAAGGTCTGTTTCGGAAAATTTAAATGATTCAAGATAGAAAGTTTTGTAAAAATTACCAGACACAACTGTTCTTTTTCATTGCGATCCAAAAGAGGCAAGTTTATTTCAGAATAGCCTCTACTCTTCAGTTCGTCAATATTTTCTTTATCAAGCGATGTTGTGGTGAGGACAAATTTTATATGCTGTTCTTGAACTTTCGGTATCCAATAAAGAGGCTATTTGTTATAAAATATAATGATATTATACATTTAATATACAGTATAAAATATTACACTTAATTACAGTGAAAACTTGATTTGACGATTTTTCGACTTTTTCTAAGCCGTCCAAGACAATTGTACATTCAACTCCCTTTTCTTTCAGTTTTTGCTCGAACTTTCGGAATATTGTTATATGATCTCTGATCTCATTGGTTTCCCGAATAGTTTTCTCTTCTGTAGTAAATTCTAAATCTTTTTTCTTATAGAGTATCTCTGTATTTATTCTCTTCCAAATATCCAAAATACTTGTAGTTTCACTGCCACACCCAATATAATGAGTAATATAAATATGTTCGTCCTGTTTTTTACACTTTAGTTTTTCCCAGCTGGCAATTAAAGCAGATTTTCCTGAGCCTGATTCTCCTGATATCAGAATGTTTGTTTTATTTGTTGATAATTTTTCTAGGACGTCTTGTCGACCAATAAATAACTTTGACCTAGTGGCAGCGTATGCATCATGTTGAGCAAGAGAAAGTTCTCTGTGAGAAAGACTTGTTTCTGTATTCAACATACTTTTAAGGAAGCTCCAAATACAGTCGAACATGAACTCGGCAGCTTCTTTTGGTGATTTGTAAGATTCCATAACACCAATGGTATTATCTTTTGTTTTAATGATATTTTCTTTCAAATTTTCGAGACGAACTTTCGCAGCCTCAGACTCAGAAATGAAGGCTGTCATTTTGGCAGTATTACCGTCTAACTCAGCCTTTTTGTACATTTCATCGTCATAAGACTAAAATTATTTTTTATAGTTATCTGTTGCTAAATGTAAAGAGTATAAATACCTTGTCTCTAAAGCAAATACAAGCTGGCATTTTACCCGGATCATTTAAATGACCTTCCATAAATTCTAGTTCAGTCATACTCCGGTCACGATATTTATCAATCCAAGGGAATTTCTCTTTGGCATTGTCAAAATTTTTTTGAAGAGTTTCATCATATTCTCCATGCCAACCATACCGTTGACCATAGAAACCTACAAAAATATCTGATCTAGCACACTCCCGAAGACAAATATCTATAACTCGAGCAGCCTGGGCACTCTGTGCAGTTATGCCCCACCTCATGTCAACTGCACAAAACTGTAGCCCTTTTGAACTGCACAGGGACTCGATTCTTGGCCAAAATCTCTTAGTAAGTGTTTGCCTTTCTTCTTCCATCCCAGTAAATGGAGAAGAGAAGAAAACTCGGCAAATACCTTCTTCTTTTAGTTTTAGCGCCATGCTAAAAGACTAATGTTTTCATATTTGTTTACGCTTGTGTTCACCCTTGGCAACAGAGCACTGAGCGATGTTACACAGACTACGTCAGTTTACATTATTCTTTATAATTTATTAATTGGAAAGTAATAATTTCAATTGTTTTGTTGGATAAAGTTAACAAAAACACATAAGATTACATTATTAAATTAATTACTTTTTTGATTTTCCTCTGATTTAAGTTTCTTAGTTTCTCTATATGTTGCAACTTGTTGTTCTATAATCTTTAAAAAATCAAAGTTTTATTTCTTAAACAGCTTTATATAATGATCGAACCTTCGAAAACTTTTGACCTGGTAAGGTCATAAAGCAAGATTTGCATTTGTAATACGCTTGCTTTGCTTTAGCTTTCAGCAGACATGTTGTGTTCATTTTTATTATCTAAAGACATAATAAAAGAAATATTTTTAATATGTCTAATTTCTTTCATACCTTTTTTATTGTACCAACAATAGAGGAACATCGTCTTAGAATATACGGCGTAAGATTAATTCGACAGATCTTGTCAAGTACTTCAAAACATAGAGTACAATTGAGATCATCAGTGCTTAAAATATCTTTTAGTTCTCTTTTTATTTCTTTCACAAATCGAAGTTTTTTTCTGCGATCATCAAATCTCAATCGACTTTCGTATTCAACGACGTCTTCTTTGATGCACAAGCTAAAATGTTACCTTTGTAATTTATATTTGTTCTTCGTGATAAAAATTTTTAAATAGTTACAAGTTCGAATTATTAGAATCATTGACATCAGGAATATTTTCTGAAGGATGCTGAAAAATTTTATTTGTTTAACTTCATTTAGCAAAAATATGGATTTTTACACTGACCTCTTCCGGTTGGTGCGTAGCATCGCACGAGTCATTTTCTTGCATATTCAGACTGCTTGATTCAGAAGATAATTCTAAAAATAAGCAAAATATAATTTTGCATTTCTTAAAATTTCATTTAACCTTCATAAAGAGAATCTATCTCATTTTCAATAAGCTCATCATCTGTTTCCGTATTAGCATTCTAAAAATTCATGTGAAAAGACTTAGTCAAACTCATATTAACAAATTCTATGGAATTTTTACATTGATTGTACCATGATCGTCCATGGTGCTCTCCTGTCGTACTCGTTTAGTTGATAGATTATTTCCCATTTTCTCATCAAAGCAGTTTCTAGATAAATATTATATTCAACAGCTAAAACAATGAAATTTTTATTGATACCTTTTAGTTCCGGTTGTGACTGGTTTTAGTGTAGCTTGATCGGGTTTTTTGGCAGAGTTACTTTGAAAAGTATAGCTAGATGTAAAAGTTTTCGTAATGACAAAATAGCAAACCCTTTTTCTTCTGGTGTATATATTTCACAATCCTTCGAAGCTTCTTCTTCATCAGATTTTCTATTCCAAAAATAGAATTGCATAAATATATATCATAATTTAATGTTTGATACAACAGTAAAGGTTTTGCAGCTATGTCAGAAATTTGAGCAGTAGCTTCAGAGTCCTGTTCAATACGACATACGATGTCCGAACTTTCTGATGTGCTGATAACAACATATGGATTAGGAAAATATAGTAAACATATTTTGATTAAACTTTATCAAGCTTATTGTTTCCATATTATTTGGTGTAAATTCGCAACGGCCTCCAACAGAAATTTCTGACCGATTATTGTCAGGAAAATTTCTATAGATATGAAAATTCCGACATTATTTTTAATTCATAACATATAATAATTATTCAATACCGTTTTAAATTTTGCACATTTTGTTGTAAATCCGTGTTTCCAGGAATATTTTCACTCTCTTTATTGCTATCTTTCGTCCTGTATAAAGTTATTAAGTATCATAAGATATAGCATTTATAGTCCTACTTTTGGTCCTGCAAACTTCCAGTTGTCATTACGTTTTGTTCTTTAACGAAGCCCTCAGCGATTTCATCCGTTTTTTGTTGGGAGAACTCGGTCACAATATTTTTTCCCAATATCCTGAAAGATTAGGTATTTAAATATAATGAAAATATAATTAATTATAGACATTTTCTTCGCTGAATTTCTTGTTTGTCTTTTCTCCATCTGATTTTTCCGTGAAATGTCTCCACCAGAACTGCTTTTACAAATTATCAATTAAAAGAGTGAACAATACTTTTCTCTAACAAACCTATTTTTAGTAGTAGTATGTCTCATACTTGACTGATGGTTGCTCCCTTCAGACTTTTTGTTAGCAGTAATAACTTCAATGATACTATTATAACAAATTATAATAATAATAATAACAAATGCAGGATATTCTATTATGTTTTGTAATTTGTATACAAACGTGTCTTCAAGCGAACTCCTTATTTGCATATTTATTGTTTTACACTCTTTTGCATCAAATGCCTTTTTAGACGTTTCAAGGGTTGGACTTGTGTTTTTAATATTTGAATTTAGGTCTTTATCACTCTGGCTTGATTTGTTTACTTTCGAAGGAAATGGATCAGTAGAATTGTTCGTTATCCTTAAAACAAATTTGTAAATAAAAATTTTAGCATAATGAATTAATATACATTTTAGCCTCATTACAATTTCTACTTATTTTTTTTAATTATTTCCTAACTGCATAAGATAGTAATAAAAAAGGTGAAGAATATATATATACAGTATATATATATATATATATATATATATATATATATATAAATACCTCTGTTCAAAGGTTTTCAAATTCATTGTTCTCTTTTTATTATCGTCATGTTGAGATTGCTTTGGACTATTTTCAAGTTTAGCTAATGTTTTCGCCATGGCAGACCTTGTTTTCAAATAAGGCTCTACTTCTATCTCTCTTCTCTTTCCTTTCGGAGATTTTCTCGACTTTTCAAATTTGTTCGTTTTCACTTGCGACTTGGCTATACTCTCCGATACCCTGATTGGAAACTAAGATTTTTAAAGTATTAAATTTTTTAAATTTGAATCTAGACTTTGTAGCGCTTGAATTTCTTCTTCTCAATTGCTCATTCATTTGAAAGGTGACTTTTTTTTCCTTTTCAGTAATTTTTCTGATTATTTTAATAAAGTTATAGCAATAACCTGGCAATCATTAAATAGACTTTTACCTGTTTAATTTTTTTAAACAAGACTTCAATTCAATGGATTCATCAAAATCACACTTTTTAATCCCACTAGGGGAGCTCCTAATATAATATAACATTTTTAAACGAAGGTATGTTACTTGGATATTTTACAGACATTTTACGTTTAGAACTCCTGGTTATTATTTTGTTTTCGTTAATTTGACTTGATGACGATTGTATAAGATCGCTATCTTTTTCGGTTTCTCCAAAACGACTTCTAAATATATTACAGAAATATATACTGAATAGATATAATATTTAAATATTAATATTAATATGATTATACTTCATATTTATTAAAAATGAAGTAACCATTTATTAGTGGTTAAGAGGTAGTAAATGATTACTGCATTTAGTTTGTTAAGGAAGGAGATTTAGCTGAGAGCATGTCTTCAGTTGTTATTAGATTGGAATTTTGAAAAATAAGTTTACTTTCAAAAACCGCCAGTGTAATAAAAAAAGCATAGGCCTGATTAGATATACCGGAGGGTTACTCGTTTTTCCTAATATATATTTGCAACTACCAAACCATTTTTATGGTACAGTATATTGTATGTAAAAACCTGTTCATATTTCGCAGACTTCGTCTATTAATGCTTGGTTTAATACTATTCTTAGTTTCTTTTTGTTTGGAACGATCTTTAACCAGGGCCTTATTTTGTTTCCTGCTAAAGTTAGAATTTTATTTTTATAATTGACAGATTTGTATACTAACGTCTTAAGTCTTTTTCCTTCTGAAAAACCAACTGGTTCAACTACTTCAGATACTATGGTCTTGTCAGGCGCATTATCCTGTAAAAGTAAATTTGATAAATCGACAAGTTTTAAAATACTTCTTAATATTTTTCCAACTTCCTTATTCGCGTGACTTCTGTTTGTTACCTTATCAATTTACAAATAAAAAAATGCAGAAAATTTACTTACTGGTATTGATAACCCCACCTCTTTTGTTTCTAAAACCTGGTAAAATAAAAAACAGTCAAATAGGCCAAGTAATATAAAAATTAAAAATATCATCGATTCTGACATAAATAGAAAAATTATTAAAGTAAACTTACCAGTACTTCCGGATCGTTTTCGATTTCATATAATCCCAAATTAAATTTTTCCATTTCATTCTCCACTGCAAATTGCTCCTTAAATTCAAAATAAGGATAGATATTCTTAACGTGAACGCAACCCCTAAAAGTAGATTCTTTAGTATAAAGAATATGATATGCAAATATCTCGACTTACACTTCATGGGTTCCGTAAAAAAAAACAGGATATTGATATTTGGATGGAGATTTTTTCAACAAAGATGCATCAGCTATCTATAAATAAGAAAATTTCTACTTTTTACAAAAGCTTTTAGATATGCGTTTAACTTACTCTTGCTGGCCAATACAGTAAGCCTTTAGTTTTTGCAAATATTCGATCATGAATATAAAACTTCTTAAACATGGTCTGTAAAAATGTTAGTATTATAATAAGTCTCAATAAAGTTGGTATTTAATAAGCAATTTTTTAATTAGTTTTAATAAAAATTTCAATGATAATTTCTGGTGAGTACTTGAACTCTCCAATTGACATTTGGCCACGTGGTTTTTATTAAATTCAAAAACCCAGACATTCGCAATAATAAACAAAAAAATAACTTATCCAATCTGATAAGTAACTTTTAAGGTATAATTTGTTGTGTAGGATACTTACTAAGTCCTCAAAATAAACCCGAAAATCGGATATAACAAATAAACTTTAGAGTGGAAAGAGATATAAATTGGAAAGGAGGTTCCTAAAATTTAGATTCATATTTTAGTAATTTCAAAAATGGCGGATATTCTAGAAATTAGGATGGTTTCTATAGCAATGGAGATTATACAAATGTTTTTAGAAAGTTTCTAAGATTTTACGAAGCGTCCTTACTAATTTATAGATAATAAAATTGCTATTTAAGTTGATAATCTGCCTATTTGTCGATGAAGTAGTTCAATAATCCGTAAAAGAGAGTTTTTAGCTAACATTTAAAGAATTATTAATTTAATAATTTTAATTAATTTAGCTATTAAATTTAAATGTGGTGATACTTTGAGCTACAAAGAATTACTTTATAATAGCTGTTAAAGAACATATTATCTCTATCCAAATATCAGAATGATATGAAAGGTAGAATAATGATAGAAGTCATAGAAGACTGAAAGATACGAAAAGATATAGATAAATTCAAATTATTAAGATATCTTGAAATTAGTTACGGGATTTCAAAAGACAAATTAATTCTTTATTCTGGACAATATTACATGCAAATCTTAAGATTTTCCTCATAAGCAGATTTAATGAATCCTGTAATTAATCATTTCATTTAATACATTGTTTTTTTTCTACGAGATTAATTTTTAATATCAATTTTCAAAAACTATTCATATTAAAACTGAATGCCAGAACTTTGATAAAGCAGATGTTTTATGGTTCCTTTATCCAATAAATAATATACTTTAAATCTAGTATGGCCTCTTAAGATTCCCTTTTCAAAGCTTTCAATAAGATTGTAAATTGTATTAAAAAATACAAGATAACTTAATTATCCGAAAGATTTGTAACTGAGTTAATCATCAGTCGAGTCCGTTTACTTTTAGAGGAGTGTGTAGTTTTGTAATGAATAACTTTAGGTTCATATGCCATTTCATGACGGCATGTTATAATGGCGGATTGGGGTTGACGCATGCGCGTGTGATAAGATTATTTAACTTTCATCGTAAATGAACAAGATGATCTCAATCATTAACATAAAATATGAAAATATGTATGGAAAACTTCCTCTAAAAGAATATTAAGTTAATAGCTCATTTATTAAATTACTAAAAATATAATAAACTTCTCTTGTGTAGCACTTTATATACTGTATTGTATAAACACTTTAACAATAAATAGATGAGCTCAATAGGTAGTCTTGGGGATTTACTAGGAACCACATATGAAGCTTCATAATAATCTTCGATTGCCTTATAATGAGTTCTTTGTTATTAGAAAGCTCAAGCCTTACGAGGTATTTCAACGTTTGGATCATGGTGTTGTAGAGGTGATCAATCGTTATTATATGCTCAAATATTCGCTTTTTATTAATAATAATTAACCTTGTATTGCTAATATTTTCTAATGAATTTACAAGTAAGTAATTTAAAGCTCAATTGGAAAAAGTACTCTCAAGCCTACTGTACTGTATATTGGAAAAAAGGAGTACAAGCTCAGTTGCATATCTACCCGTGTCACTTGAAAGTGATAAAATTCTATGATTACTGTCATCATTGAATGCAATGACTTCAAAGATAACAATTCATATTCTAGAATTCTTTGGCTTGAAGAAAAGAAAAGAAAAAATAAATAAAGAACATCAAAAATCTAATTCGATATTGAGAAATGGTAGTTTGGCTGCAAAAACGTTTTCAAATGGGACCGAAACAACATTAAATATTCAAACTACTTTAGGCAATTTACAAACAACACTGACAAAGAACTGCAACAAACTTGATGGAATAGAAAAGACATTAAAAGAAATTCATGAAGAAATGGACAATTGTCTTTTGGATGAAAGCAAATTAAAAACTGATCAGCTTCTTTTAAGGAGGGTTTCTAACCATCATAAGGGGACTGAAGAGAGGCCGATTATTTCAACGTTGGCACGCAAAGATAAAATAAATAAAGCCTTGTTGAGGTGCCACAAGGAATTAGATGGTTTGGCCAGAACTCATTTTGATTTGCAACTAAGGTTACAAAAGACAGAGAGTCAGGAAAGGTTGGTGGTGGACGATTTGAATGAATTAGAGTTTAGAATTGACTGTTATACTTAAATCTCTGCATTTGAAATAATAAAAATTTCGAAAAGTACTTATACTTGAAGAAAATTATTAAATTAAACTTCAGTAAATTTAATTTGATTTAGTTAGAATCAATTTAGCGTAGGGAATCATTTATTTGCGTTTGAAACAATCAAAACAAAAAAAAATTTTCACTTTTTCTTTAAAAGAGAAATTGACTTGCTCGCTTTATTTAGATGAATAGGGTCCAATAGCTTTGAAGGCATTCTTTCTTATTCTATCCAGAAGCTGCAGAAATTTCGCATTTTTAGAATATTGAACGATGAATTCACAGTTCGTTACCTGATCTCCTTCTGCAATCTCAATGACATAGCGATCTCCTCGAATGAAAGCTAGCTTAACAAAAAATTTTCCATCGGTTTCTGAAACTATAGATGAAAATTTTTCTAATTCAGCGTCGCTAAACGTTTCTTTTCGAGAGTAGGTGAAGCCTAAATTCCTAATTGGTATAGGAATAGATGATATACAATCATCGTTTGTTGGACATCGCATATCTTTAATATTTATTTCTTCTTCTGTCCCATTATCAATAAACATGACATTGTATATGTTATGTTTGGGACCACTTAAAATGACAGATCGATAAAAGGCCTTAAAATTCTTATTATAAGAAAAAACAACTTCTCCAGCTACCAATCTTCTCCTGACTTGAAAAACTTTCGGATTTTTTTCAAATCTTTTAGTCATACTGCTACTCATTTTACCTATTCTTTCCATTGTTTCAAGATGTATAATTCTCCCTCTAAATAATGATGGAAGTGGATTTTTAGTTAAAATATGCAAGCAGAAATTAGTGCCCTTCTCTAGATGCAATATAGGAATTTGACTATATTTAAATATGTTTTTATGAGGGTCCCCTATATCAACTTCATGTATATCATTCCTCCACGATCCTATTTGACATTCCATCAATTGTGACCTTATATCAGACTCATCTATGAAAACTCGAACTGAATTTTTAGAATCTTTTCTTGATAAATTTTGAATTTTGCATGTTTTACCAATGACCAGGTTCTGTAAGGAAATACAGAAAACTGTCTTATTAAAGTCGTTTTTTTGACAAATATGCTTACCTCAAAAAATTTCTTGTCTTGCAACGTCCAGCTGTCTCCTAGTTTTGGGAAAGCACCAAACAATTCGCAATCAATCATAGCAGGTGGCTTATCCCATACCTCAGGTTGAACATACAGCATTTTATCTATAATTGCTCTTTCATCTGTTTTACCAAGATCAATAAGACGAAGTGAGACTCTAGATACTCCGTAATCTAAAACTCTTGCTCTTTGCCATTTTGATTTATAGTACGCGACAGCCATTTGATCTTTCTCAGGATATATCATAGGAGCTCCTCTTTCAGCAAAATACAGATTACTTTTAAGTATACTTTCATATTCTCCTGCCTTCTCATCAAGTAACAAAGAGAATCGCGAAGGAGATTCAGCAGACATTATTTTACCATAAGATATTCCATCAGGTAAGACATGTTGACGATGTATTTGCTGATGCTTCTTTTCAAAATTTTTACAACGCCCAACTTGAACGCCTATGGTTATTAAAAATTATAAAATTATTAAGTAAATTTTCTTCATCAAGGAACTTATATTACCTCTCATAAGATTATAAAGAATATTATCTGGTTTGGCTGAAAAATAGAGCGCGATAAGAAATGTTTAAAAAAGCTCTTTTTTTAAAAATTGAAACTAACGTATTTTTTTATCGCTGTCCATTTCCTTCGCAACAATTCTATCCTTGTAAATTTGTATGTATCTTACTCTTATAACGTCGTTTTGTTGAAAGTTTTGTAAACGCTCAATTTCTACCTTAATGGAAAGCAAAGGAATTTTAAAAGTACTTTCAGGTAGGAGATCAATTTGACTCGCTCTTTCTTTTGGAATTGTTGCGCATAAATCTAAACAATAGAATCCGTTCTCTTGTTTTTGGGCCCTTAGCCATATTCCATCAATTTTAACAGCAAGCAAGTCTCCATTAAGAAATTCCTTTGTACGGTGACCCATTCGTGTGATTGTAGACTTTATATCTTCATTTACCTTATAAAAAGAATAATAGTTTCGCATGATATAACATTCTTGGCATTTACTGGTTGATGAATTTAGCAAGAAGATATTTTCTTCGTCACAAGCTACTGGTACTCTTATTCTTAAACCCTCAGGTGATTTTTCTATTGAGGCTTTCTCAGAAGGGCTAAATGTTTTGTTTGGGATTGCTCTTTCTGAGCTGATGTGTTGTACATTATCCGACACATACGTGTCACTTTCAATATCTAAACAATAGTCAGTTTCTTCGCACAATTCAAATTTGTTGTTTTGGGTAAAGTGTCCTTTATCAATAAAAATGTAAGACTCTCTTTTTTTGAATGAATGCTTCCCGACAGAATTAGAATTAGCTTGGGAAAATTCGAGTAAATTAATTTGCTTTACTGATTTATAATCAGAAAAATATTCATCTTTAAATTTTGTGTCTAAGTCAATTTCTTTAATCGACTTTAAATCTATTCGACGCACTGGAGTATTTTCCAAGTATAATTCATTTTTTTTATTGTAGCACTTGCTGAAGCCATTATCAGGAAAAGATTTAAATTCTTTAAGACTGATAAATAATTTCTTTTGGGATTTAATATTCCATGTCTTTATATCATCTGTATTTGTTGTCAGACAACTTTTTACAACTTCTGGCGTATCAGTATCATTGAAACAATATATTTCTTCAATGACTCTAGGTCCGATCACTTTTATCCAAACGTCCTTTCCAATAAAAGACTTAATTATCTCTTTCTCTTTTGAGTTGATCGTCCGATTAAATTCGAATTGATATGCTTGAGGGGGAGATAGAGTTAATTTGTTTTCAGGAAGATTTTTGACTTCTGAAATTTTACATGTTGTCCCACGATCAAGAAGATATCCAAGGCCTGAATTTTTCTCTATGACTCTAAACCATCTCTTATTTTTCTCTCTTCTGCCTGCAAGTACTTTCTTGCCAGTATAGTATCCAGTATTATCTAACGATTCTACATAGTCTTCCTGAGACAGCTCACGGTCAATTGATTTAATTAAAGAAGAATTAAATTGAATAAATATCTTGTGAGGATCTTTTGCAAAGGACATCCTCCCTTCAAAATAGCCTCTGATGGGCAGTCTTTGTACTATTTGCTTATCTATAAGCCACTTTGATATTTTTAAGCCAGTGTCAAGGAATTTAATATCTATATAATGTACACCTTCGTAAAAGAAAAGACTTTCAAGTTCAACAGCTGGACTTTTCAAAAGTTTCCTGATAACAGTTGCATACGGAAGTATATAATCAGAGTTCAAACGGAGAGGCTCTATTCCACATAGTTCACATTCAATTGATGTAGGTTTTATCATGGCTAGTTCCTCCGATATTTCAAAAAAACGTGATGTATTTATTGTCTTTCCAACATCAATGAGTCTTACAGCATATTTACCATTGTCCTTCACCTCTTGCACAAGTCCTCTATATAACTGTTTTTTGTGCATGACAATAACGAGTTCCGAGATAATTGGTGAAAATATTCTAATAGGCTTTTCAGGCATTAACGAGCAAATCTTTACGAATTCGTCATTGTTATATATAATAAATAAACAATTTTTCCCTAAAGAAATATCCGTGGGCTAAAAATGTATAAAATTATTGATATCGATTATCATATTTTATAAGTGAAAAGTATTTTATTCGACCTTAATTATCGTAGAACCTCGAAATATTGGATATTCTATCTGATTCTCCAAAAATTTTTTTCGATCTTTTGTAACCTGTGTCAAATAATTGTTTTTTCTATTTGTGTTTAATATGGACAATTTTTTCACCTCTTCTGTGTCTCCATATTCATCATGCCAATCAAGTAAAAAGTTTTCGTCAAATTCCCACTCTTTCTGAGGTTTCTAAAAGTAAAGAAAATTCTTTGAAAGCGTATACAATAAATATAATTGAATTACCTTCTTTTTATCAGCTGGTTTTCCTTCGTTTGGCGTTTCGTCTTCATCAGTCTTAATTAAGAAAAAAACTCATTAAACATATAAAAATAAACTTATCTTTGTACTGATACTTCCGACAAAAAGAAACTCTTTGTAGTTCTGAATAAGATTAGATCTCTTAGTTTATATTTAATTACCTCACTACTGCAGTAGCCAAGAAATTCAAAGAGATCTTCGTCATTTCCAGATTGCTTCTTCCTCTTTCTCTGACGTCGTTTTTTCTTAGGTGCAATCTTTATTACAAACCTCTCTCTTCCTTTCTTGTTCAATAGTAAACCATCGAGTTTTCGACAAACTCTAGGAACCAGATGTTCCTCAACCATTGCAAAACCTATCCGCTTCAAAAACCTATCTCTAGTGATTTTGACTCTCGGTCGGACAGATGCATATTTTTCAAATATGTCCATCATATCATGCTCTCGAAAGTAATGAGGGAAGTTAGTTAAAAAAAGAATGACCTCTTCTTCGCTTTCATCGCTGCTTTCGTCACTTTCGCTGCTGTCTTCAATTGGCAAAGGACAAGCACCATTTTTAGACCTCATCTTTTCTGTATTAATGTTTACGAAATAAATGTTATTTTACTGTATTATAGTAACTAATACTTGCCTAGCATTAACAAATTATGTTGAATATTTGTGAAAGCAATAAAATGGCACGTGTACAGAAAGAAAGTATTCTGATTGGTTGAAAATTTGATGACGCAAAGTTCGTTTTGAAAACTGGTAAAACAAACCGGTTCGCAACGGTTAACTAAACTGAACACGGAATAGGAATCCTCTAATAATCATTATCTCAGTACATGTAAGCCATATTTCTATATATATACTTTATTATTTTTTTATTTTTCGAATTGAATGTTATTCAGGCAACCCATAAGCTTAATAATATGGGAAAAGTTTAGAAATATTATTTAAAGTTAAACTATCAACAAAAAACTGATTACATTTAAAAAGTACATTTTCACTTTTAACGGTTCAGCCATAGTTTCTAACTATATTCATTATAATAACAGTTTAAAATAGCTAAACGAAATTTTTGTAATCATTTTAGCTGTAAAGATACAAATAATAACAAATAATTAACTATCTATAATAATAGAAAAATGGTTTATTCATTTATAGTTATTTTATAATAAGAAGCCACGTAAATTTAACGGAAGCATTTAATTTTATAAAGTGTAACTTTATAAATCTAAATATAAAAGGGAAGTGTCGCTAGACTTTGGAATATAGACTTTTTGGTGAAATTTGAGACGAAGAAATATTGATTATTAATAATTTGTTATTTGTACTATCTGGTAAATGAATATACTATGTTCGCAGGTGACGCTCTGACAATTAGAAGTGCACAGAACAGACATTCAGAAGAAATTCGACCGTAAAATTGTTGCTTATTAAGAAAGTTACAACTATTTGGGTTAATTTTATTGCTTTACTGGTCTGCTCATTCTAGGATAAAATTTTAGTAAGGCTTTATTTCTAGACTTTTGCAGCTAGTTTAAGTGTGTTTTTATAGACAAGTTTGAAGAGTTTCCTGACAGCAAAAATGCTAGTTTATGTTTTTTCTTTTAATATATTATACTACTCACTAATGATTAACTTATTAGTTTAGGATTTTAATTATCAATATTATCAATCTGTATCCACTGAAAGTCATATATACTAGATAATACTTATTAACTTAGTGCTAGTATAATATTCTAATATACTGCATACTCAGTTTCTTTTATTTTAATTTTAATTTACTATGACAATATAAGAAAGTTAAGAAGTAATTTTTTGAAAGACTAGACCTATTGTTCAATAATTTAAAAAAATATTAGGTTTGTTGTTGATGCTGATCCTTTGGTAGCAATTTTATACACCGTCATAACATTAAAATAGTCATTTTTATATGGCATTTTAAGCTAAGAACGATATACTTTTTTTCATTATTATAAAAGTTGATTAATTTTAATTTCTAAAACAGAATAAAGAGTATGTGTAGCGAATTTAACCAGTTTAAGAAACTAGATATTCAGCACGAAACACTAATTGACAACGAAAGTGGAGAATGGAACTGGCCTTTGGAGGGAATTGATGACTTTCCTATGTGTATTGAAAGTGAATCATTAGAGGAAAGGGGGAAGAAGAATAGTACTTCAATAAGCGATACTAAGGATGAATCCACTTTTAGCCCCAAAGATAGAAATAGATATATTGAAAGTTTTATAATTCGGCTAGATATTCAGCTTGAACTATTGAAAGATTCTTTTAGGAGTGATGTGTTAAATGGTCGAAAAGTTTATAAATGCTTGAAATGTTCTTTTTTCAGTGACTTACATCACACTAAGAGGCATGTCCTAAAACATTCTAACATTTATAACTTCCAATGCCGGATCTGCAACAAGAAATTTAAACGTAAAGGTGATACTAAATATCACATAAACTCAATTCATAAAAAATTATTAATACTTTAAACTCTATTGTATAACAATGGAATTGAATCATCTCTTTCATTGAAAACTTTTGTTACTTGTCAAAGTAAAACTTTTTATAACATAATTGATATGTGTTGTTTAATAATGAATTGTTTCATATTGGTAAAATACACTTCTAATATTAAAAAATTAGACAGTTTTTATAAACACTTGAAAACAAAATAGAATTAAGACACCATCAGAACATTTTATGTTTATCAACATTTGAGAAAATTTCAAATCTTATTTTGTGAATTACAACATTAGGACGAATTCAAAGATCTTCCATAAAACAGCATAAATATTAAAAGTTTTTCCCATCAAATACGAACATTTCTAAATCATCCATATGACATTCACGTGACTGTTAACAATATTATCTACTCAAATCGAGTAAGGTTCATAATGTCGATAGAGAATGATGCGTCTTTTGAGTGTGGAAACTCTGTCGTTGGATGTGTATATGAAGAAATAGTTAACTCGAATGAACAATTAAAATTACAAGATGCACATGAAGGACTAGTGCCAATCTTATTGAGTGAAAAAGAAGAGAATGGCGTTAGAGTATACCAATGCTCTAAGTGTAATTATGTCGGCAATATTTGGTCTATAAAGCGACATTTTGCTTGTCACTGGACTGCTCATAACTGGACTTGCGGAATTTGCGAAAAAAATTTTAAGTTGAAGAAAACTCTAAGGCAGCATGAAAAATATTCTCATCAAGGGCCCCTTTATGTTTGCAACATTTGTCATGACGAGTTTTCTACCAAATTTTATTTGCATAGACATGAATTACTCCATCATTCGTCAACAGTTTGAAGGAAGGGTCACAGCTTTAAAAGTTTATTTGAGATTTTCTAACTGTTTGTTATTCTAAAGTAAAAATACTCAATACGTTAAAAAATCCTGCATAACCTAGTAATAAATACCTAATAAGAATGATTCTACATTTGTTTGTTAGAGGTTTTTTATAATTCCCGCTGGAAGACAGTTTGGTACGAAATTGAAGGAATCTTTAAAATTAAATATATACAGTATATATATATACTGTATATATGCAGTATATTATTATATTTATTATTTAATGTTTAATATCATAGACTCATAATTGTTATGAAAAATTGTTAAGAGTCTAGTCTTCTACTCTAAACAATTGTATTTATGAAAGATTCAGCATTTCTAGAGAGATATAATATTGCGTATAAAATCCTACATATATCTATATTCTCTATTAATTGTTATTCAAATAGCCATTTTACAAATGTATTTATAATAACTCATAAACAACATAGACTTTTAAAATAAAGCATAAGCTTCCGCTATCTTACTTCTCTGAAGACTTTGTTACGAGATATCTTGCCTTTTACTTGCCGTTGGATTGATTAAATCCGACATAATAAGAGCGGCTTCAGACCATTCTTCGGCTCTACGAATTGCATAATCCCTGAAAGTCTTTTTCAGAAAAGCACAATTAGCTCTTACCAGCTTGACATGATGCACTGGCTCGAAACGAAACTCTTGAAAGGGAATCTTTAAATGGCGAATATACCAAGGAACCTTTCCTCTTCTAACGGTTTTTACCTGAGATATCCAGCTCGACGGGTTTGAATCTAGATGCTGAGTTCGTCTTTGAGAGCTATTACGTACAGATGATTTAGCTATGCGAACTTTTAATGGAGACTCTTCGTGTGAGGCAGAGTGATTAGGAGTTGACGCACTAACATGTCCCTTACATCTTATATCTTCCAGAAATGCTTCTATATCAAACTGGTCAAGGTTACTAGATATACTTGAAGTGAAGTCATCGACCACGCTTTCATACCATTTTTGATTTACGGGCTGTAGAGACAGTGGCTTCCCCATAGATTTGTGTTTAAGTTGACTTGCCATTTCACTTCTTCAAAATACCAAGTCTAAAATGGAGTTAGTTCGTTATTAAGCGTTAAATTATTAATATGCTAGATTTTTCTTACCGTTTCACAAAATACTCTACTAACTTTACAACCGTGACACAAAAGATAGCACTGCTCAACAATCACGTGTACTTTAATACTTATGTACTGAAATGCATTGAGGCCTATGGTAAGTGTTAATTTAATAGGCCTAATGGATGTTAATTTTTATACTGAAAGTATAAAAAACAAAAATGTCTACTCAATAAGCTATTTATTAGGAGACTAAGAATATTGTTTTTTTTTTAAATAGTAAGCGTTTTCGCATGTTAATTCTTAACAGCATCAAAACAATACTTGGAAGATTTAAATTACTTACTGATCTATCGTAGAAATATATATTTTTGAAGCAAATTGAACATTTCATGGATTATTCTACTTGCCGGTGAACTTTTTACATAATGTTTTAAAACTAATTTGAAATTAAATTAAATTAGTATAAATACAGTGTTTTAAAAAAATTACTTTGTGACAAAATTGATTTAATTTGTTTTTGGATGGGTTGCTTTCTGGCTTTATTAAATTATATTAAATCGTTAGATATTTATGTTAATCAAGTCAGCTAATAATCATTTGTCACTGAACCGTTGATTGAGACTGATTCAAAACCATTGAATATATTATCTAGCTGAAAAATTTAAAAGTAATAAAATTGTCTTTTTAAGCATCTAATATATACCTGATCATCACTATCTAGACTTCTAAGATTATCTTCCTCTTCAACTATTGTCTCCATTTTAAAATTTTCTAACGGAACATCTCCATAAATGTTTTCATTACTTGGCATTTCATCTCGAAATTTGACATTTGAATGTTTAGTTGACGGCTTATAAGATTCATTTAAAACTATTGGATCTTCTACGAAATTATCTGGTTCCCCTAGACTGGATCTTTTCCCCGATTCATTTCCTTGAGATAAGTTATCCGAAGTTTGTGTTTCATTATTTGAATAATTTTTTTGAGGCTTTTTTTCAATGTTCTTTCTATATTAAAAAAGATTTGATTTATAGTAATTAACTATTTGTGAAAAGATATAAATCAAACTTCAAATATGATAATTTCATGAAAAAGAATATGACCAATGAAATTGTAAAAATTACAATAAATAAAGCTCCACATAATCCAATTAGATCTACAAGTAAGACTTAATTAAGTTCAAATTAAATTTTGGCATCTTACATAATCTCTCTGAAGAATTCCCATTTGCTATTTTCAAAACTAATGGAGTAGTACGACTTGTAGAAATTTCTTTGTCTTTCATATTATGAATACATATATAAATATATATATATTTGTCAGTTGTATAAAAATATATTCTTACTAGATCTTTTCGTAGATAATTTAGTTGTTATTATATCTTCAATTTCATTTAAAACTTTAAATTGAGATATACTGTAGTAGAAGACTATTCCTTACCTTTTCGTTCAAATGCAGTTGGAGTAGATATCAACTCTAAAAACATTTAGTATAGCAGAATTAAAAAAATAAGCTGGCAATTTACCTTCGAATGAAGTTTTTATAAAAGTCGATTTGGTGTCTAAAATAAAATACTACAATAAAGACTTGTCAAACTTTTTGTCTTGTTAGAGAAATTAATCTCGGGTCAGATAAATAGAGATTATTATCATTTATTATTGACAATTTTTTTACTCTTTCAACTTCGAAGCTAAAAAGTTTAAATAAAAATTTTCTAACCTGACGTTGTCAATTTATCCTTCTTATCATCTAAATACAAGATTCGTTTAAATTATTAGCTTTTAGATTAAAAAAACAACCCTTAATACTTATGTAGGTACTAGTTTCTTGTGTAATGTAATCTAAGGATCCTAAAAAAAATAAGACACTAGCTTATAAATACTTAAAATATATCATTTATACTTGAATGAGAATATATTGTGGATTCTTTTGTATTTGTAGTCTTTGGCAAACCTGTGATAACATGTTCATTCAATCTGACTAACAATAAATATTGTATATGTGTACGACTTTTTGTTACTTCTTTAGCTAATTTAGAACAAACGACGTAATTCTTAAGGGAACAGTCTTGGGTTATCCATTCCTGACCGGATACTGCCACACAATCGTTTTCGACATCAGGATAGTTAGTTTTCCAGTTAGTGAAGGTAACAGAATTACCTGAAATTGAGTTGAAAATTGACAACTAGATAATGTAAATATTTCTATAACCATCTGATATCCATTCTAAAGCAAAATTTTTCATGTCAATCCAAAACTTGTTTAAAGTTACGAGGGGTACTCGTAATTGTAGAGAAGTCAATTTTGATTCACTCGGTTGAAAAAGACGCCAAGTTTTATGTTTACAATATATTACAGATTCAAACCATGTAAGATTCTTAAAAATTAAATAGATACACACTTGACTTTTAACGTCGAAGAAGGATGTATCAGACGATTGCTCGCAAGCATTCTCTGCAGAAAACATCAATAGGGAGATCACTCAAACATCATTTACTAACCGGATTCGCAAATTGAGTACAACATATTAGCACATGGAATGCCTACAAGTTTTCTGTTAAAGGTTGTCACACAATATTTAGACCTTCCCAAAGTGATTTTATTGAAGTTCCAGCGATCAAAAATTTCAAGACCTAAAATATATCATTATCATGGCCATGTTCAAACATTTAGAAAAAATTATTCTTCAACCATTGTAAGGGTGTCTGTCAGCTGATACCCATTTGTATAACGGAACGAACTTTACACCCAGCCAAAAATTCGTTATATTAAATTTGTATACTTTGTTTAATATTTCTCGACTTCTCGGTTCAAGAAGAGCATATCCGTGAGAACTGCAGTAGGTCGAAGCATTTGAAAAGTTTCCTTCAATGGTCCTTGAGCAAATATCCAAAGAGCTACCCTGTTTACAATCTTCTCCTATTTTGACTTTAATTAGTTCCACAGAAACTAATACAGTAATTTACAAACCTATTGCAATCGAAGAAATTAACAGTAAAATTAAAATATTGTATCGAAACATTTTATGATCAAAAGAAACTAATATGTTGCAATAGTAAAATTTCAATTCAAATCAATATAAAAGAATACGTCAATGCAACGGGTCTGCTCTATTTCTTCCCTATGCTACTCATCTCAATAAATTTTTTTTTAATTTTTGATATTATTACTTTGATATGAAAGACTGGCTAAGTTTTGAATCCTTTCTTGTCAAAAAATAGCTGATAAACTGATCGAAAACGTCATTACTACTGACCTATAATTTTAAAATGAACAGCATTTACATTTTATCATGACAAAAAATATCTCTCTTGTATTTTCAATTATTATATTTTAAGTTATAAGCTATCATTTATAACTAATAGTTTTGACTATAACTTCTTAATATAAATTTCTATTCAGTTATTTGTTCTAAACAAGGAGTATCTGTCAGAAATTATAACTGAAAATCAAAGTTCCAAAAAAGTCTATATTTAAAAATAAACAACATTCTGCTAACGATTTTCTTATTGTGTACATAGAGTTATTTATATAATAAAAAATTAATTTAAAATTTTTTTTCTATTTAAAGGTTTCAGATGAGAAGAAAACACTTCAAGAGTAAATTGGAAGGCTTGTGGGGTAATAACGATATTCAAGTTTATGGACATCGGAAGTAATCAGAATGATATTCGACCGATTCATTTGTGATTACTTTTTGAAAAAAATGTTAAATAAAGGGACTACCATTTATATTCTCTATTAAATCAGGCGCAAAATGAACGATAATAATCTCTTTGTTTTAAACCAGATAATTTAGTTGTATCGTTTAATGAATACAGTATTCACTCAGTGCATATATAGCAATATATTATCAATGTGCGAAAGCTTTAGTATAAATTATTCTGTGTATGGTATGTACATATAGTATACACGAGCATTTTTACACATGCATAATACAATCAGACGTTCAGATATCTGTTGACATTGCATAGATTTTAAATATTCTCAAACCACACAGGAAAGCACCAATTACTTATTTGAACAGTTCGCCTTTGCAGAAAACGTAAGCTAAGTTAATGTCACACGCGTTATATCTATAAATATTATCGTGATGACTAGCTAGATTGTATATATAAATATCTATATACAATATAGATAAAATAACACACATGATGTATAAACATACTGTATGTTATTGATATATCAATTAACGTTCATCGTTACCTAGCAATAGCTTTAGGTATTTCAGTTTTTTCTTGAACATTTTCTTCTTTAGATGTACTACATGGCGTTGGTGACGTTAATTGAGATTTAGGCAATAAAAGGTTAAATGGATGAAGAGGGTCGGTGGATGGGTTGAAATATGGTGAAAAATTGGAACTTTGAGCAGCGGCACCAGGCCAAAGGGGGAAATATGATAAGGAGTCTAATGCCGCATGGCGAAATCCTAAAGGATATCCATACAAGTAAGGTGCTGCCATGAAAGGCGTTGTATGATGGGGTAGCACAGTCACATTCGGGGCTGCTGAAGGGCTAGTAGTTGACGGTGAGGCTGTCTGCCTGATTGTCGAAGCACATTTTGTATTTGTAGGTGGATTTGCTGTAAGGGACGGTGAAGGAGAGTTTGTAGTTGGAGGAGTAGAATTACTCTTTCTTCTCTTTTCTACTTCCTCAGTGATAGACGTATCGCTATCGTTGTTCCTGCTTGTAGATTCTCCTTCAATGTCCATTAGATGGCGCTTTGGTGAAGGTGGCCCGTCTATATTGTTCTCATCTTCCTCGTCATCATCATCAACACAAATTTCGACGTCTGTTTCTTCTACAGAATTCAATGACTGATTTTGATTGTGTAAAAGGCGCCTATGGCAAAAAAAAAAGATCAGTCAATTTATGTTTAAGAGAAAATGCTGGTAAATTGCTGTGAGAAATTTTTAGTCGCCAAATGTCCGAACATCTGGTACATGTAAGAGCGGCGAGCATTTTCATGACTCAGTCAGCGTTTGACATTTACTTAGCAAGTTTATGCAGTGTCAAGTTGGCGCCATAGTGCTGCTGGTTTAGAAAAAAGGGTAAATTAATAAACTCACTTTTTTTCTCTCTTTCCTCCGCCACTGTCTCGAAACCCTTTTGCAAACGGGTTATGATCAATCTTCAATTGTGTAATCTAAAATGAGGGATTTTATTATTTGATAATATTTAATATTAATGAATATACTGTAGATGCTATGTTTATGCAATATAAATGTACTTGCAAAGAGAAACGCCAGCATTATTTAACTATGGTCAGTGTCAATATAAGTGACGTCATTATACGATATTGACGCTTAGTTGCATACTTCCTATGTTTATGTGAAACAAGAGTTTCGCTAGATTATACGCTTTGCGACATAGCAGCTTCCTTACTTTGACTTCCCTTATCTTATCAGAAGCACAACGATTTGCCAAGTTTATGCATTACACTAATTATACATTTCACTCACCTTTTCGTTCTGATAAGCAGTTACAGCGATGAATTCGGTCTCTTTAAAAACAAACGTTCGAAATGCGGCGTAGGGTAATTTCAGAATATCATTCGCCCGCACAAGATGAAATCTCGGTTGATATTTGTGCATAGAATTCAGGATAGTCTGTTGATAGTCAATTGATAAATTAGAAAGCAAATAAAAGAATATTGTTGACTTATTTTCACAAAAATTAATGTAGAATTAGCGGATTTGCAATAAACTTTCTAAAATATAGATTACATAAATGTTTTATAATATATCTACATTTTCCGTGCATACAGTATTTATATAAATAATACATAAAATGCAGAGCGATAATCTTGTCGAACAACTCGACAGACTGGCGCCAGATAAGACGTTTGTGTGCGAAAGAATTAGAAATTAAATATATACACTAACGAATCCATGCTTATCCGATATGTTATTCGTGAGTTTAAGCTTGTGAAAGGAAACCAATTTCTGCATCCATTGTTCTCCTGTGGCCGGGGAGTCTGGGTGAATATACATCCGCTTGGGCATTTCTGGGTCAGCTTTACCAGCAACCATCCATCGAGAGTTATGAAATTTATATCTGCAGTCGTCAACAGCAACAATATCCATCAGCAAAATGTATTTAGCTCGTTTGTCAAGGCCTGAGACTTTTACTCGAAATGGAGGGAACATTCTCCTGTATGGGAAAATTTGTAACATGTACATATAATTAGAAATATACAAAAAAGTATACGAGTTGGCAATATTCACTAATGATCGTATCTTGCGGGCACCAGAGCCTTTTAAGTTTACAAACGGTGCCAAAGATGCTTAAGATGGCGGTGATTGTTTGCTAGATAAAATACCCCAGTCTCGCGTGTAAGATGGAAAAGAAAGTAGGCGTGATAAAAAGTTATGTCATTTTGTTGCCAATCACTCCAGGAATCTCGTTTACTTTAGCTGCTTCATTCTTTTGAAGTCACATGGTATGGGTCACGTGATTTATAGATGGTTAGCGCGGCCACCAATGGCGAATATACACGGCTCGAATTTCACACTCAACTGCTAGTCATGCCACACTACTATATAAATCGCTAACTCGTAGAAAAGACTCCTGCTGTTTACCAGCAAATCGCTTTCCGATATCTTTCATCATTTGCCGCCAATTAATAGGTATATTTTTAGGCACCAAACATCTTCATAAATCGTACACTTATATTATTCAGAGCCGGTTCTTAACTTATAATACCGAAGCAATTTGAGTATTAATACTTTCAATATAATTAATATATAATTAGTTTCTCACTTAGTATTGACTTTCAATGATATTTAATAAGATGCTAGTGCAATGCAATTTCTTGTGATTTTTTTAAATATTATCTCTTAAAAGTTTCTTAAGTTCAAATGCAAAGAAATAAAGTTGCTTAAAATGAACAAAAATGCTGTTGAAATGAATCCAGGTCAACATGGCGGTTATACTTGCCATGTTTTCAGGTAACCTCAATTCTCTCACCAATTATTTTGAAATTTATAATGAAAATATTTAAATGTAGCCTTAAGTGATGCAATAAGCCGATTCCTCAAAGACTGACTAAGAGATAACTACATAATAATAATGCAATTTTATACTTTAGTAACTATTTCTTAAAGAAAACTGAAACAAATATTTTAAAATTGTTACTCAAGACATCGTTAATATGCAGCAGTTTGAGTAATGAATACTTATTATTTTCAATTTCTTACTTAATTATTCGAAAAGACATTGTATTCAAAATTTGAAATACGTTTAACTATCAATTTTTTGTACTGTTTCTAATTATAATTAAGCGTCTTTCTCGACATGAATTCGATTAGTTAAAGGTCACTTAAAGGTGAAAAGGACAATAGTGAAAACAAACAGAAGGCTCTGACAGCAAGAGGCGGAACCGATATCATCAATTACTATGCGGCAGGTGTGCTAAAATTCGTCCCCTGCACGCGCCCTCAATTCTTGTAATAAGCATCTATATGCATATATTTATATCGCATATTTATATACATACATATGAATATTTATATCGGCAGTTGATTCGCATTCTACCATGGGTACTTAACCTATATTTTTCGGTTACATGCACCGATTCTGGATACTTGCATGCTGTTCACATTACTTTACGTTAAAGTGATTTATTTCCACCACATAAGCTGTTCTTAGAGTGAAAAAAGTCAAACAAGTTGTACATCAAGAGTAACAAATAAATTATTCTAAAAGTCAAGAATAGTTAATTATGTTGAAAAAATTAACCTTACATCAATAACTATATTCAATTGTTTTTGTTTTCAAAAGCTGCCATTTAAAAAATATCCCTCATCTATAATAAATATTGAACAATTACTAGCTCTATTTACTTTAAAAATTGCACCGCATGTATGTTTTCTAAAATTTATATATCTACCTTTACCTCTATATCATATAAAGTATTATATGAAACATTAAAAAGAGTTGCTCTATATGAAATTATAGCTAATCTAGGAATAAAGAATTTGGGATTGCTAGAAAACCATTTTTTACACGGGATCTGTGCTGTAATATTATAATGATTGACAAGGCAGGTGATTTTTAAACGCAGTGAGATTCCTCTGTATATTTATCTGAAATACCTCTAACATTCTCTTTTTATGTTAAGATAAGATCGCAAGACAACTAGACGCCTTCGGTGAATAACATTTAGTTGAATATTTTTTCTTTTAATTGTTATTCGAACGAGACTGTGTTTGTGAGTACCTTAAAGGAGACGCTAACGTTTCTTTTCTTTGAGGTAGGACAAAATTTCACATTAAGCATTTGTTAGTCGATTTTTTGTGTTAATACGTTTGAAGGTGCTTAAAACTACTTAAATGTCGATTCTTTACACAAATATCCTACAGGCTACTCAAATAAAACTGATATATCGATTAAAATAAAATACGAGAGGGTACAAACCATCAAATAATAGAGATGCTCAGACTGTCTATAACTGGTTAATTGACAAGTCTTGATCATCCACTCGTTAAATCAACTCCCTCAATTAATTTTTTTAATGGTTCATAAAAAACGAGAATAAAAGGCTTTTGGAAAATCTTCGGCGTACAAATTTCGTTGTACAAGAGTGTGATATTTATTTTTCAAATTGATGCAAACGTAATTGTGCCCCCATACCATTTCATTGTCAAGCATATATCTGTATATGAAACATGCATTGCTAAATTACTACAATGCTTTTTGCCTCTTCAATAACTAACTGTTATAATGAATCGATATTGACAATGCAACACATAATCAATATATAAGGCGCCAGTCTGGCGCCATTCGTTGGTGCAGCTGGTGCTCAAAGTCATCTATTGTTTTTATATGTAAAAAAATATGTGTACGTATTTGTATTAGATTTTATAAAGGAAAGTCCGAGTCTAAATCTCACAACTAATTTCAATTAAAAGATAATTACTAAATAACGCCTTATAGTTAGAACAGCAGGTCATCAAATCGGAAAATGCCTACTGAAAATGTTTAAAACCTACAAGTATACATATTAATTACCTATTTGTAATAAATTAATGATAAATTGATTTACTCAGGTCGGTTTAGTTTTGTGTATGTTAATTCATGTCAACCGTTTTTATTCACATACACATACCGAATTTTAACTCTTATAATGCGTCGACAGTAATCCTCTGTAAATATATGTCTTGGCTCGCTTTCTAAAGTAATGACGGTATAATTCAACTTGAAAATTACACAGAATGACAACACTCGTAGGCGCCTAATGCACTTATCAAGGCAGACGCGATGTCCTATTACGGCTATATAAAATATCATGCCTACATATATTTTATATATACATATTAATCTACTTAAAAGGTATCTATTTTCAAAGCTGACCTTCCAGATTTTGTAATAACCATTTCAGTACCCAGATCATGAAATCTGTCCCATAAATCTTTTGCTTCCAAATCAACTTTAGGGTCATCTTGGACATCCGTTTCCGTAGAAGGTGTAGAGTCCGCTGTTGTTAATTGAGAGGCAGCTTGTAAATTGTTGGATTGCGGAAGGATTTCACCATTGGGAGAAGAACTGAATGGTTGTAATTTGGGCAAGCAGGCAGCAGCAGCAGCAGCAACAGACAAGTGCTGAGGTAGGTTAAAGTAGTGAGCATTCTGTTGAGAAGTAGCAGCAAGTAGGGAACTAACACTAAAGTCTTGTCTAATGGGGGTCGAACTCGCCAGTATAAAGGGATTATATGCCATCAAGCTCTACTCACTGCTCTGTAGCACACAAGGCACAACCACAAACACACTTATTCACTGACTGCACTAGCGTTCGACACCTCTCGCGGCGAACGGCGCGTGATAACTTAGTTGATTGGTCAGTCAAAAAGGTAACAACCAATGAGCATTAAGAAAGTAGGCGGAGCGCTTTTACAGTTGAGCCTCTGAAGAAACGCTTGTCATATCTTTACAAATAAGGGGGGCAAAGTAAAATCATCTAGAATTTAGCTAAGGGAAAGAGATGTAAAAAAGGCCCGATCTTGGATATATCTGTAAACTACTGACATTTTCAAACTCTTTCTTCTTTTCTGTTTTCTATTTGTGGCGTGGCGCCAAAAGGCTTCATCGACAGACCGGCGCCAGATAGAAGTTGCGCGAAAAGGGTGTTGTGTAGGCGCCAAATGACAGGATCTGTGGCCTAGCGCATTGGTGCAGACTTCTCGCCTCAGGTGCGTACTATGCAACTGCGGGCGCGACAGCTAAGTAGAGTGGCGCCAGCCTGGCGCCTTTGCACAATGAAATGCCCGAGCATAGAGAAACAAAGCTTCATGCATATTAATGTACATAGTAAAATGGTAAAATACAGTTTTACAGACTGTACTATATGTGTTTATTTTTTATCTTATACTAAATTATGTTCTGCACATGGTTACGAGATAATATATTACAGCCAGAGCAGTTCTTTCTTTATCCTTTCTTTCAGTATTACCCAACTATATGCTCAGTCTCTTTTCTGCCAACACTCTTATGACCATCGGTCAAAACCTCATCACTTGTCAGCAAACGCCAACTCGCCAATGATTGACGCCATTTGTTTTGGCACAATTTTATTCTAATCTCTTCGCCATGCAGCTTATCTGCCCACTTAGACAGGCGGACGAGCTATTAAGCATAAATATACAGCTTATCGCAAATTCTATAAAGCATCGATAACTTTTATCATCAATTCTTTAGCCATATTTATCGACTTTTAACACGTTGAGAAGTAGAAAAAAAGGGCCGCGGCGCCGATAATGACGGTCTATTGTCGCCACTACACAGTCGATTACGTCAGTTTCATCGAATATATTGTTGTTATTAGTAATGGTAGTTGAAGTCTTACATGTACATATTTAGACCTATAGGCGAAGACAGCGTCACTTTGTAGTCGTTTGTCGATGTCCTGGGGCAGTATTTTCCTCGATTTATTTCACTTTGCTACTTCGGCTCTTATTTAATATTCTTGCTTGCGCTAAAATCTATTACTTGCAAATATATACAAATTATATGCAATTTGTATACACCCTTCATATAAAATTATATGCCAGTACATATTTTTTTAGAATGAGAGTTTAGAAATTGAGCTATAAATGTATATTGAATGTGAAGTATATAACGTAATATATATTAGTAAACATGTATATATATAAATTATATATGTTATTATATATATATATATATATATATACTAGCAGGCACGTGCATTAGTTGATTTACTTTAGGAATAAATCTTTCAGCACCACCTATCGAGTTCCTTCGTGTTTTGCAGATCGTAATCATTGAAATAATAAGCGAACGCAAATTGAGCAGACCGTCTAAATGACTCGCTTGTCATTCGATGGGCGTTAATGAACGGTCTGTACACGTCGCGTCAATTGTTTTGTTTGCTTTGTTTTTCATTCAATTCGTAGTAGCTGAGTAGCAGACGGACAGGATTTAGTCACCTGTTTGACTAAGAATTAAAGAGAAAACTGTCGATTGTTCTGAACTTCCGATTCGTTATATGCTTAGGGATAGTAGTCAATTACAAAAAAGTCGCTCTAATGTTGAACTTGGCGCGCAAATCGGCTTTGTAAGTGCTCGCGAAATGTGTCACGGTAATGTCAAATTTAGTATGAACTTTAGAATGCTGGTTAGAGAGCGCGACGCTCCCTTGTAAGTAGGTTACAATTCATTCTAGTAGATGGCGCTTTTTGAAAGAGAGGAGATCCCTGGTGGATTAGATAAGTTATTACTGCTTTAGACTAAACGTGTATTACGAGGTTGGTTGAAGTCTCAAAGACGCAGTTGGTGTCCGTTGACGAGGCGATTGTCTGATTTTATACTTCTGTCCATTTTCTATTTCTTTCTCCTTTTCGTCTTGTGTCTGCCTGATATAAGCACCCAATATCAGTGTTTGTGTGACTCGCTGGCGATTAGGTAAGACACTTGAGAAGTACCCATTGTTCTCTTTACCCTTAGTACAGAAGGCAGGAGATTTAGTTATTGCGGATAACGAGCACCATGGTGTTAGTAACCGCATTTAGACGACGCATCGGTACTTGACCGGGCAAAGCTCCGAAAAGCTTTGATCTCTACACTTTCCCTACCACTCATGCTGTAATGATGAGCATGATGCCAACGGTGCCTTAATGAGGGTGTGACGTGACGTAGTCAACCCGGTAGAGTGAAGCTTGGCCAAACAGCTTCAAAAGGAATCTGAAAGTCTCTTGGAAGGGAAAAGAAGAGAGTTTTTAGCTTGTTATCTGTGTCGCTACATTCTGAGAGTAATGGCTGGCTAGTGGTAGTTTTTGCTGTAACATTTCAAATACTAATGCGCAATTTTATACATGGTTGTAATTGCTGATAATTTTGCAACGTCATTCACAGTGTTCTAAAAACAAAATGTGTTATTTTATATTTACTAAATAATTAAAAACTATAGATTCCATAAAAAATTCATTAAAATGGATAAATAGGAGAAAATTTCTTCACAGAGCTTTAATAAAATTTCGTACATCAAATTTAAATGAAAAACTTTGCTAATAAATTATCATTAGATACTTCAGAACAAATGCAACAATCTCCTTACAAAGATGCATGGTATTTATTTCGCTTACTATAGCGAGTGAAAAAATCGTTGCATGCGCCCGCGCCTTTTCACGAAATCCTTTGAGCCGATACAGGTGGTACGCTCAATCCGCCTCGACTCTTTAACGCTTTGATCACGGAACAAGAGAAAACTGCAAAACTGCAACGCGCCACTCGCATTGATTTTCCTTAAGCGCTTTTCTTTATATACTTTTTTCTTTCCCTCCTCCCCTTTCTTTGTATCTATCCCTGTGCATAAACAAACACAGAATAAACGCCGATGGGAAAATTAATGTGACGAAGAAAATGTATATAGTCTATGGCAAGTTAATTACATGCTGCTTTATACACGTGCGCAAAGTAGTAACGTAATACATCATCGTCAGACTTTTCTTAATGGATAGTTCCCAAGTGCGACGTCCACCCGCACTGTCATTGTAAAGTCCTCTGTTTGCCCAATGTTTGTACGTTCTGGTGAGTATATATACATCAAGTAAAACTTTCCTACTCATTTTCTAGAATAAAAGAGTATATGTTTCCTGCCTTTGTTGTATGTAAACAAAGGCGAACGCCCACGCGGATCATCTCACCTGTTTTACGAACTGTCAAACATGACGGCTCCTCCCACCTCTTCGTTCGAGATTGCTTAATGAAATATTATCGGATGTGTATAATTAACGTTTACTGACGCCAAGGAGCGTGACTAGCTTGAAGCCATAAATGAAAAGTGAGATAGTAAAATAGGTTATTTGCATGTACGACATACGTAAATGCTTCAAGTTAAATAAGAATATTTTCCCTTTACTGTGTACCATAAGTATCTCTATATTAAAAATGTATAGTATGGAAATCTTACTCTTAAAAGATCTTTATGTGTATTTGTGTATGTAAAATGCATTAAAAACTACTTGACATTTTGCTAACTGAGCGCGCTGCTGAGCACCATTAGCATGCTGCTACCACAACGGCTTTTGATGACATTTGTCAGCAAATCAACGCTCTTTTATCGAACGCTAACACTTCTTACGTATATAACAGTATAACTTCAAGCAACCGTTATTCGATATAGAATTTGCGCAGCTGGCGCGAAAACGTGTTGGCATAACACTGTCAAGTGCTCGTTGAATCAGAAATAATATGTACCGACAACGGAATTTCGAGACGTTTTACTAATTGGTTTAAAATAAAATGAAAAATTCAAAGATAAAAGGTCGACAAATGCTTAGAAAGAAAGAGCAACAAAGAATTAGATAAGAAGGTACCAGCGCACGCGCAGTTACACTGTAAAAATTGAAAGAAACGGGTGATTGTTCATCGGGAGCTCGCTAGGACCCAGCGGGAGGCCACTTTCACCACCCGTGCGATACCGGCATTTTAGCAGCAGGGCACCAAGCGCCACACACCACGTCACTCGGATTTCCTCCTCACGCGAGACAAGAAGAAACTTGAAGCAACTTGATAGAAGGAAACTCTACGATGCTGATAATACGTAAAGTAGACGTCTCTGATCTCCCTGACTGATAAACGTCGCTTTTCTCAATGAGTGGGAAGTTGCATAATCTTCTCATCTATATATATACAAATGAAAAAAAGAGTCGCCCCTATATAGCCTGTATAAACAGCACGTCAAATGAAGTACCCGACTGGCGCCTAGCTGCCTGAGAGCACACCTTCAGAATGTACATACTCAAAACGAATTGACTTCTAACTCTCAATACACATACCTCAATACGATATCGATCCTGTGCGCAAACCTCAAAACACCACTTTTCTTCAGACATTCGTCTCTTGTTAATACAATAAAAACACCTTGTTCAATGTAATGGCGCCTTTACGACCACTTTGCAGCATTACCTAATTCAGCGTCGGTTGCTAGAAAAAAATGTTACTCATCTTTTACAGACTTTAGAAACATCGTAATGCATAAAATGCGGAAAAATATTGAAAGTACTTAAACATGTTTATTCATATTTTATGAATTTTTTATTTATATTTTATTTATCATAAGCACGAATAGATTGTCAAAAAAATTATAAGCAAGTTCCATTTGAACGGAAACAAAAATACAGCACATATAGCATTCTCGTGACTAACAATTTGTGTACACATGTGATAGGTATACTTGCTAAACGGTGTAAGATTATGGCTCTGGTACAATATAAATAAGATCGTCACTAGAAGCAAAACATGTTGTCATTATAAATATCATACAATGTGTACATTTTAAGAGAAACACGCTTTAACATAAAAAAAGACTAAATAGAGTGATAGACCCAAATAGTTCCACTTTACTTATCTTACATAGCTCACATCATAAATACCGTTTTTCTGTATACTGTGTGAATATAACTGATTTCATTCGCATACCGTAATAAAGCTGAAAAATTGACTATTCCTTCTTTATGATACATTTATATTAATATGTAATCTTGGCACAAATTGTTCTGACTCCGTAATTTGTCTTATATCTGTGATATATACTGTACATGTATATTTTATATATACAATTATAAAGCATATTGTAAATATACATATCATATACATCTCAACTGCATGAACGTGCCAGCACCTAATTTAAATTTTATCTTAGTAGTATAAAGTAAGGACTATTATACGGAACTGTCACGATTTGACGCTTTTGACTGATCATGTAAACCGTTAACCATTTTCTCAATACTCTTCAACTCGCTTGTTGGATTTTTGGATGTTAACGAAATTGGTTCGTTTGCAACCGATTCTATAGAGCCGTTGGAGGGAGCGCGTTCAGGAGACATTGATCGGTTTACTGTTGAATTTCTTAAATTTAAGAGAGGATAAGGCGAAAATCTTGTGGACCGATGAAAAGGAGAGGAAGAAGTTGAGGTAGTTGAAGATGCTCCGAGAATAGAATTTACGTCGACTGTGTTACACTGCGCCCAAAGTGGATGAGGGGGGATGAGGGAGGAATTAAAGAGATGAGGCATGTCTGCCGCCATCAAGTGTGCATGATGGGCATTGAACATGATATTAGATAGATGACTTAGAGCGCTTGTTGAAGAGTATAATCCCAAAGCTGCTGCTGCGGCTGGTCCATACAAATACGGTAACATACTCGTAGGTTGTTGTTGAGTATGTTGATGTAGATTGTTAGACGGGTTTTGTTGATGAGAGGGAGGAGTTGTTGATTGGGGGGATGATTTCACCACTCCGCTATCGTCCACTCCATTCTCACATGACTCATCAGAAGAGTCGCCCTGATTGTTGTTATTGTTCCTGTCTTCATCTTTAACCGTTGAAGAGCAGCTCTCTTGTGGCTTCTCGTCAACAACTGAAATTTCTGAACATTCTTGATCCTCTTCATCTTCGTCGCTTGCCTCAGTTGTTGGTACAACGGTACTTGACGTTACTGGAGTTGTTGCACTATTGGTTGATGTTGACGTTTGTTGCATCATTAATCGCCTTAATTTTTAAAGTCAATTTTAAAAAAATTCCCAAAATTATCATTAACTATAACTTACTTTTTCTCACGCCTACCACTACCAGTGTCTCTAAAACCTTTCGCGAAAGGATTGTGATCTATTTTTAGTTGAGTAATCTGTATAAGAAACAGCGAAAACTTTAACGGACAATGGTTTTGTTTGAAAGCTTTTTGACGTATCTCCTTCAGAAATCTTAAGCCCTTACATCCATCACCTTCGCCGATACACAAAATAAACGAAGGTAAAATTTCTTTCAATCTACTTTTTTCCACAAGGTAACTATCTACGTAAGTATTTAATTCCGTCTACAGACGAAACTGAAACAAATTGTACACCTGCACACTAATTATCTCCTTTGTTTCATAGCGTTCCGTAACGCCATCTGCGCATCACATGCTTATGTCAAATAGAACTGTCTATATATTTTATACAAGATACTAACTTTTTCATTTTGATATGCAGTAACAGCAATAAATTCAGTTTCCTTAAAAACGAACGAACGAAATTCCGAATATGGTAAGTAGGGTAATTTGAGGATGTCGTTTGCCCTTGCCAGGTGGAATCTGGGTTGATATTTGTGCATCGAATTCAAAATGACCTGTTTCGGTTTAAAAATAAAACAACTTGTAAATAATACATAACCATTAAAAATCTGAAAGCATTGTAGAAATGAAAATTGAAAAGTATAGATAGCAAATGTACTCTTGTCTGAATACCTTTATATATTGAGATGAAAATATTACGTGGTTTTTCTTAGTTTTTACTTTAAGTAGCCAAAAGATGACTTTAGTGATGAAAATTTTATAATAAGATGTGCAATGCGGGGATATGTTAATTTATGTTTATTCTTACAAATATATGTTTTCTTTATGCTTTATCTGAGTATACAATACATAATAAATATATAGGTATATGTATAGGGACCACATATATACATTCCTTTGATATCTTCAAAAAGCGCATACACAAAGGCATATACACTCACCACCATTATAATGTCGGTAAACAATACTTTACGCCCGAAGCAATTTTTTTTCGTGGGAACACACTTTTACGTGTACATGTAATTCGTTTAAATGTCAGATTAAACATTAAGCAGGGACGTGCGGACGTTTACGATTAGTATTTGAGAAGATTAGCGCTCTTGTCTGTTAATGATCCTTTATTTAAATTATCTTTACTTTCAACAGTTTTTCCATTTTTATTATTTTTTTACAGCAAAACGTCACTCGACTTTCCATTTTAATTTGGGCTTTTAATGAGGAACCAAGTCAATACTTGTCTTATAAAATGAACGTGCTAACCTAAATGTTAAAAACTACCGGTTGACTTTTAACGGATATACGGTAAATGAGTGTCAGTCGTTGATTAATATTTTATCTCTTGTATGTTTCTAAAAATCTTTTCTCGTAATAATAACGTAAAAAATTCATAGTAAACTCAAGACATGGCTAAATATTGCTTAATAATGCGCTAAGGATAACTTAAAAGGCGTATGACCTAATAATAGTAAACAACGAATTTTCCTAATTATTATCAACCGTAAATGCGACATTGGATCTCGGCTTAAAAGCAAATAGCCCTAAGGATGTACACATGCACTTTCCCATATGATCAAGATGAATGCACAACATCGCATTTACAAAACTCATTTAATGAAGGTTTAAAAATCTTCCTACATATCTATAACTTACACTTATAAATCCATGTTTGTCCGATATGTTATTCGTTAGTTTAAGTTTGTGAAAAGATACAAGTTTTTGCATCCATTGTTCTCCTGTTGCTGGTGAATCTGGATGAATATACATTCTTTTTGGCATTTCAGGATCTGCTTTTCCAGCTACCATCCATTTCGAATTGTGAAATTTATATCTGCAATCATCCACTGCCACAATATCCATTAGGAGTATGTACTTTGCTCGTTTATCCAAACCAGATACTTTGACTTTAAACGGCGGAAACATTCTCCTGAAATATATACGAATATTTATTTCAATTTCTCGCAATTAATCATACTAAATGCAATAGTAAGGAAAGGTGTAATTGATAAAAGGAGTGGGAATTATACGTGTCGCCTACGCGCGTATGAAGTCCGCTCAGTGAGTCTACTATGTTTATTTATATATGTTTCATGTTCAGATACACTTTTTTCATACACGAATAAGACATCAAAAATTGGTTTTTAATTTATATTTTTTTTTTGTCAATAAGCCTTAAAAACTTACGAACTTCACCTTGTGGCGCTAAAAAGAGCCACTTGAAGTGCATGAGAAATTAAATACGAGATCAAATATCAAAAATGATGTTGCGTGTCGGTTAATGACAGTGCTTCGGCACCTGGCCGCACCTGGACATCATATTTAAGGGAGAGTCGAAAAAACCAACGGGTCAGCCGTCGATTCGTTTTTCTTTCTTAATAAACACATAGAAATATAGAGAAGATAATGTGATCTTAATAGCCACAAAAAGAACAATACAAATAAGTGAATAGACTTAGTCAAATGCATGCACGCATGCATTATTAAGCTGTCGGTGGAGAAGTCTTCTAACTGAAAGCGGCGCGTATGAATTACGTAATGAAATTACTCCATTATGTTTTTCATGTGAATTACATTGCATATATATTTTGAGACAGGAATAAGCACGTTTTATTTTGAACTTTCTAAACAGTAGGATAAAAAAATAATTTTATACTTAAACATAAGAAAAGTACAAGAAAAAAAAACATGCAAAGACTACTGAGGAAGAGTAGAATGAAGCAGAATAGTAGAGACTTATACAAGCGCTTAGCCATTTTCGAACGCAGAATCAATTATCGCTTTCTATTGCTACGTGCTCTCAACAATGCTCTGACCTCAAAGCTATTGTTACTGTGCCGTCTGGCCATCAGAGTTGGCGCCAAAAGCGGCTCAGTCGATATGATCGAGAGTGTATTATTGCATATATTTTCCACACGTAAATATTTACAGAAGATCCACTTATGCATGGAGGCGAATATATATATATATATATATATATATATTCTTTTTAGTAACATTTTTTACGCATATGTGAGTATGTACATGTGTATGGGACATTAATAATTTGTATATTTATACCGCAATTTTTCACGCACGATTAAAATATACACGCCTATATTCTGCAAAGGTGACGCACTTTATTCAAGAAAGCTAATCGGCTCTCTATAATCTGTGTAGGTGCCTATACACATTAAATTACCATCTGGCGATAATATTTCGCAACAACGAAATGGGTCAGGTGAAGGAAAATTCTCTAATGGATTTATTATACTTTTATCATTGCGATTGTATACAGAGATATGCTTATAAAAGTGAAGAATTTTTGACATTTACATACCTGCCGGACTTTGTTATAACCATTTCTGTGCCGAACTGATGAAACTGCTCCCATAATTCTTTAGAATCCAGGTCAACTTTTGGATCATCATGTACTTCCTGTTCTGGTTCTACAACACCTCGAGGAGCTTGTAAGTGAGAAGGTGGGGGTGGCGGAGGAGGATTTAAAGAACGAGCAAGATGGAAAGAATGTTGGGCGGACAGGAGGTCGGCGGAGGTTCTTGCTGGAATTGGTAGTGATGTTAATCCAGGGGGTAGATTGGCATAGTTGGCGGTAGGAAAAACCGAAGGTGCAAGTAGACTACTCATGCTATAGTCAGAATTAGACCGAAGCATAAAGGGAGCTGCGTATATCGGTAAACGACTTGAAGGTTGGGGTAGAGCCTGGGTAGTAGAGGGAGGTGGAGATGCTGTAGAAGTAGATGACGGTAATATCATTTTTTGCTTCTACAAGAAATATGTAGAACAGAAGAGGAAAGAAACGCTGCTGTAGAGTCAAGTTGTTTGGTTTGTCAGGCAAAGTGTTGCCAGTGCTGATTGGGCCGGCAAGTTGTAGGCAGTCATCCAATCAACGTGCCAAGTGAGCGAGTTGCAAGGCGCCGCGTTGCAAGGCGCTCAGAACAAGTTTGGTGTGCACAGCGCCACCTGAGGTAGCGCTAAACTATCGCTTTGAGGCAGATAGAACTAAGTGATGTTTATGACGGCCTACATTCCGTGCAGGTGTATGTAGCAAACAGAAACTGGGCGGCGCTTATGATCAGCGTTTGGTCAGCGATATACACTTTCAGTATTTTATATTTCACCTATATTGCTAATTTCTGCACTGCATGCTCCACGATGTAACCTTATATACTGCAATTTATAGCCAATATAATCGGCTATGCACGTCTTTAATGATTCTAATTCGAACGAGCGTCACTCGCCAAAATTAGGTCAATGTCGAAGACGACGAACAATAAAATAGCGTGCGCGTGTCTAGGCGCGTGCGTGCATGTATCTATCTTTATTTAGTATTAAAAAATCGAATGCGTAAAATATGACATTCTATATTTAGATAGAATATGAACAAATATGTCATAAAAGTTCTTATTTACGGATTCTAATAATTCAACTGCTCCGTATATCTACGAAAAAACTATAAAGTATTATAGAAGTTTTATTTGTTAGTAGTCGAAAAAAGAAGTGAAATGGCGAAATCGTTGGCGCCGAACTGTCGCACGCACCAGTCACTCACATTTGACGTTGCTTTGAAGTGAATAGTTAGTATTGACCGCGACTAATTCGCCTTATTTTCTCGTTCGACCGATTATCGGTGATTGCGTAAAAAAGAAAAAATTGTCAGAATGAAGCGTATATAGCGCAGACGTTTAATATCGGCAAGGGAGAAGAGACGATAGGAGAAGAGATTGACACGCAGCTATCTCAGCGTTACAGCTTCGGACGCCTTCTCCCCAGATGATGCCGTCGTAAATATGAAAACGTATATAGCTCTTCGACCGTGTCTTCAGCCGATATTAGCTCAATCAAAATTCTGAGACCGTCTCTCCTTTCTACTCTCCTTTTTTCAGCCTCTCACGAACGTTTTAACGCAAAAAATGCATAAAGGAAAACTCCATATACGCATGCATCACACTCGCGAACGAGCCCATTAATAAAGCCCCTTCTTTGAACAATGGAACTTTTGATCAATACGCATGTCCTTTTTTTCTAGAAACTTCCGGCTAGGAAGCAATTATAAACTAAACTTCCTGTTTGCTATGCAGGTCTGAAATCTCACACAATACATGAGAAAAGAAGGTGTATCGTTTCAAGAAGAGTTGAATAATTCCCGTAAAAATAAACATATTCCATTAACTTGTAAATATATAGCGATATCATAGGTATGATAAAAAAAATTGTTACATTAACAATTTTGGAATGCTACAATGAATTATTTTATGATTTAAATCTCAGTTAATAGGATTGGTTAAGGTCGGATTTGAAAACGTTTCCAAAATCATTTGACTTTGGAAGGCCCAAATAATTTAATTATTGTAGGAGAAACGATTATGATTAAGAACATTTTAACAGGCATTCTGCATGTTTTCGTTTCCTACCAAAAACTCATTCTGATGGATTGGTAGCAGTTGGCGCTTGACAGACGCGTCCGGCAAGTTTGGCAAATGCTTGTTGTTTCGTCTTCATATTGAGATACATATAATATACATTATATCTTTATCATATAAATTGAAATAACTATATATACAAGAATCGAATATGAATAAAAGAATAGTTTTCATTGCATAAATCTACACTGCAGATATGATATGGTATAAGGAGGATATGAGATGCGGCGGCATGCACCATCTGCACGAGCGCGCACTCGATAGAACACCAAAGAAACGCGATTGTTTTGAGCGCAAAAAATAATTAAGCCGATCTGATTTCTGCGTGCTCTATCGAACGCCCTGATCAAAGAGTATAAAATAGGTGGAATTATGCAAACTTCTTTTTTTCTCTTCTTTCCTTCTTTTTCTAATTTAGAATATGTAGTCCTCCTTTGATGACGTCATCAGTAGAAAAGCGTTGTACCGTATTCGAATCGCATTAATACGACTACATTACAGAGTAGCGAGTACATGCTCTAACTGATTAGCAGCGAGCTGATTTTACGCTATTTGCACTGCAACTGCACGGTGCCAGTGTAATGACCAATAACTTGGCGGGGGTGATTTCGGCGTCAGTGCCACTGGCGTCTACTGCTGCAAATAAGCACGCATTGTTGAACATTAAAGACGGCAAGCTGAGATACCGATTATTGCTCATTGACATTGATTCTATTCGTGGAGGCGACTTTTTCTGCCACTAGAATGACTAGATAGTCAAAAAGCGTGATATATGGTGGACGATGTGCATTAAACCCTGCAAGACAATCAACTATGACCGCTACTTTATGCGCTTGGGTGGTCCCGTAGAGCGCCCAATATTCCACACACTATACGTCTATGCACCGCATTACGGCTTTTCCGGTCGATAGCGTGCTAGCTTATCTCTATATATCAATCGCTGTAATGGTGATGGCGCCAGTAAGCCACAAAGGCACATACCATCGTCATATACCATATATGTCTTGATCATATAATATACAAGATACAGAATATATACTATACACGTTGCTTTCCTCACTCCCCACCAACCTACAATGCAAAGAAAACCCTTAATTTCCGGCTTCTACAGAACGGGGTAGTGCTTGTGTACGAAAACCGACGGTCAATATTGCGGTCGTATTTATTTGCACCTTCCGACATGCCGTTCAACTGTCAGTCGTCTGTTTACCAAGTAGTTTGTCATATATTCAACACGCTAGAGACCCGTGAGGCAATTACTGTTCGATGTTTTAAATAGAAAATGAATATATTTCAAGCAGAAAATCTCACATGAGATCTATAAAATGTTAAAAGAAAAATAAAAAGACGAAAAAAATTGATTGACACGTCGATAACGCTGAGCCGTGATTTGCTCACTATTGTCCTGTCTACTGGAGCTTGTTGACTTGGTGATTTTTCCTTTCTTACAGTTAGATATAGTATGCAGATTATATGATTTTACAAACCGTGCACTGTATACTGTATCTATGCTGAACCTTTACTAAAATATATTGACGTTGAAGTTAAGCAAGCATAACGATATCATATAGCCCTAAATTGGATGTTTGCATGACTATGGCTGGCATGATGACGCCTAACCTGTAGAAGAGAACATGCTAGTGCCCTTGTCATTTCTGTCAATGTTTACTCACTCACTCTCTCGCCAGTCTTATAATGGTGATGGATGTTGCGCGCCTGGTGCCGGACGCCAGCGTCATTAGCGCTACGGCGTCTCTTTTCGCTCTAGGCCCAAAAGCGAAATTTTCTACAATTTTACCCATATTCCCGCTTATTAGACGCCGCTTTAATTATACGCCATCGGCGCCGTATCGAGTCCACGAAGGCATTTTTTTCTCCTTCTTTTCTTTATTTTACAGTCTTCCTTCATAGATGGCGCCGCTTAGCGCTTAATGCAGTCGATGCATAATTAAGGCGCAGTGAAAGGTGGCCGTGTCTTGTGCCAGCACCAATTAAGCGCAGTGCGCAAGTTTAATGCAACAGCACCTGCTACTTTTCTCCCGCTCTTTTCTCGTACTGTGTCTCTTTCTTAAGACTGCTGAAACTGTTTAAAGCGTCAATAATACAAATTCTAGCAAGAACTAAATTCTAGTGTTGTTTACATATCAAGATAAAAGCTCAACCAAATGAACTTTTTATAATAAATTTCACCTAATCAAATGTCATCTAATACTCTGTACGAAATAGGATCTAACTTTTTTCTTTTTTAGGAGCCAATATTATTATAAAGTATTTATCAATTTATACTCCTAAATGTATATATAAAAAGTAACGAGATGTTCTACTAAAATATTCTGTCAAAGCCAGTGAAAAAGAAAAGAAATGAACAACTTTCATCTTCTCTGTCCGCTCTTTCTTTGACGAGAACATGTCAATTTAAATGTCACGGATTTCTTTTTTATTTTTCAAGTAATGAAATAAAGAATTTCAAAGGTACCAAAAAAAAATTTCCAACCAAGAATGAACCTTAAAGAATGCGTTAAACTGGACAATGAAAACATTTAAAGTGCTTAAAAAACAGAGGGAGACACCGTACATTGTGCAGTTTTATATTAATATGAATTGAATCTTTAATGTAATAAATGTCGTCCTTTGTTGATAATAATATGAACACAACTATTTTACTTTTTCAAGTAATTTTGATGCATTAATTAAATAACTAATTGAACATAAAAAAATGATTAATAATTTTTCTTACTATCCTAGAAAAATAGAGTACAATAAGGATTTTTGTCTATATCTCAAATATGCTAACATTCCGTGTAAAATAATCTATATTAACGAAAACTTTAAATAGGCTGATTAGTCTATTTAATGCCCCGAAAGATGGCACCACATGAAAGAATATAAGAACGTCGCATATGAAGTTTGAATTGAATACTATGTTGACGCCATCAAGTGGCGGTTTTTTTAACTATTAGTAACTATAATAAATACTTCCCATGTTCGTCCAAAGCTAAAACCCATAATCGAAAGACTAAAAAAAAACAGAAGAGTAATTCTAAGTATCTACAAAGTATTACTTCTTTTTCTTAAATGTAAACCGCAACAACTCTGAGAGCTAATATGACATCAATTATTGAAGCATAGTTTATGCATTGATTTCTTTTCTCCTTTACAAAAAAACTTTGGTAGACGTGAGTAAATTGTAGCAAACCGAAAACTTCGTAAAAGTTAACTTTCAATATTTTTTTATTGTCTTTCGTTAAAACAGAATTCGTAAATAATTTATAAAAGAAAATAATTTTTCTAAAGTAATCGAACTTTTGATATAAAATCTTTCGACTTTTTGCATTGTATTACTACAAATTTTCCAAATTTTTAGATTATGGAGACAATCTTAAAGTTATTTAGTGAAAGTTAAACATATATTGTGTCCACATAATAGCAGAAGAGGTGCCATCTGACGGGTTATTTTCACTGTTATTGAAACATAAGAATTTAATTTAAATATCTTCCGTATTCAATAAAATTTCTAAAAGTGCGTTTGAAAAGATTTATCATTGAAAATGTTAAAATCAAAATTATTAAATTTAACTTAGTTTTCAAGTCAATTTAATCGTATCTTCTAATAAAACTTAGCCGTTATAAAAGTAAATTTAAAATTCTTATTTAAGTATTAGGAACCCTGTTTTTATTGAGCCTAGCCCATGCTTACTATCAATGCAATAATTTTATGAATAATGTCGAATATGAATAACATAGATACAAAAAAATAAAATAATTAAAGTCGACACCCCTAAGAGATGCCTTGTTCGAATCATAAACACTTCTTAGCATAATTAATTCAATATGGCGGCAAAACATTTTATTTTCGCGGGAAATGATCGAAAAAAAAGATAAATATCCCAATCAATGAATCAAATAATGATTATTTTATTTTATATCGTCTTCGTTGAATTTTAAGATTTTCTCATTTATATGATATACAGTTCTAACGATGTACCTGTATTCGGCCATTTTTATTTAAAAATGGCGACCCAACCAATCATCGACAGTATAGTTCTTAAATCGTCCAATGAACGTGAGACGATTCAAACGTTTGCGAAAGCTTTGTGTCAGAAGGCCTGCAACTGTTTTACTACGCCTAGTACTACCAACTATATTTTACTATGTGTTCGTATTGGTTTCGTAATATGAACTGATCGGATGCACAATATAATTCAGTCAATAGAATGGAGTACTTTGTTCCTGGTGCTGAAGGTAGTAGGGTTGTTTCTCTACAGGACATGATTGAAGATGATATTCAAGCGGGAGCGTTTTGCGATGGCCAATTTTCGAGCGATATTTGGGACTCATCGACAGAATTCCCGCAATCGAACTGGTTAAATGATTTAGGAGAGACTGTACTCGAGAATTCGGATCCGAATCTTCTGGTTAACCCTCAAACCGGAATGCCAATTGCTCAATCTCCTTCAAAATCACCTCGCCTTAATCCAGTCACCATTGCATCTTCCACATCTATATCAACTTCAACATCAACAGTATCTCCTACGACAACGCACTCTCAACCTATTCGTACTACTAACAATAATTCACCACAGCGTCTTCAGCCTGTTAACTATATTCGACCGTCCGTTCGAAATTCACCATCATCCAAGTCCTTGAATGATATTATGCCGACGAAACCAAGAAATCCTACTCCGTCTCCATCTATCACAAATACTAGCATTAATATTGCTCAAAAGCCGAACAAATATCCTAAACCTCTATATTCTTACAGTTGTTTAATAGCATTGGCCCTAAAGAACAGTGATACTGGAACACTGCCCGTATCTGAAATATATAACTTTATGATGTAAGTTTTATAATATCATTCACCAACTTTATCTTAATTTTAAATATTTTTCCAGTGAAAATTTTCCTTACTTCAAAACTGCTCCCGATGGCTGGAAGGTTAATTGTTGTCCTATTATTGATTTCTTTAATAACTTGTTGTTTTTTTTCAGAATTCTGTTAGACATAATTTATCCTTGAACAAATGTTTTGAGAAACTCGATAATCCTAAAGTTACTAGCAGTTCTTCAGGAGCAAATAAGAAAGGTTGTTTATGGGGATTGAATCCTGAAAAGGCAGATAAAATGGATGATGAAATTGCAAAGTGGAGGAAAAAGGATGCAGCTGCCATTAAAAAATCCATGTCCAACCCAGGTATATCACCAATAAGTTATAAGAAAAGAAAAATTAATTTTTTTATCACCCGATAGATATTCTGGATTTAATTGAAGCTGGAAAAGCTGGTTGTCCTTCGTCCCCTCGTTCTCAAATCAACGGCGAACTGACAATTCGTCAAACTGTTTCGTTACCAGTGAATAATAATAATGTAATTAAGCAAGCACCAACCATTACTATCATCAAAACTGTACCGGATCAACCACCCCAACTAACTCAGGATGATTTAAGAATTTTGGGTAATACAGCCTTAGACTCGAAAGCCAACGACGATCTCCTCAACGAATTGGACAATGACCAATTGTTAGATGCTGCTGTGTTATCAGCTGCAGATGATGTTTTTGACAACAAGGTTTTTCGATTAATCTTTCACAAGGTCTTTATATGTAATTGTTATATTTTTCTCACAGTTAGAAAATCATAAGAACGAGCCTGCTGTAATGTCGAGTCCGTCCAAGTTCGGCAACTTCTTACTTTTTTCTCATTCCTGACGCAAAATCGCTTGAGAAGTAAACGATGAGATGCCTCTTTGAATGTAATATGCTGGTATACAACACTCAGGATAGGGCAATAAAATAAATCATCGCTTGGGCTATCGAAGCCTTATGCTGGTGCATGAATTAACAATAAACTGTTTAGAAATGGCAGCAAACATTTTCTTGTTTATTGAATTGTGTTCGTTAAGTAGAATGGTGTAAGTATATTTTTTAAAAAAAAACGTTTTTGTGTATAAAATGATTTGTTCCAATGCTTATTTATTTTCCAATGATGGTGTTTGACTGTGACGCCATCTGCAGTGTTGGAGCCTAGCGAAAATACTGAAATGTTTTGCCATAAAAGACCTATGGAACAATGACAGTTTCTTATTACCTTTTAATCCTATTGCATTTGCTTATGTAAAGATCAGAAGAAATATTTTTTCAGTGTTTCATAGGTGAGAGTATAAGTTTTACCGCCGTTTAAAATGTAAATTTTATAAAATAGCCAAAAAATCTTTGTTGTTTGATATACGAATGTAAATTTTTTGGCACTGTTATTGAGAGTTTCTCGTGCTTCTCGTGCGCATCATTGCGATATTCGTCATGCCATATGTATTTTTATGAATGATGTATTTCTACCGCAAAGTGCGCTTTAAGCAAAAACGGCGACATTGTCTTTTATTATATGAAGTGCTCAAAGATGCAGAGTTTTTTAATGTATGTATGAAAATGTACATTTAGATTTTGCTGAAAATTGACATTTATATGTTATATTTATTTGTACGCAGTTTACGGTTGAAAATGATAAAAAATGGAGAAATGTCTGTTTTTTTATATATTATAATCGCCATCTAGCGGCCGTGGACAGTTGAAGAAGCAAAGTCGCGCCGTAATCGTATAAGAAAACAATGTCAAAGGTTAGGGCGTTCAAAGTGGCAAGAGACGTCCCCAGAGAGGTAAAGGTTGCACTCGTTCGCCAAGTATACGAGGCTAATCTTTGATTCAGCTGTTAGACGAGAATTGTCTTGTTATTTTTTAACAAAGAGTGGATAAAGGGGAGTAGACAGTGAGGGAAGAAAGAAGGACGGTAGAGGCGACGGTTCGTGGGTCCCAAAAGAGGGCGCACAATCGCATTAGCTTATCTACAAGAAAGAAGACTTGTGCCTTTGTTGCATAAGTCCCTTGGGAGGTAGCGGAGATTTTTGCGAGCGACGGGTCAAAGTTGGCGTTAAGCGAAAACTCCGCGAAATAATCGATTGATCGAGCGTCGTCGGCATCGTCGGCATCTCGCCGTAGCCCGCAATTGCACACGCTCGGCACAGTACGTAATAGTGGTGCGGCCGTCTCGAGGGGACGCTACATGACGGTCTGCACGCACATAACAGTGATTTGGGCTGCATTAACGGCTCGCCACCGACGTCTATCCGGATCTGGTTGGTGCATTGTTGGAGATCTTATATAGGGTGTCAAATTGTCAATAGACTGCAGCAATACGCATAACAGAAAGAAAGAGAACTAGTGAGCTAGATCTAGAGAAAGAAGAATCGCGTACAGGCCAGGCGCATTGTTGTCACTCTCAATTCTATTTTGCTTACTCACGCGCAGCTGCCGTCCGCCTACGTTGCTGAAAGCAGAGGAAGGAGAAAAGGACTGTTCCGACTACTCTATAGATTGTTTTAGATATATCTACATATCCTACTACATAAATTTAATTATTAATCTCCACAACGGTAAGATCCAACAATTCTGACGTTAAACAATGAATATGCAGATAAGCCCTTTGTAACGTTGATTGGACTATGACAAAACTCGTTTGTGCGCTAGCTCGACGTCGTTGGCGTGGCGTCACTCAATTCATTACGTGTAGGTGGCCGTCTTCGGCGACGGCGTTAATGCGAAGAAAATAGTCAATTATGGCGTTGGGCCAGGGCAGATAGCGCGATAGCAATTAACGTCTGACAGCTAGTCGTCGTTTGTCATGTTTTGTGGAAATGTGAAAGTGTGGCTGGAAAATATTAGCGTTAGAGATGTGAAATCTCTGACTTATACTGGGCTGTACAATAGTCTTTGAACCAAACATATATTACCCAGCTAAAACCTTAATATTTGTTAAGAAGTGGACGTGTTCAATTCAATTTTTACAAAAATTGCAGTTGGCTACTGTTTTGGTGTTTTTTGTGCTAGTGACCCCGGGGGCGGCACACCGTAACGAGCCATTATAATCCGGCTCTCACGTGAGACCACATTTAGATGATGCGGCTTGCCCTTATACCGTCCCATGTCTATCGTTTGCATCACCTAAGCGTCAATGACGGCGTTAAAGTCACGTTGTAATCATTCTTCATGCCTTTTGGTTCCTCTGATTTCATTCTTTGTGGTATGTTGCTTCTTTAACTGCTATTTTCTTTATACAGAAAGCGACACTGCCTTTTCAAACTACTCGATTGCATTATGAAGGAGAGTTGGTCTTACCTGGTGTAAGTATAATCTTTATAATACATTATATAAAATAATTCGTCGCATTAGAGTAAAACGACGCGACGACATAGAAAAAGCGCCGTAGGTAATACATATAAGTAAATTAAAGTAATAGATACATATGATACGGCTATGATGCGACTTCTGCTCTTCGTTCACTACTCAATACATTATACATACTAACTACAAATTGTTCTCCAAACGTTCTCCACCCTTCGTGCCTTAATCAATAAGGCCCTTCATTGTGTCCATTATAATGGTGCGCGCTACGCTTTGATTTTTGTTGAGTTGCTGCTGCAATTGGCGGTACGCGGGTGGGTGATAGGTGGCGCTATCAGGAACTATCGGCATCTCGTACGGCATACATGTCTTCAACTCGGCCTGACCCCGTTTGTTTGCCGCAGCGAGCCGTTTCGGCGATGCAGCAGCGCCGTTTATCGCGTTAAGGTATCGTTAGACTGTTTTTATTTTTTCTCTACACTTTTTCTTTTCTTTTCCCAAAGAAAAGTTTTTTCTAAATAAGTGATATATTTCGAGTTGCACGATCGCGCCTCATCTGGTAGCCTGATTCTTGATTTAGTTAGCCTCCGCGACGTTTATTCTCGTCGCAAACACTGCAAATGGATTGCGCCTTCCTATATGTCCCTTCGTGCCCCAATATATATAGATAAATATTCCTATAGGTGTCGACGAGCAATAAATTACGACAAATCAAAGATGGCGCGAAACGCCTATTATTCTTTCGAATAGACATCAATTGAAAATTTACTAGCATCTGCTTCGTATTGACTATTGCTTTAGCGTTATACGTACGTATATATAATTATATATATTTATATACTCCATTATACAGTACATACTCAATGTAAGAAAGTAAATATGAAGAAATTTATCAAACCTACATGTATTAAATAATTATATTTATTCCTTGAGATAAATTAATAATTGTAAAACATTTAAAACCGCTTTTAAATAAGCTCAGCGCCGAAAGTACAATATATATTAGTGTATATATATATATATTATACGTTTATATATAGGCATTGTGTGGTACATTGTTTATAATATATATACAGCGCAGATTATATAAGTTTGGCAGTAATCTCTATGACAATTGAACTCCGAATATAAAAACACTTAGTCGTTACCTATACGTACAAATTTAGACTTCTATATTTATGTCTTTAGTCGACGTTTGAGTATCTACAAAGTCATAGGTGAGTATCGTATAGATTGACTGTCTTACGAAATTTAAAATTTATATATTTATATATATAAAGACAGACAATATATATATATATATATATATATATATATAAAATATATAACTGGCCTCTAGTTTTGCGAGTTTGTGAGTTTGTCAATAGTAAATATCGAACGAACGCCAGCTGCCGTCCGCAGAAGATGCGTCCCGACCAAGATGCGCGACGCGTAAGCGCGTCAATTGGCGGTGCCGATTGGCGATGATTGCTGTAGCTCGCGATTTTGCAAATTGTTTATAGCGTGGGTGCCAGGTATAACAACACTCTGAAATCATTATCGATTTAGTTGGATAGATCGCATTATTTCTCTTTCAATTTTTTATTCTTATCTTTACATCCTCTATTTATACCTTGACCATTTTTCTTGTTAGTTGTATATGTATGAGTACATGATTTTTTCTATCAATTGCTATGCCATTTTTATTGATTCTGATCAGTCGATCGCTCTCCGACCGAAAATATAATTATACGTTTATAAAGAGAAAAGAGAGTGTGAGAGAGCCAAAGCTCTCCACAGAAGAATGAAAAATAAGTTTCAAACAAAAGAGAGAGAAAAAGAGACGGGAAGCTAGATAGATAGATAGATAGATAGATAGATAGATATAGATAGATAGATAGATTGATAGATATTACTGAAAAAGACTAGTGCAGATGGAACGCATATACGACGCACTTGCGAGCGAACGGATTATAGAGGACGTCTTTCATGTTTGCCGCTCACCGCCCGTACAATTGGATTAGGTAGAATGAAGTCGAGATGCAGCTGTGACGTCGTCGTCGACGTCGCCATATCCATCCGTCGGAACGTGGTTGGGACAATGCGTGGGGAATCGTTCAACTGGTGAAACCTAACAAATCGAATGTATTCTGTCGTATACCGCCTTTTTTACCGGCTTCTTTCTCTCATCGTCGTCCGGAACGCTTGCAGACGTTACTTATTGATGTAACGGGGGAATGGAAGTAGGGTGCGCGCTTAATTTTGACTTGTTTTAGCGTCGGTCTCCGGCGGATTGCAGAATGGGCAGACTACAGCTGAGTCCGAACCATGCCAACTCCTTCTCTCTCCGCACTTATGAATAATGATTGAGCTGCTTTCGACTGTTGACACAATCGGCGCCGATTGTTTCGCGAATAATGCATAAGCGGCGCGAATATTTGAGCGTTCGTCGACGTGATTGAGTGGCGATCGCCGATTCCCACGAGCTGTGTTCTCCGGGCGGCTCAGGGGCTGCGAGAAAGGGAGCATCTGTGAACTGTCAACGTAGTTCGCAGCAATCGCCCGTTAACCGATAGCAGAATAAAAGGAATGCTGGTGCTTTTGTTTTTAGGAGGTGTCGTTATTTCTACTTATTCTATTCGTAAATCCCCTTCCTATAATTCTAATCTCGCAAAAATGCCTCGTTTATCCAAAATCGAATATCGATTTGAGAAATTGATTGTTTTCGCGCGCATAACAATACTCTTTTAGCAGACACGCAGCTGTAGATTCTGTAGTTTCTATAGTTTTTTTTGTTACTTTGGATGTAATTAATTTGCGAATACTATACCATCTCTATTGTTGAACAATGTGCCAAGTAAATACTAATGGTCTAATACTAACCTATATGCCATACCTATACCGTATATATTTCTCAGATTAGCATTTAGATGACTAACACTCGGCAAAGAGGCTTGCCAATCACCGTGTCTTTTGACTACCAATTGCGTCTTTAGCATATAGTCAAGTATACGTAGAACTGTGATAGAAAAGAGGGACAGGAAAACTTTTTTAGACGCTTCGGGCGTGTCTGCATGTATTGTTTCAAAGCGCTCATCGTTCGACGCCTTTCATGTTTGAAAGGTTTTTCTTGTTCGTTGGCGTCTCTATACTATACGTGTGGTTATATATGTGCATGTTTGTTCTAGATCCACTGTAAAATAAGTATATTACATATATATGTAAATATACATTCATCTGTAAACGTACTGAGGGGTAAGAATTTGGTTTAAATAGTCATTTGCTCTTTAGATGTACATCTTCTGTTATTAATGTTTACAATTTTTTTCCAAAATATAATCATAAAATAACTCTCTAGAATATGTATACAGTATATATGTATATATAAATTTATATAATATATATACATATATATGTACATATACACTATATGAAATATGTATGATGTACGAATATAGTTTATATATTATATTATGATATACGGTTGCTAATCAATCTTCCTCTAATCTTAAATTGTTGTGGGAACTAGACGGTCATGAACTGTGTTAAACTCTCTAGAATCTAACTGAACGCCGTCAATTGCGTAATTTGAGTCGACGCCATGATAAGAAGACGGATACTAGGCCGCCACCTGGTATCAAGCGGAAAAAAAAATAGGAGCATTGTATGTGTGTAGACGGCGTGCGCATCTTTTGCCTTTCACTCGCCGCCCAATGCTCTTGGCCGATTCTGATGCTCTGGAAAGTGGCGTTTGACAAACAACCTTTCTGTTTGTCCCCTGATAAAGTTTTTCTGTAGGACATTTATACATATATTTATTGCCTTTATATGTATATATAGGTAGGTAGTCTTTTATTTTCGAGTGTGTAGATTAATGTGCATGGTATGTGTATAGGAATTCTTTGCCAAACTTATTGTTTTTTCTTGTTGGCGGAGGGTATGAATAAAGAAAAGAAGAGCGAAGGCGGGTTGCGCTTATATTGCGCGTCCTAATGATAAACAATGACATAAGAGAGGCGTTTGGCGAAAGTGGTTTCGAAAAGAAACGCGCAGACGCGATTAATTTTCACGCCACAGCCTCAACGACTTTCTCCCGTTAAAAATTATTTGAAATGTAGTAACACATAGTCTAGGAATCCTAAGCCAATTTTCCGAACGATTGTCGCCGGCCAGTTTCTCTGTCCGCCCTCCGGCTCTAACTGTCACCGTCCGCGAACAATTCGATTACGGCGGCCAACTTTGCCATTCAACTTCGATCTGACAATGCCATTTTCGTGCGATCCGTCGCTATTTGCACGGTGAAGACGCGCCGCATAACTTTCTTATTGTTCGTCTTGTTTGCCGATCTAGGCAGTCAGAGTTTAACAATTGCCTGCAATTCAGCAGTATGTCGTCGAAACGAAAGAATACTCCGACTAAGGTGCTACGTCAGCAACAGCAGACGGTTTGCCGCCCGAAGCGTGAAGAGCGAATGCTTGTCGAAGAAGAGGAGGAAGACGAAGAGGAAGATTGTGGTTCAGAGACGTCCATATCGATCGAAGCAGCGGAAGCGGAGGCGGACTTGGGTGTAACTTGCGTAGTACCGAGTAAGAAACAACGACTGTTGGCCAGCATAGGGAACGAGAACTCACAGGAGGATGTTGTCAAGACTGTGAAAAAAGCATTGGCCATAGAAGATGAGGCGATGACTTTAGAAGATCGCGAACAGCGGCTTGGCGAAGCTATAGCCACTTTGCAGAGCGTTCGACAACGTTTGCTCAATTCACCGCCGAATCACGTAAGTCTTTTAGACGATTATTGGCGTTTAGATATAGGCGTTCCGCAACGGACAATATAATATAATCTCTTTCAAAATAATGCAGGTATAGAAATTATATATATATACTTACAGTAGTAGTTATATTATTTTATATTATTTATAAGTCATATTACTACCATATATATATATATATATATATATTCTAATATATGTATACTGTATATGTGCATACCGTATATTGTATAAGCATTCACTTTTGCCTCGTAGTGTATATATTCTATACTCCTGCGTATTGTTTTGAAATTTATACGCACACGGGCTTTCAGACCCTTTCTTCTTTGAAGACGGCTTGTATTCGGCGCGTCTGTCCCCGAGCGCCAGGACACATCGGTCGACGCGTGTTTATGCACCGACGGCCATTACGAGAAGGGTACTCGTGCACCATTTTCGCGCCAACTGCATTTGTCGGCGCTTTGTTTTATTGTATAAGTGCGTATATTTTTATAAATTTTGTGTGGGTGACATGCGCTACAGAGAAGAAAATGAATATATGCACGTGTATGTGCTGTATTTATGTATACGTATATATATATAAATTTATATATACTGTATATATCTATATAAGATATATATATATATATATATATGTATGCGTAACCGCGCTTCGAGTCGTTGGTGCGTCACGTCGACTGTATGGCGGGCCACGTCCGTTGCAGCGCCTTTGATCTCTCTGTCCGCACCTGTGCACCGCTAATGAGCGCCGCCGTTCCCCTACTGCACTGACCGCAAGATTGCTGCTGCTGCTGCTGCTGACGACGACGGTGGCGGCAGCGGGCTTGTCGACGACGACAACGAGGAGATTTGACGCTCATCGTTCTCGGCTTTGCCCATGCTCTCCTCAAATGATGGATGCGGTAATGAGGCGTTTAGTTTAGGCGCGTATTGTGATTGAGGTCAGGCAAAGGTGGCGCGGAAAGCTTATGATCTAATGAATGCATGAATTTGCTACCACAACTTTTTTTACCAACTAATTTTTTAAAAACAGATCGAAGGAAGGAATAATAACGTACAACGAGCAACCGATCTCGAAGCACCAGGTCAGTGATCAGTTGTCAAATTTTGTCAATGCGCTGCGTAATGAATGTGACGCTCGCTCCGTGGCTTATCTTCCCTTCTTTTCTTATACCGCCGGGCGTCTGTGCGTCTCTGTGCAACCGGGCTACGCAACTAACGAGGCTAGTCTCGGACACCGCTGACATTTTCCTTCTCTCGTTCTAGTCAAACCGCCTTTAGGCAATAGAACTAGCAGCGGCCAATTGTCTCCTCCGCTGCCATTGCCACGCACCTTTGATGGTCGAAGACGGTCTGCTGATTGTGCATGCAGCATAGCGCGTCTATAGGCGGTTGGTGCGCGTCAGTGATTAGAAGATGAAGAATTGGCCGTTTCCTTTAAAGGATAGAATAGTCGTTTTCTTGCTTTCGTGTCATATATAGGAGCGCGCAGATGTTTCATTTTCTTTTCCCGTTGCAGTACACCAACCGGCACGCGTTCGTTTTCTAGCTGCGACCAAAATAGAAACACAGCATTCGCCCGCCTGTAAATTGGCGCGCGTATATAAGCGTATATACCTGCTATATACTCGCTTATATACGCGTGCGCAGTGGGCCGTTTCGAAATCTGGCACAACTAGCAGACCTGCTAGTTGAACTATTACCGGTGTACAGTATAGTACTACACAAGAAAAAGAACAATAGACTGTTGTTTTCTTTTATTCTCTTCTGTATATTGGTGTACAGATTGCATACGCGAATAGTTGCCCTACCGCATCTATACAGCTGCTCTCCGCTGCGCTATTCTTTATAAGATATAAATGCAATATAAGAATAAGAGTGGCAGAACGTTTTGGCTCGTTGAAGCGTGCATCTGCACATCGACTATATTAAGACTCGATGAAAACTATCACTTTCTTTTCTTCCACTCCTACAGCGCACAGTAACAGAAAGAGCGTCACTGCCAGTTTTCCACCGGCTGCCCTCTTTTCGCAACATTTTTTCCCAGCAACCCTATACGGACTACAGACCCAACCGACCCAACAGCCGCCATTGCCGCCACCGCCGCATCTCTCCTTCTCTACGCCTCGTGCCGACTATCACCAGCATCACCAGCAGCCGCTTCTGACGCTCGATGCTCCGCTCAATTTAACCAAGTGTAAATCGGATGACGACGCCAATGCTGTAACTTCAACTGAAGTACTGCCACCTAGTGTCACTTCCCGACCTCCTCCTCTAGATACGATCGTTGGTCTTCACCCTCCGCCCGCTCACTCGAACGTGAGAGGTCAAACGGCGGCATCAGCGGCGGCGGATATCGCAAATTTAATGAAGAGAGCTTATCCTTCACTGTCTCCCAAGTCTTCTTCCCCACGCGCTAGTCCTCCAGAACAACTACAACAACAGGCCATCATAGCGCCCCCATTATCTTCAGCTGCCATATACCCGGCACTAAACTCGATTTATTCTACGGCCCATTCACCCTACTTGGCTACTATGATTCCCCCTCCTCCTCTTAGCGCCTTATCGCCTTCTGTCGATTCGGCATCGGCGCTTTCGAATGGTCATAATGAATCCGCAGCAAAGTTAACCTCAGCTAAAATCATACGACCACCAAAAGAGAGGAATAATGCGTCGAACGGCTCTTCCTCTGGAAATACTGCCGATCCCGCTTCGAGTAAGCCGCACGTGAAGAGACCTATGAATGCGTTCATGGTTTGGGCTCGTGAAGAGAGGAGGAAAATTCTAAAAGCTTGTCCGGACATGCACAATTCCAATATTTCCAAAATATTAGGTAGGTTTACTGTTTTGACACTAACGCCATCTATGGTTATACTGTAGTAATCATACATTTTACCAATGTTTTGAACACCAGGGGCCAAATGGAAAGCAATGACAAACGCCGAGAAGCAGCCATATTATGAGGAACAATCTCGTCTAAGTAAACTCCATATGGAAAAGCACCCAGATTATCGTTACAGACCTCGTCCCAAAAGAACCTGTATGGTGGATGGGAAAAAATTGAGAATCTCGGAATATAAAGCTCTTATGAAATCTCGACGACAGGAAGTCCGTAGAATGTGGTACGCTGATAATGCTCCACCAACAGCCTCCTTACTCAATGTAGGAGGTGTTGAGCCCCCTCAATCCACCATAATGATGCAACCAACTGCAACAGTAGCCGGAACAGGAGAACAAGTCGAAACTTGCGGTAGTATTGGCTCTGTAGTTTCATCTGACGACGACGATCTTGTTTCGCCCGAACCTTCTACAACTAGCGATAGCGATGCTCCCGCTGACATGACGACGCCTGCGATTGTTACGGCAAATTCCTAAAATAACAAAAAATAGAAACATGGAATGTCTACAAACGCAGATAGCCTCTAAGCGCCTAAATCGCTCATTCTAAAACTCTAATGCTGCTTCAGATGCCTCAAGCATTTAACTAATTTTATGAACTTTGTATACTGGCCTGTCTAACTAACCTTATGAACTCTTGAAACAATACGTTATTATCTATATGTAATCACGTATAATTAAAGTAAACTTAGAAGAGTGAAAGCGTGTGAGAGGTATTTACAGTATACCGTAGTAACACATCCAACGTTTCAGGGCTTTCCTGAAAAATTTCTCCAAGTGTTTAATTTTGTCTCATTCTAATAAATTTAAAGATTGTATTTATCCTATTGACATGAAAAAGTTTCTTTTTTTGTATCTTGTTGCTTTGCTCAAAGTTGACCAAACAAGTGTTTAATTCAATGCATTGTAAGAACGTGTGTCTCTTTTGTTTTTTAGAGTTATATTAGACGTCCTGGTTTTTGTTCAACAATATTCGATATATAATTATTTCTTGCCATATTCTAGAACGACACTTCCCAAAATTATATATTTGACTATATAAAAATGTATATATGTTTTCTGTGTATCTAGACTATATGTAGGTTTATATATATATATATGTAAACTATATGCAGTATATATAAACCTACAAATATCATAAGTGTATATTCTATTTGTATATATACATATAGTACCTGAAGCATTATAATAAGGGTTGAAGAAAGTAAGGAGTATATAATTTAATATAATATTCATATGCACCAGATTAACTTATGATGTATATCTGCATGTGCCAACAGATATAAAAAACAAGCGCCAAGTCGGCTGATACGTTGTGACCATTTATATTATAATGCACGTTTGTATTACTGAACTTTGAAATGAGTTTGTTCACTCAAAACGAGTATAGACTGATAATAACAATACATCGCTAAGTATGGCAAAAATATTATTCTGTTTCATTTAAAGATTTCATAGTTGTGGAGATACTTCACATATCTTGTTATACATTCAGAGAAGACCCGGAACCTTTCAATTTTTCTTCATTCTCAAAACTGCTTAGTTTCTCATTATAGCACCCATCAGATATGCAGGTTGTAATTTCTCCTTTCCTACCACACCTTCTAATTTGCTGCATGGTAAGTTTTATATGGTTGTAAATATTAATTTTGTTAAAAGAATTACATTTACTAACGCTGGTTCAATTTCGAAATTCTTTTGATACAATTTGCAGACCGTCTTGTAAGTTTCTTCTCCCAAAGCCGTTTTGCATTGTCTATTAAAAGTTAGGCTAAACAACTGTTCGTATAAATCAGTCATTATACTCACTCATGTAAAAGAGAATATGTTAAATCCTCTCCGTCTCCGAAAACTACTTGATCTTCTTCATCAGATTCTTCTTTAATACGGCAAACGTCTTTGGCAACAGATATTATCTGAAAGAGACTGAATTTTACAAACTTAACTTCAAATTCTAGAAAACAAACTTCTTCTACGTCCTCGTCTATATCTTCTTCGAAGTCATTATCATAAATACTAAACTGTTCATTTGATTCATCTGCAATATCTTCTGGAATCTCACTCATGTCAGCTGTTGATAATAAATTACAAACATAATTTCATAATACAGTTATGAAATTCGTGCAGTACCGTAATTGCTAGAGCAGTATGATGTGGCTCTCAGGCACTTGGTAGTTAACAGCTGTTCTCCGCTTGATATCTCTTCCGGTATGTCTAGAAACAAATAAACCTGCATAAGTTTTAAAGAAAAAACCGCCCGCCAATGTAAACCTTCTTCGCAAGATTCTATTCCTTCTTTATCCGAATCAAAATCGTCAGAATAACAATCGGTAGCATTTACTATGTTAGATTCCGTGGCAAATGAAACTGAGACAGTTGGCAAATCAACACTTTTTTGTAAATTAGACTTTGTCGAACGAAGTGGTGGTGATGTAACACCCTTGCCTTTTATGGAAATTTCCCCAACTTTCTTATTTTCATCTTTTATGTTTGGTTTGCTTAAAAGCGGCGCCAGCTTGCCCTTCTGACGGGTTTTATCTCGTGGTGATTCTCCACCAGAGGGCAGCTGCATTTGCAGAATTTGAGGTGGATGTTGGAGTTTACGAGGAGTAAGATGAGGAGAAGGAGTGTGAGATCCGAGATCAGAGCTAGAAGTTGGTGATAAAGACATACTGCCATCCATGACAGCACCTTCCATAGCAGCTCCTTTCCACGTATCATCTGGATCATCTTCATCTTCTGCATCATTACCTCCCTCGTATTCTTGTGATAATTTTAACGTTTCACTTGTAGAAAGTGAACTTTGAGGTCTTTCCTCTTCTCGAATAGTACCAAAAACACCTTTACAAGAGGCAACTCGCCTTCGAAATGCATTAGGATCAACATTGTTAGGCGGAGAAGTATTTGGTCTATCTTTTCTACCTCGAGATTGACATGTTATTGATAAATTATCAATATATTTTGTTAATTCTTCTTTGATGAACGGCAAAGATAATATAGCTTTAGCACTTGGCCTTTCTTCTGGAATTTTAGTTAATACTTTGTCAAGTACCTCTCGTAAACCATCAGAATAATATTTGGGGATCGGCTTAAAGAAAGTTAATGATGTAAAAGAAATCTGTAAGCTATGATACATACCTCATATTGACATTGAACAATTTTGTAAAATAAGGAGATTAAATTATGAGCGTCAAATGCTGGTTTCAAAGCGCATAACTCATATAATAAACATCCAAGTGCCTAATTACATAAAAAAAACAGTATTTCTGTAATTTAAATGAGAATAATCTAAGTAAACTACCCAAATGTCTGATTGCGATGAATAAGGTATATCTTGACACATTTCTGGACTCAAGTAGCAAGGAGTGCCAACACATGTACTTGCCTTATCCATAGTTTCATTCATCATTTTCGCTATACCAAAATCACCAAGTTTGCAAGTAGACGCAGAACGATTTAAAAAGACATTCGATGACTTTACATCTCTGAAGGGATAATTTTTTAATAGAATAATTATTAATTCAAAGATAATACTTTGAATTTTTTACACTGACCTATGTAGAATTTTGTGAGAGTGCAAAAACCTTAATGCTTGCGTGATTTGCAAAAAATACTGCATAATAAGCGAATAAGAGTTTTAAAAAAGAAATATATGATTTATAATAGAGTCTTTCGGATATACTGACGCGGAGTACATCTCTCTCTGGAATATTTTGTTCATTCTGTTAAAATTAAATTATTTATACTTATCAAATAAATTAAAAATTCATTAATATTTATTTTACCTTGACCGCTTCCCGAATTTTATCGTCAAGAGTTCCACCATCACAATAATCCTAACGAAAGAAAAGAAAAATCGATTCAATTTACATTTTATACATTGTGGTACTGACAAGAACTATGAATAAATTTCTTTCATTAGCATCAAAGAAAGAAGCACGATAAGTAACTATGTGAGGGTGTTTGAGTGTGGCCATAATACTGTAACGGGAAACTTAGTTAATGAAATGTATCAATCGATATTCGTATAAACGTTTACTTGGCTTCTTTAACAACAGCATCTTTAGTTCTTGTTTTGCGGCTTTCATCCAATTCTATTTTCTTTAAAGCATAAAGTCTAAAATATTAAGATATATTTATATATCCAGAACGTTTTATAAATATGATTAAAAGACCTACTCCTTATTTCCTTCATGTTTAACCAGATGAACTATTGCACAAGCACCTTTGCCCAATTCGTGAAGAACTTCTAATCTTTGATTTTCCCATATAATCGGCTCGGTCATTGTTAATTTACTTCATAACAACACGAAGATCTGCGTTTTTAACTGGAAAAGCAGAATTGTTTCGGCGCCATTTTCTCAGCTGGTAAACAAATGTTGCTGGTACACGTCTGATCGATCGAAGGGATAGGCCCTAAATCATCGATATCTTCGATTATTTTACCATTCACTTCAATTTTCATTCATAAACAATATAACTTTTGTAAAGTCATAAGGGAAAAGTGAGTGACTGCATAGTTAGTATTGTTGTTCGGTACAACAATAACTTAACTGTATTTTCGAACATAATCATTTGATTCATTAAAAAATTTTCTTAAATCAGTCCTGGTGGTCAATGTATATCATCATAAACTTCCACGTCACAGGAGCCATCTATAGGATATGAATATTTTAGTACCTGCATTCTAAAATTCGAATCAAGTAATCCTGTTCGCCAACAGATGGAGCTACTTATAGTACAACGCCAACTTTAACTTGTTATTCGTTAGAATTGCTTGTCAATGAGACTAATATTTCAACCGACTGAAAGAATTGAATAGAAAAAAGAAAATAATCCGATTCTAATCTTTCTAGCGTTCGATTCCACCCGCGCAAACGACTAACTGAAATCTATAAATGGCCTACTTTTTTCGCACGTCTCCTTAGATTATATAATCTATGAATATTACTTTGAAACGTATGATTCGCACGTGGGGCGCGTGCATGAACACAGCAGCCAACTTTGACGACCACCTGAACAAATACTGAAAACAATATGTTCAGCGGTGAATTTTGCAGTCAGCAATATAAAAGTTTGACACTTGAATAACGGCTTTACTGCTTTATACAATTGAACGCCGGCTGCCAAACATATGCGTCGCCTTCAACTTCAAGTACGTTGCGCTTGAGCTAAAAGCGGGAAGGAGCAGACGGCCAAAGGCGATAGCATCATCAAATTCACATCTTTTATCTACTTATCGCTTTTATGTGAATTGCGCTATGGCTGATTGCGTTTGCCTTGCTTTTACAAGTATATAGATGCGAAGGAAACGAGATGCCTGTTTAAGGGCAGTTTGCAGCACGCGAATAAGGTTAATTATAGAAGCCCAAGAGAGTTAATGTTGGATTTTGAAGGGGAAGATTAGACATAGAGAAAAATTAAGTTTAACTGGCAGATGCACATCAATATACTCCGCACCCGCTTAATCGAAAGCGCACTTTGTTACAGACATCGATCACTTAGTTTCAATTGACTTTTTTTAATAGTCGCACGCCTGTACGATAAGCCTTCGTCCGCACAATGCTCTTTCACATCGCTCACCAATCAAATTTGCGCATCAAAAACATATTGAAGCACCACCTATATCCGGTTCGTCGTGCGCCGATAAGACGAAACTGTGGGTGTCGGCGAGAGGTGTAGCAAGCTTATTTCCGATTAATGGAAATCGTTACCCACTACTCTATATATATATATATATATACAGTATACGAATTTTTTAATTTTCTGCTTGTAGTTTCATTTAAAAATCTAAAAGTCTGAAATTTTTCTGATTTTCTAAGCTATTCACAAGCGATTTTCTCCACAATTTCCCGAATTCGTTGTAGCCATTTCCAGTGGAGGATTGTGCCCGAACAGCTATAAAAAATAATCCCAAAACCCTTCACGTTTCCTGCCCCTGAAGCTGCAATGACTAGTTCGTCATAAAAGCTCCCAGCATTATATTAAAACGCACAGAAAAAAACTGAATGCATAGAGCGTCCGATGATCCTTTGATCTATTGGCGACTATCGATGAGAATAATTAGCCCTAGGCCTATTCTTTTACGTACTTTTCCGTTCAATGTCTTTTGTTTCTTTCTTTCTTTTCAAGTATGTATTATTTTTCAATTCATCTTTTTTGTTATATAAGCGGCTCTCGCCACGCTGTCGGCCATTAAACGAAGCAAGATGCACGCGGCAAATGTCAACAGCTTGAACAAATGTGACAGCCGGCTTTTCACAGCAACAAATGTTGTTAGGCTTATGCATATAGCTATAACATTGTATATACTTTATATTTTCCCTAGATATTCTAGCTATTTTATATGAAGTTTAACCTTAACTCAACTTGAATGTTTAAAAATTAAAAAAAAAAAGAAAATCAATTTTTTTCCTATTTACCACATGGTTTAAAGATATTTTTAGGATAAAAATTTCATCATAGTTATCAGTTGTTGTCCAGAAAACTTCTGCAAAATCTTGGCAAACATCTGCTATATTTCTTCCGTGAGCAAAAATTAAGATAAATCAATGAAATCTAAACGCAATAATAGGAAATATTTGAATTAATTAATTGTATTATTTCTTTAAATTTTTTAATAAGTTTAATCATTACTTAAAGTAAAAGAACACTAACAAACTGCACTGTGTACATACTTTAACGTATACGGGCAAACCCATATAACCTGCACTATACGTTTAACTCTAAAGAAACATGTCATTTACATCCATATAATTGTTAAGTATAGAAATTAAAAGTATATAATTTATAAATGTATAAGCGTTATTCTATATACAGAGTATATATAGATATGCGGTATACAGTATAAGTTTATGTGTATGTGTATATGTGTGGAGGAAATATTGATCAAGACGCACTCGTATGTTTTCGACCTTGTTTGCTCATCTACGACAAACAGCCTCCAGTTAATGTCAACAAAAGCTATACGCGCTACAAAAGAAACTATAAAGCACATTCGTTAATATAGGCCTGAAGTTTTTTCAGAGTGGCAAACAGCAAGTCGGAGAGAGACAAATCGAACAGCAGAAACGAAAATTGAACGAGCGTAAAAGCGTGAATTGGTTACGTTCGAAAAACGATACGTACACATTATACGCTCATGTATACACGTGTATGATGAACAATTGCATAACTTATCAGCTCTATCTCCATACAAGTAATTAGTACTCATAATTCATCCGATAATTACAGCCCGCGATGTATACACACACGAACACACGAATCTATGCATACACAAATTTATATGTACTTGCAAACCGATAAAATTCTACGTAGTTTGCGAAGGATTATATACGATCTGTTGGCAAACTTTGCGCCGTTGCCGACGAACGCCTAACGAGCGTCGTAATAAATGCAGACTAAACACAATGAACGGACATTATACGACATTAATAGGCGATCATCAACATATGCATGCGCCCGTAATTTTCATTTCACTGTCAAGTTTGGAAATAAACTACAAGGGAGGGAATAACTTTTTATAGTCAGTGGAGGGCAATTGCCAATTATTGCACTCGAATATACGATAAATATTAATCAATAGTAACGACTAAACGAACGTTTGCGCAACGTTCATTTTCGTTAAATAACCGTAACAAGTAATGCGTGCATGACGTGTATTACTGCGTATAGCATTATACACGGAATGATATTTAAAGCGTATCTTCCATTACTGGCTAGTTTCTTGGACAGATAGAAAAAGTGAAGGGGGAAATAATATAAAGAAATTATTAAATAATATAACCGCGCTCGGTGTACAGAAGAGTGCATCGACTGTGATTGAAGATCAATGCGAAGAGCAACAGTTAGCTTGTTTTTACTCTAGTTTTGTAAGCCAATAACCATGACGGTTGCCTTATCCCCTTTCTTCATCGCAGCATCTTCTACACAATTAGGAATCATCCAAGTTTAATTGCAAATAAGTGAGCCAAAGGGCACCGTCACCACTAATTCCGATTCCCCGTATCAATTGTGATAATAATCTGTTTAAGAGAAGCAGTGGGCGTTACTGCCTTCGTAAGATTGTGTGAGATTTTATGTACCATTACACGGAAGCATGTTATTACGGATGTCGGGTAAGAAAGCGAAAGGAGGAATAAGGTATTTGCTGTGTGGTGTAGCAACTGCAAACGAGCACACATGAACGCGTCGCACGGTGTTTGCAAATGGCACACCTTACAATGGGAGGCTGTGAATTGAAGCGTTACAGCACGTAGACGATACAAGAGGCTATTAAGTGAATAACGACAATCGCCTTTTACTCGTACTGTTCTTTGAAGCATGTGCATTATATGAAGAGGCAATGACCAAGTCTACTTTCTACTAGGTACATTGGAGAAACTATATCATATATGAATTTGTATCCTAATGAAATTGAGGTTCTAATATATTAAGCATATGGTACAATTCTTGGTGTAATTGGTTTGAATGAAGTAAATGCTTATTATGCATCTAACGTGAAAGAGAGTATATAGTTTACATATTGTTACATACAATAAATGAAAGGACATGTTTCAGCACACGCGTGTTGTCCATGTATTATATGCTGCGTATGTATCAAATACAAAAGATGTAACATCGATTGTGCTCTAGAATATAGGTATATAGAGTGGTAGACGGGTAAAGAAAAGAGTTATAGACAAGGGTATAAGGAGTGCGAAGAAGAAAGCGTGTCCGAGTCGGGCCACCTTTGCGCAGCTGACTCTCTTCCCACCATTTGAAGCGCAGCGGGATGGTCAGATTGTATTATTCGCACGCACTTGGGTGCTACTGCAAAGCGTATATCCAAGAGGGATATACAGTCTGTATTTAAAGAAATAAATATACTTCATATCAATTTAAAATCACAATTGATTATTTTATCTCTGGGACTACGGACAAACAAATTGGCCAGTAAAATAAGACATTTACCACTCTGAATAGCCTATACTTAAATACTAGCAAGTAAATTTGAAGATTGGGAAAGGAGGAGGAGCTCGTCTCATCTCTCAAGCGTCCGACATCTCAACACAGAACCTACATTAGAGAGGCAAGCGTCGTTCGGGCGCTAAGCCGAGCATTTGACACCGCTAAACGGCACCTGCTCCAACTCTCACCCTTCTTAAACAGCGCCTGCTCAATCAAGCATAGACTAGCCGCTGGTCAAGCCGTGTGCAGCAGAATCATTTCCGAAGTGTCATGGGCAGGACTCGTTCTGCATCATACTTCCCTGAACACTTTATACCTATCACCTCACAGTAGAGTAGGTTAGGACACATACACATATATACTTTTACATGAATATATACAGCTGTCAAAAAGTCGATTCACCAGTTCGATATACGACGTCTATACTTAACACTAAACATCGATTTTATGCTAAATAAAACGTGATTTCTCTCGCCATTGCAACCGCTTTACTTTGATTTAAGGAAAGCCACCGTCACCTTAGAAATTATGAGAAACCAGGAGTACCCTTTTCATTAGGGGCGGCGCGTTTCATTAAATGATGCTCTAATACCATAGAAACGACCCTTAAAATGTGAACCTTTGTAAGAGTTCAATGTTCATATAAAGGGGCAAAATGTAGAAGGAGTACATTTATAAAATAAAATAAGAGCCTATATCCATTCCAGTATTATAATTGATGAAAGGCGCAGAAGAAATAAAAGAATAATCTCCTAACGGAAAAACTCGCCATGAAATGTCCGTGCACTGTTCGATGAAGTACACATATACATATTTATATATGATAAATTGAAATACATTCAGTATGGTTTTGATTGTTAGTTATCAGTAACTCTTCGTAAAAATATTTGATAAGGACATGCACTGTATAAAATCAGACATCGTAACATCGTTTAAGGGAGTATTGACGCCTTAATTGATATGGCGAACTTTTAGCGCGACTCTTGCCACTATCTTATAAACTAATTCGAGCCTCAATAAACAGAGCGACTTACTTCGATCGGAGTTCGAGCGCAACACGGTTGTGATCGAAGTTGGAACGATCAACACAACAAACTCTCGTGATCATTGACGAAATGAACAACGTGATCGATCGTTGGTCGCATCGTTTGCTGATCGAAGTAAACCACCTTTTTACATACACGACACAAATAAACGGCAGTATTTTCTTTTTTCCAAGTTTGAAAAATATTTTTTTCCCCTTAGCAGGCAAATGTAACGTTAACAAATATTTTCCCTCAGTATTGCATATCTTTTTTAAAATTGGATATAACGTTTTTCACATAGCCGTTTTCCTTATTTCTTGATTAGTCAATTGTTGTATGAAGATTTTTCCTCCTCTTCAAAAAATGAAACAACAAAATTCAGGACGCTTGTTTTTTGAAATATATTGTACTGTGCAAACATTGGGAAAAAATTGTATACATCCCATATTCTATTTTAAAAACGGCATAGAGTATATGCAGTACTGTATATGTGCGGGCCATGACATCGACAGTCGATTACGGTCGAATCGATTGCCACTTGCTCGGCCATATATTTCAATCAAGAGCGCATCGCGAGGCGGCCGTCTTTGTGGGCGGCGGTTTGCAGGTATAAACGTGTCGGCGACGCGATAATTGGAGATAAAATCAGGCGTTTACGAATAATTGCGTTTTTCTAGACGCCGCAGGCGCCCAGTTATAAATGCACCAAGTTATGGGGGACAAAAAAAGTCGGAAAGCAGGGTAAATTATATGAAATTACGACCGATGATGCGCGATTGTAAGGTGAATATTTCATAAGTGAATTGTTAGGGAAATCTGCGCAATGCTGTGATTGTCTGAAAATATTCCGATCAGATTCGGTCAACAAACTCTCTTCCGAATAGGCAAGGTATACGTATACAGGAGATTAATTACGGCCACGCAAACACGCGCTCCCCGTTGCGGTAGACACTCAGCGGTCCGTGACGAGGTTGATGAATGATGGCAAGTTTGGCAAGGGCAAAAGAACAATGAGTATATAGAATATACAATATGCAATATTATGGTATTGTATAACGCCTATAAAAGGGCCGAGAGAGAAGGGAAAACGCCTGGAAGAGGGAAGGAAGTACGCAAGTAGGCAGCCAGGCACCTTACGCCGTCACTTGATGGATGGTGACGATTATCAATAACCGACTTAGCTCGAGTTACATGTGGACGAGAACGTAAATCTCAACCGCATCATCACCGCCTCGTTTACCGGCTAATCAACGACAAACGCTCGACAAACTCTGCAAACAATTTACGCAAACAAGCGGCCGTTCGGACCCGGCGGCGAAGGCCTGCCGTTCACACGTTTCGCAGTTCGAATTGCGAGCTTTTGTTAGCTTAGCTAAATGGCGTTAGACAATAGCCGTTTGCCGATCGACGAGCAGAATTCGAGTCGTCTGTTGTTTGTTTGCGGTTCAACCGGCGGCGTCTAAAACGCGTTTCGACACGCTTTGAAAATTAGCGAAAAAACGCTCGACGTCTCTCCTTTCTGACGCCCCGTGAATACGGCTCTGACGTCACGCCGGATTGACCCGTCACGGCCTCGTCGAAAGAAGATTAGGCCGACAATAGCCGACTGTTCCTATGTAGGACCATTATCGAATTATTTCATTCTCTATCACATTCTGCGATAGACTAAAGAAAAGTAGAGCTACATGAATTAGAAAGAAATTATATTCTTATATGAATATTACTAGGTTAATGTCGTCTATGAAATCTATATAATGTACATTCAATTCTCACTTTTGTATATGCATAGTATATACGTTTATATTTATTTATTTATTGATTGAAGAATATAATAACGTATGAACTAAATTTATTTTACAATTTTACAGTATGTTTCTGACAATAAAAAAAATGAATATCTTTATCATAATACTACCGTTGACTTTCAATGTATGGGCGGTCTAATTATTATTAATTGAACGAACACTTATACAAGCATTATATACTTTTCTTTACGCATTTTATGACTTTGGTATCAAGTATAAATATATAGACTGTATATATATATAGAGCGTTTTTGTTGTTATTTCTGGATGCTAAAAACTAAGAGAATTGTAAGTAATACAAGAAAATAGAGGTGATGAAAAAGTGCTACTGTGCAGCCAATTCTGTACTATATAACAGTATATAAATGCATATAAAAAGAAGATGCAGTCGCACGACAAATTTCATCAGTCCGCAGTTCCTTTTGCGCAGTTAGCGCAATCACGGTCGTCTCCGACGCTTTATTTATCGATTTCGTCACTTACGCGCGCGCAATGCTCGTCACACATTCGGTCTGGTCTCAGGACATCGGATTAAACGTCCCATAGGTGCGATGAAGCTTCTCATCCGTGACTTATTCGAGCCTACTTGGCATGCGTTCGTCGAAAGTCGCCCCGGCCGTAAAAAATATCGATATAAGCGCGCGCGTCGTATCGAATTCCTATATTATTACGTCGGTGGCGCGGCATACTCTTTTTACTACAGGACAGCTAGTAGTAGTAATAAACGCTTTGAAGATGCTACTTTTTTCTTTCAAAGTAACAAAAACTATATCTAACTCCCCTTTTTTGCCACATAGTAACAGCGCTGGATACACCGACAGAGTACGCCCTCTGTAGTCAGTGCTTTTTAAATTTGCATTTGTATTTTAACATAGACAATATCTAAAACTGCAATAGTAAAATTTAGAAAAAAAACAAAGAGCAAGAGATAAAGAAGAAAAAGCGCGCCTTTTTTTCGATCGGTCGAAAATTCGATTTACGCGTAAATGTACGAAGGTTACGGAGTTTTTATTGTGGCAGCACTATCGGACATGCGCATTGTAAATGTTTTGTGCGCAAATCGAACACTGCGCAGCATTTAATACGCAGCTGTATAAACATGGACGCTAAATTGTATAGAAAATAGCTTGTATCTAGCTAAAATAGGCGCTCGTCAATCCGAGATCGGCGCGTTGATAGAAGTAAAAAGACGCGTAAATTATTATCGAGTAAGTATAAATCGATCGATCGGTAGCCGTGCCGAAAATGACGATGGAAAACGGCGGTGGAGAGCAAAGCATCCGCAGCGACACGAGCGGTATTGGCGGTAGCACACCACCATCCGCCAGTCAGCAGCCGCAACAGCAGCAGCAGCAGCAAGAGGATTTAATGAATGCGGCCGAACTGTCGCCTAGCATTTCACGATCGGAAGGCATCGCTGCTACAGCTAATTCAGTGTCTGCGACTACAAATCAGAACGGCAGTAATTCCTCAACGGTGTCTGCAATGATCGACGCCAGCGATTACCGATCTCTTCCCGAAGCGGCAACTTATCATACTTTGAACGGACGTATGAGTCCCTCATCATACCACCATCATCATCATCAGGCCGTGTCGGCAAACAGCTACGCTACTCTTACTCCACTCCAACCTTTACCTCCGATTTCGACGGTGAGCGATAAATTTGCCGCTGGACATGGAGCCTCACCGCCAAATATGAGCGGATCTGGTTTTAGTCTTATGTCGAATACAATGGTAGATATGAATACATCAGCAGCTTACGCCCGCTATGATGTTAAACCTCAGTTATCTAACATGATGGGTATGAGCGCTAATGTGATGATGGCCTCAAACGGTTATGCCGCCCACCAAACACCTCAAGCACTTGGACCCTCTCCTTACAGTACGGCGGCCGCTTATGGCCAACATAATGGCATCATGTCACCAAAACCTGAGCCGAAGATGATGTCGCCAAATTCCGTCTATGAATACTCAAGAGCCGGAATCGGCTCGCCTACTAGCAGCTCGCGAATGCATTCGCCCAACACCTCAATGATGCACCTTAACGGTTTGCACGGTTCTACGCCCTCTCCTCACGCCGCCCACTCGCCCATGTCGCCGGTTCGCGAGCGGGGAGCTCTCGACGGTAAGCACGACATGGAGGAGATTAATACGAAGGAATTGGCGCAGAAGATTAGCAGCGAATTGAAGCGTTATAGTATTCCTCAAGCTGTATTTGCTCAGCGTGTTCTGTGTAGATCTCAAGGCACTCTATCCGATCTGTTACGCAATCCTAAACCGTGGTCGAAGCTGAAATCAGGCCGTGAAACTTTTCGTCGTATGTGGAAATGGCTTCAAGAACCAGAGTTTCAGCGGATGTCAGCTCTGCGCTTGGCTGGTAAGTCTAGTAAGCTTTTCTCCTTTTTTTACAACAGTTACTCTCTCATTAAGTTCTGTAGAATATTTATTATTATCCTGAACTTATATTTATACATACATTCATTATATTCCACATATCATATATATATATAAATTTATATATATATATATATATATATATTATATACTGTATATATATATATATATGTATAAATATAGATACATAGATTTATATTTAAGTATATATATATATTTATGCAAATTTGTGAGTATGTATGTGTACATGAAGGTTAGAAATGTATGGGCTTAAATTTATATTTAGTTATTAAGGTGAATAAGTTGAAGCCTATGTACAAGTAATAACAAATCGAATTTAATCGAGTGCTAATGATAAAGGGAATATCAGGGAAAAAACGCGTCTAGATTATAAAGTTTGCGCGTCGAACAAGCAGTAACCGGAACGGGGCATGTTGAAACGTAACTGCGCCTACGAGAAAGGCCACCTTTTGTGTAAATCTACTTGGTGCGACCTATTTATGTTCCGTTATAATATTTAAAAATACCAAGATTTTACTGTTACAAAATCTCGCTTCTTTAAAAACCGTCTAAATCTTCGTCACGGTCTTTATAGACTGGACACACCCTTCGCCTGTTAAACGGTTGCCACCCGCCCTCTGCATGTCTATCTCGTTGCTTACGTGCACCAGTTTGGCTTTATCTAGACGGCCAACTTTTGCTATTTGGCCCTTGTGGCGTCTGATAACGGGTGCGCCTATGCCGTCTAGTAAAAGTGGGTGCGACAATCGCCAGAGACGCAATGCACAAATATGATGAGAGATTTGGGATTGAGGCGAAACGCTAAGAAAATTACCATCCGATTTGTGCGCGTCTTTCAGGAAAAATACGGCATGCATGGCTACTCTTCGTCACGGCGAGGACGGTTTCCTTATTCTACTTGAATTTCCTTATTAAAATTCTGTATGCATGTGTGCTGCGTATACTTGAAGTTGTATTTGTCCGCGAGCAATATGCTCCGAACCGGCGCTACTTCATTTTCGAGTGTAGCCACCTTGAAAATCGCAATTTCCTTTCGGCTGGACGTTGTTTTGCTGATGTTTGCTGCTGTTCAAAACCGGTCGCGGTATTACTGTTGTTTTTGAATTGTTTACCGATTTTTCTGCTGTTACTGCTGCTGTTTCTGCTGTTACGGCTGGCTTGGTAACAGCTGTCACGCCACGATGCATCGCGCAGTCTGACGCTTTTTTTTTTCTTTTTGTTTAATAGTGAAACGGTGCACGGCGACGCTGGCACCACGTGTTATAGACAAAGAATTTAAAATGGAATGGCTATGTTCGACCGTACGTTAATTGCATTTCGAAAAAACGGGGCCCCCCTCCGTAATATATTTTTGCGTGAGCGCCCGTGTTGAAACACAATGACGGTGCGCTTGAACGCCATGGCTACTGCAATAGTTCAACTGTACGCGCACAATAGACTGACTGTTGGCGCTTGCCAATAGCTTGAATAATCATAATAATCTCGCACGTTTTCAATAATAAAATAAGGCGATGTCATGTTTTTATGTAGCTTTATTATAATCTAAAATTTACAGAAAATAGAGTAGAATATGCGTTAATATTTAGAATTCCGCTAACCGTTAAAAATTTGCGATTATCGTTTTATTGCCTTTGTTCTTTTTAATGATAATTTAAAAATTGAATGTACCAAGAAGAATGACATAGAAGTCTATATTTGACGTATACAATAAACAAAACAACGCTATAGCTAAATACATGCAATGTAACAATATTCTACAATAAAAGTTGGCCGCTGCCGCTACTGAATCAGCATACTTTCATAAGCTTAACGGGCAATGTTTACAAGCGTTGTCAGGACAACAAGCGTCTAATGGCGCCAGTCTGATGGTGCGTTTGCACCAATTGCTAGTAATTGAGGCGTTTTGAGGTTGGGCGAATGTAGTTTTGTGATTGTTATTAAGCTGATAAACGACAGTCAGCTGGCACCATTGATTGCCTCAAAACCAAAACATATCGAACATATCGATTGTTTTACAGCTGCGATGCGTGCACTCTGCGCAGGAAATGAGCGGGGAAAGCGTCTACACGTTGGTTAGACGCTGCTAACTTTAGGCCGTGATGTACTCGTTCGCCAGCGCTTTGGTACTCTGTAGGAGGTCAGTCGCTCATTAAGCGTATCATGGTGCCATCAAAGGCGATCGTAATGAGCGACGAGAACCCACAGTAACAGACGCTAGCGTTTCTCTCACCTGCCCAACGTTCAAAAATTACAGCTTCAGTCTCTATTTATTCTTTCACAGTTGGGTTTGTTGTCGTTCGTAGCCGTTGACTACGAGGAACGCGATCTCGCTGATGTGATTTTTTTTATACAGAATTTTTTTCTTTCTTCTATATCTTTTACTTAGTATACATTTCAATCAAGACGCCTCTGGTCTCTCTGCAGTCAATAGCAACACCACTCTTGTCCAATATTAATAGGTTCTTTAATTTCGTTTTAAAAAGAGGAAACTAATTTTCTTGACTGAAAAAAGTCAGTGTTTAATTTTTAGAAAGAATTGTTGATGATCGTGTTTAAGCTTGCCAAAAACTAAGAGATTAGACGCTTTTATGTGTTATTCAATGGCTATATAGAAGCCATAACAAAAGGCTCTAATATATAATTGAATCTAGTTTTTTTACTTTCCAACTGCATCTAGTTACAAATCTGTAATACCAATTCTAGAACTACTAAAGAAAAGAAGAAATGTAAATAAAAGACAAAATATTTCCCTTTTCTTTGTCCTCAACAGGTGTTGATCGAAAATTTAACAACTACAATTTATTTTTAAAATTTCTCTGTCGAGAGCTAAAATTACTAAATTATAAGGTTAACGTAATAAATAATATAATTAGCTATTCACTGCCCTTTGTTACGTAAAATATATACTATATGTTCGTGTTGAGAAATTATGTGGTCAGTAAATACGTTTTCGAGACGACTACCCTCAACATAACAACAGTAATACATATTTTAAAGGAATATCTAACTATGGTATTCAATATGGGCGATATAATCATAAACTTCCAACTTATTAGTGAACATTGCTGTAAAAAATAGGATCATTAGCACTCGGTTAAATTCAAACTACGATTTTTTTTTGCATAAAAAAAGCTTCTATTAAATGTTTATTTATCACGATTATTATTGCATTTGTTCTTATAAAATTCCATACATACATACATACATAAATCTGTAAATATATGCATATGCAGTATACATTACTGTATAATTATACTTTATATCTATCTATCTATCAATCTATCTATCTATCTATCTATCTATCTATCAATATGCATATATATATATATATATATATATATTTATATATATGTATATATATATATATATATTTATTATTATTAGATTCTAAAAATAATGCATGCTAGCCCACTATGGTGGTGGTTTATGGTGCTTACAATGACTCTAAATCTTCATGATGATGGTGCACGTCGTTGGGCCTATGTACACGGTCGCGTAGTAGTTTTGATCGTATAGTGAACAAAAACAACTGTTAACCGCTTAGTGATTTTTCTTTCAGTTTATCTACCTTATAGATGCCCGAATATACCCATTTATAAGTTGCTTGTTGTTTGTGGCATGGTCTCTACAAAATTCTGGTGACGGTCCATTCCCTCGTGTGTCGTCATTATCGCACGCGCACGTTCGTGCATGCTGCCTGCAACTATTGTCGATCGTTGGAGATTCGAAATCGACAATTTTTCACTAACTCGTTGGTTTTCTCCTTTTTTCTAATACAGCTTGCAAACGCAAGGACAGTGAAATGCCAAAAGCCGAGATACCGGGACCGAAAAAACCCCGTTTAGTCTTCACCGATATTCAAAGGCGAACACTAATGGCAATCTTTAAGGAAACAAAGCGACCGTCAAAAGAGATGCAGGCAACAATTGCAGAACAACTCGGTCTAAAAGTATCGACAGTCGCCAATTTCTTTATGAATGCTAGACGACGGTCCCTTGATAAGTACACTGATGCCAACGACGTGGTGCAGGCGGCCTGTAATGATACAATAGCGGCCGAAGCTGCTGAGCAGCAGCAACAGCACCACCATAGTGCTGGCCCAGTGCACCAGAATTGACGGTCTTTTCTTTTTCTTTTTACAAACAGAACAAAACAAAAAACAAAACAAAGCTGTACATATTCTAGATGACATAGATGATGACTGGTGCTTGGTGTTTACAGCGTGCAACCGCAAAGAAATTGAGCCCCACTGCAATCCGCCAACGAAACAGACGAAAAAGCCTCGTTTTGTCTTCAATGAAGTACAACGCAGGACGCTACATGCAGTATTCAAGGAGACAAAACGGCCGTCGAAGGAGATGCAAGCCAGTATTGCTCAACAACTCGGTCTCAGCGTTACAACCGTCGCCAACTTTTTCATGAATGCTAGAAGGCGTTCACTTGATAAGTGGGAAGACGGTCTGGGCAACAATTATCGAAGCAGCGCGGGTAGTTCGAACTTACACGCTGCTACAGCATCTGCACCTCCACCGTCACATGCCCAGCATCATTCTCACGGTTCTCCTTGTACTGCCGCCGTCGTTGAAGCAGGAGGAGGAATAGAACGTGATCGGTCTCCGGAGGGCGGCGACTTGTTACACCATAGCACCAGCGCCTGACACTATTTTATTTTTTTTTTCTCTCTTCCATCCGTCCACTCGCTCAGCGAGCCATTCCACGCGATACTAGTCGCCTACTGTCTCAATTATAACCTTTTGACCTATATATACACACATAATTATAACAAAATGAATTTTAACAAACAAATACGCCATTCTTGTACATATACATTGTCTTTTTTGTTTGTTTTATTTATTGTTGCACACGCTATAATGAGGTGGCTGTCTCTTTTCAATCATTCTATTCAAGTGTTTTATCGAATTGTTGGCATTTTATTTTCAGCAATGTACAATATTTTAAAACGATTTTATGTACCATACTATTGTTTAGTGCATTATGCAATCGTTTCTACGGAATACGAGTATAGAAATTTCTGTATGTTATGAAATGAAAGACTGATGGAGTGAAAGAGGGAATGATATGGAATGAATGAAAGAGAAAATGGAGGAATGAATCGGTTTGTACGTGTTCGTTATGCATGCATTCCCTCTGGCGGTCTTTTTGCACCAGGGAGGCAAGGAGGGAGGAAAGTGGCGACAATAGAATATTAACCGTCATTTCACACGTATTTAGTAGCACTTCCTCACTTCTTCCTCATCATTCCCTTCGCAATAAATTTACAAGCGCCGTCCTCGTTGCACATAGAAGATAATGTTAATTTGTTCAGTATTTTTCTGAGAAAGAAACATTTTTATGCAAAAGAGAGGAACGTCATGTTTTATTTAAAATGAAGCAGAAGCAGTGGTTCTAAATATGCACAAACATACGCGCACAAATAAGTGCGTATATTTGTGCTAGAATGTATGTATGTCTTCTACATAACTATGTGGCTACTGTCTTTTGTGTATAGTTAAAATATGGGTATATATATGCAAATGGTGCGTGGCGTATATGGCACTTGATGACGATTTTTTCTGTGATAGCGCCACACTCTTCCGTTTTCGTACAACATTCCAGGTCCGATCTACGCCAACGATTCACTATATTCACACTGTTCAGGCGCCAGCTTCTACTTACATATCTCAAACATTCCACCATATCGCCACGGTCTAGTCGATCCTGTTCTAGTCATAACAATTTGTATGCATGGTTTTGAACGAGCCGCACGAATGACTGATTTTGAATGCAAGTTTTCGAGTTTTTCGTTTATTTTTTCCCTTAAATTACGTTATTTTCCAAATCTATTTTTTTTGTGACGAGACGTTAGCCGCGTTAACAAAGAAATAAAGTTTACCTTGTTCGTCGCCAGCAAAGTCAGCTGGTGATAAAATATAAACATATTGTGGTGTATCTTTATCTGTATTCGTATACAACATCATCGAACGACTGCTGTTTATATACGATCAGTCACAAGTTTTCTTTATGCTTGTACATTTTTTTGGTAAATTTTATTCAATTATGTTATTTTTATCGAATTTGGTGTGAGAGTTGTTTTATAAAATAATAATAAAATGATAATAATAATATTAATAAAACATATTTCTCTTTATTTTCCCTATTCGACTGGAAAAATAATCCCTTCGCCAAGATCTTAAACTTGTTACGACTAGTTTTTAGATAATTCTTCGTATAAAAAAATCTCTTTTTTCATTAAACTAAACATCGTCAATCGAATTGGCTGAAGATCTGCGAAGTTTAATTTCTGCGTCATTCAGCTGTCGCACATTCTTTTTTGATACTCGAACGGATTTTTGTTCCTCTCCAAGACTATCAGTTAACTTGACTTCACCATATTTCTTCCGATATTGCCGACTTAGTTGTTTATAGTAATAAAGATCACCCATAACATTTTTTAATCTAATAAAAATAATAAAAAATTAAATCATAACAAAGAAATTCGAATATTACTTTTCCTCGTATTTCATAGCTTTTTCCAATTCACTATTCATTTGCCTTTTTAAAACCTGTTAAATAATGTAAATAGGAAATGTAAATAATTAAAGGTTATTAGACCAATTTATATATTACTGAAATTTCAATTTCATAATCTTTCTGTATCTTTGTTAGCTTCTTCTCTGTTTCAATAATTAAAGCTTGAAGTTGACCTTCTTTCAAAATTTTCCCTTCTTCTAACTCTTCAATCTTTATCTGATGTTGGATTTAGCATTAGTTTATTACAATATAGAGATAAAAATACAAAAACTTACGCTCATATGTTCATTGTTGTTATGAAGCCAGTCTAGCTTTTGTAATAAAAATATAACTCTTTCAAAATAATACCGTAACAAATATTTTGATTCTTCCATGTTAAGATCGCCTAATCTACTTTGTAGAGTTTTCTCGGACTGTAAAAAGAGCTTGTATAAAAAAAAAACATTCAAGAAAATTAGAAGAAAATACTCTACCCAGTTTGACTTCCATTTGTTAATTTTTACTTTATGATTTTCAATCATTTCATCTTTATACGCTAAAGTAGAGTCAATCGCCGATATTGCATCATCAATGTCTACAATTCTATAAAAGTAATATAAGTTAAATAAGGTATATTTATGCTAATTAGAGATTTGCCTTTCTGAATCATCAGGAGATGATGAGCTCCGTTCTTTTTTTTCTTGAAGTAATATTCCATTCTATAAGTTGGATCACGTAAACCGTTAAGTAAAAATAAGACAACATTTATCAAAACAACCTGATCAATGGCTTTATGACGCATCTTTTTCAATTCTAATTCTCCTTTCTCAGTCAAGAGACTCTCTCTCTTGGCTATCATATTATCACGATCGATTATTTCAGCAAGTAAATCATCTTCTCTTTTCTTTTGAGCAACAACCTCACGAGCGCAAAAGTCTAACCAATGCATTTTTTCCAAAACTCTGCCGTTTCTCCTTTAAAAAAAAATCAGGTTTAATTTATTGACTTTTTCATTGTTATCATTTGAATAAATTCTTACGCCAAGGGATCTTCGATGGTCTTGCCTACTTTTTTTTCTAATTCCTTTAAACGTTTTTCATCAGCCATAAGCTCATCCTAATTAATTTAGTTTTTATATTTAGTGTTTTAAATTTTCTTAATTAGAAAAATGTACCATAATCTTTCTTCTTATTTCTCTTTCATTTTGGACATGCTGTTTTAAATTGTGTTGTTCCGAGGTCATTTTAAGAACCGTACTTTCTAGTGTTTCCATTCTGATCAGAATTAATTAAATAAATGTTGCAACAACTTTTAATAAATGTTGATATTTTTGTGTTTAATGATCGCTCCAACTTACTTATTTTTCCGATTAATAGCTATTTTTAGGGCATCATCAAAATCTTGACGTTTCTTAGTGAGACCCTTTATTTTGTCCAAGATGTCATTTTTCTTTCTATAAAAAGTTGATTTTTAATATTTTCATTGGAGAAAAAATTAGGTAATAAATAATTTCTTACGAAGATTGTTTCGATGCTTGTTCTTCCAAGTTTAGCTCTTTAAATTCTTTTTCGTATAATTTAGTATCAAAGATTAATTGATCTCTTTCCTAATGATAATCTCATTTAAATAAAAAATAATTCAATGAAATTAAAAAAACCTCGACTAAGGCTTCGAGTTTCATTTCAACGAAATCTCTTCTACTTCGTGAAACTTCTTGAGCCCCCTTCATGAATTTAATTAAATCCTTTTTTAAACTGTGGATAATAGATTTAGTATATTATACAAAATGTAACGTCTACAAGAGACATACTCAATAGCCGTCGCAATATCTTTCAATAACTTAGTTGATGTAGTAACTTCCTTATCGCTAACATTAATTCTCCTTTTTCTTTCTGCGTATGACATTTTAATTTTATTAATTTCTTTTTCGGCTTCATTATCTCCTGAGCCCCTTTTCATAGCAGTTGGTATTTTGGATGCAACATTTCGAATGTTCTTCGGCTTTGTTACTTTGAATGTGCTTCGGGAGCGACCGTGACGTTCAAAATTGCTGAAATTTTAAAATGAATTTCAAAATTCATTAATTTTTAAGTATCTTCCCACCTGCTGATTGGCGTCTGAGGATTATTGTCATCTTCATCAAATTCAGGCTGTCTCACATCATCCTCATCTTCGACTCTACTCAACAAAATCTGACTACGAACGCAGAAGCCTTCGAATATTCTTGTTGTGTGCAAGTTAGGACTTGTATTTACTCGTCGGTTTCCTCCTGCTTGCGCTAGTCTTTGTGCTGGTACGGATTGCGCCCTATAAAAAGCTTGGCTCTGGCTTGCATTTTTATCTAAAAATTCAACAAGGTCAACAGGATGTTTGCTTAAAACTTGTTCATGCAATTGAGAAGATATATTTTCTTTTTCTTTCAGCAGTTTCATGTTTTCTACCTCCTGTTGATATAGCATTGTATTTTTTAGATAATAGCTAATATATCCTTACCAAAAGCTTAATACGCTCATTTAATTCGTCGAATTCTGAAACTTTATTAGCGAAGAGTTTCTCATCAGTTCTGACAATTTTTTCAAGCTATAAAGAAATTAATTTAATGATAAATCGAAAATTTAATTTCAAAGACGTACTCTGTTGATTTCCGCCTTCAAATCATGAACCATTGGGTCATCAAAATCTTTACATTTTACTTCTTCGTATGATTCAAGCCATTCCTGGGCCAATTTAATTGAAGAATTGTCAAATGATGGATCGTTGGAAAAGGTTGTAATCGCTTGATAGGCTTTTTTACAAATATCTCTTAAATTTGAAACATCCCTCTCCAACCTTTAAATGACGAATAGGTATTATATAAATTTGATAAAAAATTTCCGAATTTTACTTTGAAACGTATTGATCGTCAACGGAAGACGCCTCTGTAAACGACGTTTGTTGTTTGAACAGTTTTTCTTTCAAGAGCTAATTAAGAAAAAAAGTATTACGTCTACAGTCTCTGCTTAAACAAATAAACCTTTATTTCACTTTCCATTTCTTCAATCTTAACTGTTCGGGCATCTTTATTAATAACAGGTTTGTTTTTTATTTTTGCAGCCTACAAAAGCAACAAAGACAAATCAAGTATGAGATGGGATAAAATCATAAACTTTACCCTGGCTGCATAGTTCAAAGCTTTTAATGATTCATCCATGTTTTTAGATGATGAGTTAATGCAACAAATCATAACTGTTTGAGCTTTTCCACCGAGCGAATCTTTCAAAATGCGTGTAATCTTTGAATCCCTATAAGGGACATGGGACGAATTTTTATCTGTTAACGCCGTGATGACTTTACTAAGTCTAGAGAGTCCACTATTTATAAAGATGGATTCTAAAAAATTCATAAGAGTCAAGAAAATTATTATCTATTATAAAAAAAAACCTTTCATTTTCTCAGCGGAGAGCTCCATTTTACGAGGTCCTTCTGAACCGGCTAGATCGACAAAATGAAATTTCGATTCTAATGTATGCTCCATTCGACTTTCATCTCCATCGTTCAAAATCTGATTACTCCATGTTTGAGCTAAGGAAAAATAATCATAACGATATAATGTATGTATATATTTGCAATTTAGAACGGCTAACTTAGAGTAGCAATATAGATGGCATGAGATCGACTGCTCATTTCGTTCAAAGAAGTAGCACCTATTTGCCGATTGCGTTCACCCTCTTCAAGCAAGTTTACCATCTCTGCTGCTGATTTACAAGAAACTTCTTTATTATTTTTAATGATAGTTGATCCTTTGTCATCTTCTTGAATTAGTATATCTTTTACCATTGAAGAATCGAGGAGGTCGCGTAATTCTTCTTTATAAATTTCGAGATATGATATTTTAATTGATATTTTACGACCTTTTATTTCCTGTATTCGATTTTCACATGTTTATTGATTAAATATTAATTGCATATTTACATTTATTTTGATAAAAATATCTTCAGCAACTCGAGGAATTAAACCTCGCTCATCCTCTCCTTGCGTTGAAGAATAGCCACCTATCGTATAGGTCTTTCCAGAGCCAGTTGGGCCATAGGAAAATACAGTAACATTATAGCCTTCAAGACATTTTATTAGGAGAGGTTTTACGGTATAATCGTAAACTTCTTGTTGAGTGGCTCTTGGAAGAAAAACTCGATCAAAATTGTAACTCTCTTTTCTTCCTACAACTATACGATTTGGTGAATCAATCTTCAGACAGGATTGTTCACCAGCCAATTTTTCCTTCGGAAGCAAGGGACGAGCCTAACGATCAGCACAAAGATAGATTTCTTTTGACTCTGATATCATTCATACTTACTCTAACAACAACTTTTACTTTTACTTCTTGAGTTGACATATTTTGGACGGAATAATTGTGTTAAGACACGAGTTAAACAAATCTAGGCCGACATATTAGTGTCTGCTACCACCAGATGTCTCTGCTTTCAGTCACGTGATTATAAAAGGTTTATTGTTTTTATATGTAATTTTTATTCTTTTATTTTAAAAGTATTTGTATTCCAATACACGTAGAACACAAAATGTTACTTAAACGTAATTTATTTGACTTATTGAGCAATTTTATGTTGGGAAGCACCACATATTAATTACTAATAATTTCATCGTTACATGCTTTAAATGTATGCGATCCAAGTTAAGAGGAAAAATAGTACCTGGCGACACACATTAACATTTAGATATGAATATGTAAATAGATATACATTTGAGAATATCATAATATATTTTGATATATACCTTTCGGATTTTGTTGTGTTGGAATGCAAATTTCAAATAATCTAACATACAAATTTAATGATATTAAATGTTAACATGATCAATGACTAGCGTTTATAATCATTTTTCGACGACTACATCTGCATTTCCTTTTCTGATAAGTAGATATCTGGACATCTTGACCAATCCTTTTTTTCTTTGCAGTCCCAATATTCATTTGTAAACATGAAAATATCCCCACCCGAGTATGGATCATTTTGTTGCTTAAACCAGCGAGGCTTCCATTGTTCTGGTTCTTTACCTAGATTAAGGTAAGAGAATATATATTTCATGCAGAAAAAGTGTAACATTTTCATAGTTGAAAATAAAAAATATGTTTAAAGATAAAAATCTCTCAACTCACCTGCAGCAAGGGCTGCAGCTGCAGCAGCTTCTCTCTGTCTTCTAGCTGCCCTTTGCTTTTCCTCCAGTTTTACTTTTATTTGGTTTGCTTTATCCCAGTCTGCATTTTCCATAGCTCGCTGATCTTGACGATATCTTGAATCTGTTGGAGCTATATTCTCCTCCATTTCATTAAATTCAATGGCCAGTTTTGTCATATTATAGCATTTTTCCAATTCTGGGTATAATTGTCGTCTCCATAAAACTCTATGCTTGCCAGTTTCGAAAACAGTTTTTTCTCGATTTTGCGTGGTATTCAGAACCTTAGCTCCTTCAATATAATCATCCCACAGTCCACGTAAGACAAATTTTGTCTCGCCAGCAACATCGTTGATAACACCAGTTACTTTTCGAGGAGGTTCCCTGGAGAAGTAAGAATAAGCAGAATATTTTAAATGGCATAAATCCCCTGTTGTATGATTTTTTATATCCATTTCTCCGTGATTATCCACCCATAATCGACCAACTATAATGTTGTGAACTGTCGTAGTAACTTTCCGCCAAGTATAATGGTTCTTGGTTTCAGGAAATTCCAAATGGGCTATTCCAAGGGGTATAATCTGTAAATATTTCCCCCTAAATTTGGATGACATTGTAAATTCTTGCCAAAAGCGCCATCCTCTGCCCTCTACGTATTGGGCACACTTTGGAGGATGATGTGAAACTTGTTCTGCAATCGAAAGCCATCCATAATCTTCTCTTCTATCTGCTTCAAAAGTTTCTCCGAGGAGGGGGTTGAATGGTTTACCCGTTCTATGTCCTGACGTATTAGCGTAAGAAGATATAGTGAAGGCAGCTACGTAGGCCATTTGTTCACAGCTGTCATTGCAGTTAGCAGCATGATCTAATAAATCATAATATTCGAAATCCTCAGTAAGACGTTGGAGGAAAGACAGCGGCTCGCTAAAGTTAACAGGCATTGGAATTTTTGTAAGTTCTTTTCCTATACAGTTTTTCATAATGCTCCATAAATTAAGACTGTAATTTGGTCTATCTGGGATTCTTGATCGACGAATTCTTGATGACTTATTTACTTGAGATATGCTTCTCTTCATCCAGCCTTCGGAATCAGTGCTTCCATTTCTAACATGCTGTTTTACAGTAGAGTCGGAACTTTTACTCTTTTCAACTACATCTGGCCATTGTGGCTCCTCCAGTGCATCCATAAATTCATTATCCGAATCTTCCGAGTCCGATGCATTTGGATCCTTTTTATTTTTCTGACGTGAACTGTTAGAGTCATTCAAAACCCTAAAAGTATTTTTTTCCATTTCTCTGTGTTGTTGAGCGAGCTGTTCTAGCATCACCTCCAATGTCTGACGTTTTTCCTGCTCTGAATTAAATAACTTTTCCCATCTTTTATCATGAGCTTTGGTATTGTCTATGAGCTCATTACAAGTTTTTATTACAGCAGCTAATGAAACGTTCAAAATCGTTGATGAATTGTTTATTTCCTTGCAGAGAATTGTAACTTGGTCCTTATTTTCTAAGTCTTTTTCAATTTCGTGTATATAACTTAGCAGAGATGTTACATGCTTTTTTGTTACTTTTTCCCGAGTGTCTAGGTCGGACATCTTTTGCTCTAAAGTCTTTACGATATTGAAAATTCCTTCCATATCTGTTTTGTTGTTAGAACTAATTTCTAAATCCTCATCTTCGGAGTCCTCAAGAGTTATAGCATTCCTTTTCTCCAATTCTAATTTAGTTACCCATCTTTGCCTCTCAACTTCCGACAAAGCTCTTAAATGAAACGTTAGAACTCCTGATACAGCAAAGTTGAGTGGCACTTGATCTGTTCGAATTTCTGCCGTTTTCAAGTTAATTTTACCTCTACAAGACTGGTCAACTTCGTCTGGGCTCCTAAAAAGATTTTAGATTAGCAAATATTTTTTTTAAAAATAGATATCTTACCTATAATATGAGAGTAAGCCATTTTTAAGAACAAACCATCTTTTCTGATAACCTTTGATGTAATTTGTCCATTTTTGCAGGTATCCTGCGTGTTCATTTGACGAGTTATTCGTCATTTTTAAATAGATTAGAGTAGAATTTAACGTTTGTGTAGTCTGCTAGCCACGTCCATTTATCATCTCCGCAGATATTTTTAGTGTCTTGAATGTTTCTCGACTAAAAACTTATTAATAAGTTTACAATTATATTAGTTTAAATTTAATATCGAAGAAAATTTTTACATTTTATTTCTTTAAAAAATAATAATTGATTATGATGATGTCACGTGATGAATTCGACGAGAGGCCGCTATTGTGGAATATAGTAGCAAAACGTAAAGTTAAAGTGAAAGAAAATGACCCTTAGATACGAAGGAAAAGTTACTATTGTTACAGGAGGATCTATGGGAATTGGAGAAGGGTGTGTTCGAGTTTTTGGTCTGTTCTACGCAATAAAAAAATTTTAGATTTAATTATCAAAGTTATTTTTCAGTAAAACATGGTTCTAAAGTTGTATTTTGTGCGAGAGGAGGTAAGATAAAACAGATGTATAAATATAATATTCTTATCAGGCACATTTCTACATACTGCCATTATAGATAATGCAGGTGAGGCACTGGAAAAAGAATTAAATGCTAAAGGACCAGGCGAAGCTTATTACATAAAGTGTGATGTAACAAAAGAGGATGATATAAAGGTGAAAGGTTTTCCTCTCTTTAAATGAATTATATAATGTGAACATTTTCTAATAATTTCAGAACCTTATTAAAAAGACTGTTGAAAAATATGGTCAGATAGATTGTGTTATAAACAATGCTGGAACTCGTAAGGTTTAAGTTTTTATCCTTATCATTTCTAGAAACTCCCTTTAACGCCCTCCAGATCCTCCTCACAAGCCAATTGATAATTTTTCTGCTGACGAATTTCGTGACCTTTTAAATTTGAACGTGGTGAATTATTTCTTGGTGTCTAAATATGCTCTTCCTCATTTACGGAAAACGAAAGGCAGTATTGTTAATGTGTCCAGTCTGGTTGGAGTCATGGGTTAGTATTCGAGTTTTGACCCAACGAAACATTTAAGGTTTCAAATTGTAGGCCAGAGTGGGGCTGTAACCTACTGTGCAACGAAGGGTGCAATTACATCTATGAGTAAAGCTTTAGCCATAGATGAGGCTGCACATGGGGTTAGGGTGAATACATTTTCTCCCGGTAATGTTCTAACTCCTTTATGGGAATCATCTGCCGAAATGAGTGGTGATGCAAAAGCTGCTCTACAATCAGGTGCTGAAGCTCAATGCTTGGGTCGATTTGGAACTGTCGAAGAATCTGGAGAGGCCTGCTTATATTTAGCTGCCGAGGGTTCTTTTTGTACTGGTATCGACATAATAATGTCTGGAGGAGCTGAGCTGGGCTACGCCAAGAAGACTCGTCTAGAAAATCCTGATAGAGTTTATTAAATGATTTAAAATAAACGTAATGTGACAGTGCTACGAGTAAGTTCAATGTCAATACAACTAGACACTTTACAATTCGACCTTCTCCTTTGGCTTGTTTAATTTGAACGAGGTAAGAATGGAAACACGATTTTCTAGTTGTTGCTTTTTTGCCTCTGAAAGCTTTCCCTCACTCAGTTTCTTCAATCTCTTTAATTCTATTTCAATAAACTCATCACCCTTTTCTATAATTTTCTCCATTATTTTTATGTAAAAGGCAGCAGAAACCTTTTCTTCTTTTGACAATTCTTTTTTAATCTCTCTTGCTTGATTTAAGACTATTGAACGATCAGATGTGAAAAAATCTAAAATAATTTTATCATATTTTTCCAAACATCCTGGTAATCCAAACCATAAGCCGGAATTTTCAACCATAAACTGCTTGATTCCTTCAACACTTTTTGTATTACCAGTATATGTTAAAGGATCATGGATATTGCCGTTTAAGAATAGTTTATAAACTGGAAAATCTTCTTTTTTCACGGAATAAATTTCCCCTAAATCAGCATTGTCTTTCTCGCCATAATCTGAAAAATACCGTGATAAGAAATTTCACCAGACTTCAATATGCTATTTACCACTTATATGAACTTCGCCAGTAAGTATTTCTAATTGCGAAAGACACGCCTCTGTTACTTTTTTGAACACATCTTGCTTTTCCCCATAGGGGTAAGACTCATCGAACTTAATTAAGACCGCTTTGAATTTTGGAACAATCTAGAAGAATCACGAAAATAAAGAATTGCATGAAATAAAGTGCTTGTGCTAGTGATTTACCTTCTCTAAGGTATTTTTATTAAATGCCACTGATCCTTTGATATTTTCGGTGGTGGTCCCAGTTATAAAGAAAAATAAAGTTGCAATTATATAGAATTTCATATTTTTTTCCAAATATGACCGGAAATTATGCCTATGTATATATTTGTCAGATATATTAAATGCTTTATCAAGAAATCTAATAACTGGTAGGTAAAGAACATTTTAATGGTTGGTGAATTCGTTACTTTCACGCTTAAGAACTGATATACTTTATTATAAATAAAGCTATCATTTTTCTTTTGAATTCTCTTCTGGCAATATTTAAACTCTGAGATAAATCATCTCTTGAGCGATATTAAATGTTTATGCTAAACTCTCTTCTTCTCCCCTATCAGTTTTTTGCATCGAGAGGATGGAAAAAAGAAAAAGAAGCCGAAAAAGAGTATTAATTATAACAGCTGACGATTTTGGGTATTGTCCTAAACGTGATAGAGGTATCTTTGAGCTGTTTTTGGAAAAAAAAATCAGTCGAACATCTGTTCTATTGAGCGGCTACTCTTCTCGGCATGCATTAGATGTTGCAGGGAAAAAATCATATAGTGTTGGTTCGTTTACTTCATATCTTAATGAAACAAGTCTTGTAGTTACTTGATCTTTCAGGCTTACATCTAAATCTAACCGAAGGATATCCGATTGGAGTTTCCTCATTCGAGTCGTCCCTTACAAATGAATGGGGCGAATTCCTTGCCAAAGCTGATTTTGCATCGGCCCTTGCTAATGGGCTAATTTCTGATAAAGATGTCAGTATTTATGTTAATATTACAGGACGATAAATTATATTTTAACTTGCTAAAAATTTTGCAGTTAAAGTTAGAGATTACAGAACAAATTCGTGCGTTCCGAAGGATATCTCATGACCATAACCTACCAGTTCATATAGATGGTCATCAACATGTTCATGTTTTGCCGGAAGTATCCAGAATTTTAGATACTGTCTTGGACGATCTAGGAATGACAAATGTTTCTATTCGCTATCCTTTTGAGCTATTGTCTGACGTTGACTGGGTCAAAGAAGAAAATTTACAATTTTACCGTTCGGTTTCTAGTCTAGCCACTGCTTGCCAAAGTTTTTTTAATAAGTATAGACATCCGGACGGGTTTATCGGAATGTCTATAATGGGATCAAATATGACACTAGCTAGGCTTCGCGCAAAACTTGAAGAAACATACAATTACTTAAATTCTACACTTGATAAAGATGTAGCTGTAGTAGAGCTCATGGTACATCCTGGCTATAAAAGTCTCAGCCATGTCGGAGGATGCGGGTTTGTATGCAACTGGACTTTGGTTTATCTAGTTGTTAATTTTTTTTCTTTTATAGATTCCTCGGACCTGATCAGTTTTCAATGTCAGTTGAAAGAGAACACGAATTAAACCTCTTGAAAAGTCCCGAATTTAGTGAAATACTCGAAGAACTTGGTATTCAGTTGGCGCATAGTGAAAATGTCTCCAATTTTTTGTGAGATTGAAACTTTATTAGGATCTTTAGATCTTCATTCACCAATATTTGGATTATAGTCCAAGTTCTTAACTATTTCTCTCCGATTCCATTCTGTAACATTTAATTTAGTATTAATTGTAAGAGATAGTTAAGAATCTTGAATTCGTTGTAATATTGTTTCTCTTTGAATTTTATGTAGTTTTGTTGATTAACTGGATTTATTATAATTAAAAAAATTATAATAAATAAAAGAAAAAGTTCATTGATTTTTAGAGTATCAAGTGTTTCTTTAACTTAAATGGAAACTCTTTAAGATTAGTAATCCAGTATTCTACATTTTAATGATAGAATTTCGTCTCGTAATTGAACAGATGAATATATGAATCTTGTAAATTATTATTATTCTAAGACACAACTGTTATATTTTTTTATCAAGAATTTAAAATAATTTATTTTTTTTCATAAAAAAAAATACTAAACTTAAAGGGTTTTTGAGTAATAGTCTATCTAAATGAAGTATAAGAAACCGTTTTAAAAAGTTACACATTTCATTTTCTTCCTTCCGGCCAGTTATATGCGCTCCCAGCGTGAGAGCTGACGGCTTGCCCCGCCAGTATTGTAGAACGGCTTAATCCAACAGTGCTTCTGGGGGTTTTAATTCCATAAAGTGAGCCGGGAGTGGAGGCTCCATGACGATCTGATAAAGTGATAATGCATATTAATATGGTTGAACTTATTATTAGTATTTTTTCTTACGATATCCGGCTTGTCTGATGTTACTGAGTTTCAAAAAGTGTTTCTTGCGCTTGAACTTTCCAACACTTTCTTCGTCTACTTCTTGCCAATACGAAGCTACACATATTATTGCACATATCTGAAATTTTATCATTCATTTTTAAATATACTTAAGAAGAAATGTTTAATTATAATTAAAAATCTATTTACCAGTAAAACCAAGCAAATAACCCAATAAGCAATAACAGCATGGACTTCAGGGATAACAAAAATAATGTCCTGTTAAGAAATTTGAACAATATATTAAAGAAAATTTTCAAAATTCAAAAGAAACTTACAGTGAATCTATGACTTCCAAACCAAACGCAAGTATAAACCAATAGAAATAGCTCCCAAGATCTATGAAAAATCGAGAAATATATCCATAGGAATATTCGATTCTTTCCATATAGACCCTGTTGATATATGTTAATTATAGTTAGGTGAGAAAAAAACATCGTTGATCATACTCGATTGACTCCAATAATCAGTTGCAAACCAACTATGATTAATATAACATTGAAGACCTGCGCTAAATATACAATCGGTATACATCCTGTATGGAAAATTCAAGTTAATTAAATGATCCCCTTAATTTTTCTAATACCTGGTGGTAGAAATATTTCTCTCTCGTTAGCCTCTAAATTATCTTCAAGCCAATGCATATTATATAAAAGAATTATTCCTATACATATATTTACCGTTCCCACTACCTGGAAAATTAAGACAGGTGAGCGATAAATATGATCTTTTTGGTTTTTTAAGGAAAGTAAATACTTACAAGCGTGAAAACGCCACTCGCTTTGCTTCCTTTAGATAGAGATTCAAAACAACAGCATCCTGATATCCAAGGCATGATAAGGACGCTAATCAGAAATGATAAAAAGTTAACTCTCTATGAAACTACAGACGGCGCTGTGTTTCAGGTAAGAAAATAACAGCGTTATCGAGTCATGTGATAGTTAAAAATGGCGGAAAGCGGTGGATTGAAAGTAAAACAGACTTGTGCCGCTGGCTTGAGTCGTTTTATAAGTTTTGCATCAGAATATGATACTCCTAAGATTGTTCATGTTAAAAGCAAAAAAGTTGGCTTAGTCAATCGATTTGTACAATTAACTGTCATTGCGTACATTATTGGGTAAACATTATAATATCAAGTTTTCTAAACTTATACAATAAAATGTTTCAGATATGTAATTGTTTATAAGAAAGGTTATCAAGAATTCGATGATGTAGAGAGTGCCACAACAGCAAAACTTAAAGGTGTCATTTATACCAATCTTACAAACATATCAGACAGTCTAAATGATATCATCAATCATCGTATTTTCGATGTAGCAGATTATGTCATCCCACCACAGGTTGATATATCAAAAGTACGCTAAGAGTAATTGGTAAATGTATAGATATGTTTATTATAGGAAACTGATGCATTTTTTGTAATGACAAATATGGTATTTACACCCAACCAAACTCAATCTATTTGTCCAGAAGACCCTAGTATGGCTAATGTAAATTGTACTGTAGATAGTGATTGTCCAAAAGGGGCGCCAGTCATCAATGGTAATGGTGTTAGGACTGGAACATGTAATGTTGAAACTAAAACCTGCAATATTTATGCTTGGTGTCCGGTCGAGAAAGATGTTCTTCCGCTGTAAGTTAATGTTTTAGAGAGTTCTCATTTATTGAAACTATTTATATTTATATAGGCCTAATGATTCCATTCTAAAAGATTCTAAGCGATTTACTGTTCTAATAAAGAATCAAATTGAATTTATTAAGTTTGGGGTGAAGAGAAGAAATGTTATTGACATTATTAATGATAAAAATTATTTACGAAATTGTACATACTCGAGTACAAGTGAGATAGATCGATTTTGTCCAATTTTTGAATTGGGAACTATTGCAAAATATGCTAAAGTCGATTATGATGAAATATCCATTAAAGTATTTTATCTTTTTTATATAATGTTTACTATAACAAATAAATAAAAAAATAATACAATTTAACAGGGAGGCGTTATTGCAATTAATATAAGATGGGATTGTAATTTAGATTATTCAGAAAAGCAATGCAGACCAGAATACAGTTTCAGAAGATTAGACAATAAGGATGTAAATATAGCAAAGGGACTAAATTTCAGGTTTAAATATAATCTTGCATGATCATATGTTAAATGAGTTTTATTCATTTAGATTTGCAAACTATTATACCGATAATAATCGAAATAGTCGAGATTTGGTCAAAGCTTATGGTATTCGATTTTTAATTAAGGTTACTGGCCGTGCTGGAAAATTTAATATAGTTCCATTATTTTTAAACATTGGTAGCGGAATTGGACTTCTCGGCATTGTTTGTTGAAATATATTTGATGAGCGATAACATATTTATTTAGTAATTTGTAATTGTTTGACAGGCGACAATTCTATGCGATTTCCTCATGGTGCATTGTTTGAGAAAAGGCTACTATTATTATGACAGAAAATATTTTATAGTTGAAGACGTAGACAAAGAATTCTCTGAAAGTTATCAAGAACAAGTAACTAGCAGTCAACTTCAACCGCAAAATGAAGAAGAGCACGTACGATCTCGAGTTGGTGAATACAACAGATTTAGAGACTAATTTAGCTAAAATAAAAAAATTATGTTTTAATACACGATCAAACTTTATTTCGATTTCCTAAAATCTTCAGTTATAACATAGATGGCGTGCGCGCTAGAAAGTTTATTCGATTAGCAACGGAACGGGAAACCAAGCTCCTAAGTGTCTATTGATAATAGCCAGTGCAGAAAATAGCTTTTATGTATTTATAAATTATTATGGAAAATAGACAAGATAACGCCCTGAATCAGCGGCCTCATTGGTCTCATTTCGAGTGTGATGCAAAGATGCAGAACGACGCTAAATTTTTGGAACAAATGTCCCATACTAAAGGCGATGACGCTCCGAAAGATGCTGTAACTCGCCCTATCCAAAATCTTGAATTGCAAGCTATGCTAGAAGGTCATGATCTATGGGCTTATTCCCAAAATAAGCCTCATCTTTTTTCGGTGGGCGGAGTTTTCTACGTTTACAGTCAAAAGACGGGATGCTTGGATAGTGGTAAACACTTCTCTCTACCCCACCTCGGATCTAGACTATTCTGCTATAACAAAACAGACGATCGTCTCGACCTTTGTATGAAGCCATATGGCCACTTTGCAGTAGAACCGAACATAGAAGAGCTGGCTTTATCAGGAAAGGTTCAAGGACACGGAGTCCAAGCATCAAAAGCTACAACTAACATTAGAATGCCTAGTGATTTACCACCGTTTCCGCAAACAGAGACCCGTAAGAAGTCATTACCGCAAGTAATGGAAGAAGATAGTTAATTTAAAATGTTAATGATTTATTTTGTTGTGTGCAGGTTAAAATTTACACATATAAATTGATTTATTTTCAATATAATTAATTTTGTTTTTGAGGTAAACGGAATGATACTCTTTTACGATTCGCAGTGGTAATAGTATCGCTCTCCTCCTTGATTTCAGTTTCCAGAGTTTCATTAGTGGGTAAGAGTTCCAGTTTACTTTGGATTACTTTTTCATTATTCAAGGCCAAGTTTTGTAAGACTATATAAATAATGAGAGCCATAACACAAACAGCCAAGGAAGTATATATGAGCCAAGAAGGACTTTTCTGAAACAGCCAGCCCACTAGTGATGGCACTAGCATCTCTCCAAGGGCAGATCCGACAATTAAAAATGAGGCAGCAGGTCCGGTAACATTTAGATATCGCTCGGCCCAAGTGAGACCCGATGGAAAAATAGTTGCTAATCCAACACCTAAAAGACCTACCGAAAACCAAATTGCATACGCTGATTTATCATTAGGAGAGTGTGGATGTCGAAAGCAAGCAATAATTGTTAATGCAACAAGAGATATAATCATATCTAATATGACCATTACAGTTGCGCTGAGACATTTAGCCAGAGGCACAGATAATATCCTAGTAACGGCGAAGGTACCCCAAAATACGCTATTCAGATACACAGCTACATATTTTGGCCATTTAAGTCCTTCTATGGCATAAGCAGTCACCCACCCGCCAAACGTCACTTCCAATCCAACGTATAAAAAGTAAAATATTGCCAAGAGAAATAAAAGTTGAAATCGTACACCGGCAACGCCACTCTCTTTATTTTGCGTGTGACTGCTCTCTGCTGGTAGAGCTGCGCAACGACAACGACTACAAATACAATTGAGAATGAAGGATAGTGATACCACAGCCAATATAATAGCTATGATAAGATAGGCAAAACGTGCTTTGGTCGTATCTTTATCACCCCTATGTATGGGATCCCCTCGAGTTGGATGAAGACTATAAGCAGGGGTTTGGTTGTGCGATGCATGCAAGGCCATAAATGGCTCAGTAACTAAAGGAGCAACAAAAGCTCCAACTCCGAAAGAAGCGTGTAAAGCTTGCATAGGAGCCTGTGAATTTGAACCCCACATGTGCAAGCAAAGCACATTTCCGCCAGTGTCTAAAAACCCTAGAGCCACTCCTTGAACACCAAATGATATTAGCATCAGTTCCAGATGTTTAATCCACGGAACAAATGCTGTTGCGATTGCTGCTGATATCAGGGAGGCCGAGAGTAAACCATATTGATTCAGTTTATCGAATAAAAAACCGCAAACAATTGATCCTAGTAAATATCCGACAGATCTACCGGGATATATGCGTGATATTTCAATTGTTGTTGTATGGGTTCTCTCTTGAAGGTCCAAAAGTGTAGGTCCAGGAACTGCAATACACAGTCCTAAACCGAAAAAAGCGGCGCATAGTAGAAATGTTCTAAAAAGTTTCGATCCCGGAGCTCTCTCTTCGTATCTTTTTATTATCGTTGTTGATAAGAGGCCAGCTCTATCGAATACGATATCTGAGTCCTCATCGTCTTCCTCCATTGTTACTTACCACGTGACTTCTTCGAAAACTGGTGTCGACTAGCGACACCTGTGTGAAGAAATCTAAATTCTCGTCTGCTAATATGGCTTACGCAAATACTGTATTTTATCTTTTGAAAGTGATGAATAGTGCATGTATAAGTTTTCATTTTCATTGCTTTATACAAACGTACATACGTATACATGAATAAAGTAAATACCATTTTGGTGCTTTATTGCTGTAAAAATGCTACTGTTTGCACCAACCAAGCACATACTATATTTTGACTAGTTACACATTGATATAGAATTTATACACTCGTAATAAATAAATAAATAAATAAGTATATATATTTAGCATATATACTTACGTATGTAGTATACACTTACTGCATATACTTTATATGTTCAATACTTTTAAGTTTAAAAACAAAAAAAAAAAGAAGAAATAAGACTTCGCCCACGTTCATGCCGTTTAAAGATGTTGACGTTATAGTTACACACGATCAGACTGTTTTCGCAAACCCAGCGAGTTATGAAAATCACAGCTGACTAGAAAAAACACAAAAACAGAAGAATAACGACGACGACGACGACGACGACGTTTTATACCATTCTCGCGCTCAGCGCGTTATTTGTTTATTAATCATGGCACAGACTACGTTCCATTACTGTTTCGCTGTTCGACTGACTGATGTTGAACGTTTTGCGAGGGTGTCGCCGAATCCGAATGGTCAGTACTTCCACCCATAGCTGTGTCGGCACCGTATTTATTTCGGACCTTCTTATTCATGTTAGCCATAATTTGGGATGAGAGTTTAAAACCATTGATTATTTCGTCTTTCCATTGATTAATTAATATTTTATCCTGTAAAATATGGAACACTATAGCACAAATAATTGATTTTTTTATTACTGACTATTAAATATTGGCTATTTGTATCTTATCAATATACATTTTGTATTATATGGGTAATATCAATTGTAATATTTATAGCATTTACTTACAGGCGAAGTGATGGCAAGTTTAGCATCGCTTTTTAAAACTATCACAATACAATTTTCTGTTTTATTTAACTTTTGGAACTCTGAACTTATATCTTTGATATCAGTCATAGGTATTAACTGCAGTAGAGAAAAATCATAAAATTGTTATAAAAGGTGTTACATTTTAAAATGGCTCTGACGTACCTCTACGCCTTTGCTTTTGTAAACCTGGCCATCTCGATTTTTGTGATAGAATTCTAAACGGTTTGGATAGAGTTTTAAATGTTTTTTCTGCCATGATTGCAAAAACGGCCCCCCTAATTTCAATACTTCTCCTTCAACTATACAGTCTGTGGGACCAACTACGTCAATTTCGTCTATTCTTGGTTTGTTTTTACGTTTTGTTTCCAATTTGTCTGTATCCTGGTTAACAGTATCGAATACTGTATCTGCTATTTCCTGTTGCCATCTTTCGCTAACGACTAACGGGAAGTTTTTGTACAATTCCTGATCGGCTTCGGTTAACTTGATACCCTTGGTATCTTCTTCGTCAAAGGAACCAATATCGAAAGCATCGGCAGCATTTACCTCACCCCTAGGGGGTATTAAGGGCGGGGGGCATTTTTGACAGTAGACGATATTCCAGTCAATAGACTTAAAGAATTCGTGTTCTTTTATTTCTTGAGCCCTAAAAAAAGTATATGAATTGTAAACAATAGACCTAAACTTTCACATTGCTCATTTTGCCGGTTTTAATCAACGTACCCTCTACCCATACACCCTAGGCGTTCCTCAACATCTCGTTTTAAAAGTCCTTCGAGTAGGCACCTCATTTCTGGGCCCATAGAATCTGGTAATTCGACGTTCTAAGCAGAAAAAACGAGTGAGAATTTTTAGGTGCATGCCACAACATCAGATACAACAATTAAAACGTAAAAGTGAACTATGGAACAACGTGTAAAAGCCACTAAAGACCCCATTTATACACCATCTATTCACTTTCATACTACGTCGTAGGAAGTGAAGAAAACACAAAATACTAATCTGCGGAAATAGTAGTACTAATAGGAAAATTCTCGAATAACCGTACCTGGGTCTGAGAGATGGCAGTAATGAAGGTGGACATACGGTAAAATAAAGAAATAAGAATCAAATATCATCTAGTCCGCTCATCAACGACGCGAATAAACACACATCCTATTTGAAAAGATAAATTAAAAAAAAACGAACCATAGTCATTGTCATTCGATCAATCTCGTGTTTGTCTTTAGTTTTATGCTGTCTAAACGGACTGTGACCTTTGAGCAGTTTGTACAACATGCAGCCAAACGAAAACCAATCTGCTGACGAGTCATAGGCTTGACCTTTTTGCAGTACTTCTGGAGCCATATATCCATGAGTTCCACTGAAACAGAAAAAGATACATAGACATGTCAAAGAGTAGAATAAAATAATATATAAGAACGGCAACCAATAATAGAGAAGCAATACAAATATAACAGTCCTTGGTACTCACACAGAGGCATGCGGCTTCTTCTTAGAAAAATCACAGGCTAATCCTAAATCCGAGATTCGCACGTGTCCATTCTCATCCAGGAGAATATTTGCTGGTTTGAGATCTCGGTAGACGACGTGACGATTGTGCATATGTTCTAGACCAAGAATTACTTCTGCAGCATAAAATCTGACTTCTTTTTCGCTGAAAACACCATGCTGAGACAGATGATAATGCAGATCACCACCGTTCATCAAATCAAGTATAAAACACAGTTTTTCAGTCGTTTGAAACGCATAAGTCATACACACAATAAAAGGGCATCCTTCACCAGTAGATACCAGAGATAACATAATGCGTTCATTTAAAGCTAATGTTTCACCACCTTTCATCTTAATACGTTTCTTGTCCAGACACTTCATGGCATACATTTTCCCCGTATCTGCCTTTCTACAACCATACACTTCACCAAAACCTCCACGCCCGATAATCCTATGCACACTAAAATCGTTCATAGTTAACTGGAACAGGTAATAACAATTAAATAATTATTCATAATTAATTTATATTGTTTATTTGCTCACGTTAGAACTAATATTCAATTCTAGATTTTTCCATTGACAAAATCGAGTATATTTATCGCTGTTGAATAAGAATATTTTAATTTTAACAATCAATCACTTAAAATCACGAAAACTTACCTCTCTAGAAACCTTTCAAATAAGCGACCGCGTAATGAATTGCAAATTTCCTCAATATATGGCTGCAAAAGACGTCTAATATGACTCAAAAGAAAGCGACGGGTCAAGTTAACGACGTTTTAAAAGTCTTTATGTTACAATATTTTACTGTGATATTTTTTTTTGTAATTGTTATAAGAACTAATAATTCAGTTTGTAATAGGAAATAATTTTTAAAAAAAAATTAGAAAAAAAATAATAAAAATATGATTAGAATAATTACAATAAAAGCTCAGGCAAAATCATATACCCTTAAGAAATATAAATATTATCGGTTTGATCAAACTAATCATGAAAACTTACCACCATTGAAAAATAAATATTACTAGAAGGCCAGTAAGTAAAAATTAATAACAAAAACATTGCTTTCTTTGGTTTGTAAGCAATCAGATTAACTAAAACCTTTGTAGAGAAAATATGCTTGTTTTAAGGCCTGTTGATGGGGCACTCTAAATTTCACACCAAAAAACGTAAAAATTTCAACAACTCCAAGAAAACTAGCTAACATAACAGAACTAACCTCAAAAACTTTCGCTGGTAGTGTTTTCGTTTTCGTCGCTCTTGTTAAATGTTCTTGAACGTGATCGACAGCTGCCTTTGAATAAGTCTGCAGGAAAGTAGAATATAAAAAGTTGTATATTTTCACTTATCTTTTACGGACGTGTGATTGAGAGAGAAGTTCTTTCATTATAAACTGATCGTAAATTTCCTTGGCAGTTTTTATCCTCTCTTCATCGGTTTCTAACTTTTCAAATTTCTTAATCTGGAAAAACAGAAAACATTATTGTATCCAGAAACTCTGCTAATGCTAATGCACCAAAACGAAATTTGAGAACAATCGGTACTACGACTAGAAAATATGACTTTTACATAAAACAAAAAAAAAATTAAGATATTACCTCTTCGTAAAATTTTAATTGGGGTACCTGTTCATCAGGTAAACTTTCGCAAAACTCCTTAAACAGCAAAAACCCTATGAAAAAAATGGATAAATGCAATGTTATGTTTTGTAGGCTTAAAATCATACCACCTACAAACTTTTAATATCATAGCAACAAAGCTGGTATCGTAAATAAAGTTGCAATATTTCATTTTATTTTACACACATATTTAAAAAGCGTTTTTATACTATTTATATTACATTATCATCATAAGGATTCACAGTTTATATGATTCAATTGTTTAGCCTCTTAAATAACGAAAGCAACCGGTGACGTTCTTAAGAAAAAACATACTCTTACCCAATTTCTGAGAGAATATTTTATCAAATGTTACTTCTTGCATCTTTTCTAGATGTTTGTGCATAACACTTCGAACACTGTTAGGGAAAAACTGGTCTTATCAATACCGTATATTAGCGTATGGATTTATAATGAGCCTTTAAACGCTGCCTAATCGAGTGATTTTTTACCAAATTAGCTATTCGAGAAGAAGGACAACAGAGAGAAATGTTACCTTGGATCGGGTAATATAATTTTCTTACTAGCTCTGGCCGCTGGAGTGGTCTTACTTTTCTCCATAGCCATTAAATAGCTTACATCCGCTAAAACTGCTTCTAGGTCCGCCATTTTCTTTATTCTGAGTAAATTCTACCAGCGGCCAAACAGCGCCCTTCAATCTGTTCGCCACTACCCCCTCAAACGATTGCAGTACCGCGAAACGCTTTGACGCCAATTGGTCGGTTTAAAATGTGACGTCACCTGCTTTTATGTTTTATAGTGTATTATTTAAATCTAAACAGTCTGTTCTCTTTTTTTTCAAGTAAATGCAGAGAAAAACACTAGTATAATTCAGTCTATGAAAAAAATATCGGGTAGTCATCACAGTTCAATGAAATTGATAGATGAGTAGTAAAATAATGCATATGGCAATTACGCAAGCAATGATTATAGAGTCTCTTCTCTTGCGAATGTTAATGCGAGATACGAGAGAATTGATAACAGGAAACCGATCTGTAACAAAAATAAAACAATTTTTTCATTTAATTTTAAAAGTATACTCACTAGCTAGTGAATTCATTTTATTTGAAATTGAAGAGAAAACTCCGCGTTGTCGTTGTAGATTTTCTTTGGTTGCCATGGCAACATTAATCTGCTCATCAATCATTCTTTCCGAGCTGAATTATAAATTGACAAAATTAAATTGTTTGTAATGTAAAACAATATAAATATATATTGTTTATGAACTTTAAAAAGTTTACTTTCTTAGATGCTCATTTTCCTTTAAATATAAATCAGTTCTTCGATTAGGGCCGCTAGCTATTGAGGTTCTATATGCATCAATATCCCTTCTAACAGAACCCAGTAGTTGTTCTCTCTGGCGACATGCTAAAACATTTGATTTTGTTTTATTAAAATCGTGTGAGTAGTCTTGAAGGATATCTCTATGTCTTTGCAATGTATGTAAAAGAGCTGCATTGTGACTTCCGCCATCCAATTTTTGGGAGTAGTCAGACATGCGATCATTCAGTTCAGTTAACTAGGGAATAGAAATATTTAAGTGCAAAAGACTATTGATTTTTGTCTTTATTAAAAGACCTTTGCAAGTAATTGCTCTATTTCCATTGACATTGTATGGAACATATGATCTCCTGACTTATTTAATAGAGGCGAAGTATCATTACTGAAATATATGATGGGTTGTAATTTTTTTTAATTAATAGTGGTTTATGTAAACAAATAAACCTGACATCCTTATGTGAGCCATAGTTGGATCCCAGTTTACAAAAAGAAACTAGTTTTAAATCAATTTCGTTTTCTAATTGACGAGCAAGTTTTCTCAAATCTTTTAAGGAAGTATCTATGATAATTATGTTATGTAAAAACATGACAAGAAGTTAAAATACCTTCCCAATGACTGCCCATATCCATGCTGTTCGACACGACTCGTCACCGGAAACACTAAGTATGCAAAGTGTTTTCGTATTCGTTGTAAAAAATATTTAAATATCTCTGATTGTGCAATATTTATGTCAGCAATGAGGTAAATTTGTCATTAGAAAAATATCATAATGTAATATCATTAAAGCCTTTCCAAATGATTGTCTTATTTTCTGTTGTGTTGACAGATTAATTTTTTAAAGGGTGTCTTGACAATTTAAACCCGCAGTTATTTATTTTTCCTGTTGGGTTGAAGAGAAACGGAGATATATAATTATTTTCTTTGCTTCTTGTGATAAATTAGATTCAGTTTCAATCGTAAATCGTAGATTTAAATGTGTAAATAGTTATCGTACCCTAAAAAGTGGCACAACCGTTAATCAAACGCTAGAGATAAGAATAATCCATTAGAAATTTTTTTCTTTCGACCTGAGGCTCTTTTTTTATTTAAAAAACCGATGGAAACGAATACTGTGTGCTAGGTCTATGTCATCGGAATCTCGGCTAACAATTTTAACAGACAAGAGTTATTTGCGAAAAAGTGAACCAATCTGTAAACATCTGCTTGAGAATTAAACTTTCAGTTTTTATAAAAAGTTATCACCGACACAATCTGTCAACTTTAAATAATAAAAACTGTCTTAGTAATAAGACTTATGAGGAAATAGACTGGAAGCCGTAGCTTAAACATCTTTGACCTTGATTTTTGCACATTTTTATGGGCATCAATCTGGGCAAGAAAACATGTCAAGCAAAGGAGGATAGTCAATTAAAAAATTGCTCCTTCGTAAAAATAAAAATAATTATTTTTAATTGATGTGATAAAAATTTACAGTTAATAGATGTCTTCACCAGAGCTCCAGTAAATACGAAAATAATGCCCCCTATGTGACCTTACAGCTGTATAGGACAATATACCGAATAGTGAGAAGTATCAAATTAAAAAGCTGTGCTTAAGCAAAGAAGACACTTAGAACTTGAATTTATTTTGGCAGTTACTTAACGTCAGCAATAATGACTAACTTTAAAAGGAGAGCAAGTTTATCTAGATTAGTGAAAACTCCCGAATGGGAAGATGAATACTTGACAGGCAACGTAGTCGCTTCTAATCGTTGGTTCTTTGAGGTGTCATGGGAAGTTGCCAACAAAGGTTTGTTATTCAGTTAATTAATTACAACTGAGAAAATTAATAATATAATTTCTTAACAGTTGGTGGCATTTATACTGTCATAAAAACAAAAGCTAGTGTGACAGTTGAAGAATTAGGCGAACAATACTGTCTTATAGGCCCATATAATGAGAACATCGTTAGACAAGAGGTGGAAATACTTGACCCACCTTCGGAGAATTTTGCTAATACTATTAAACAAATGAATGAACATGGTATCAAGGTCGTCTATGGTAGATGGTTGATTGAAGGTTATCCAAGAGTCATTCTCTTTGACATTGGATCAGCTGCATATAAACTTGACCAATGGAAAAACGAAATTTGGGAATGTAGCCACATTGGAGTTCCGTGGCACGATCAAGAAGGAAACAATGCAATTGTTTTTGGATTTTTAACGGCTTGGTTCTTGTCTGAAGTATATTCTTGCGGAAGCGAACAATTTAAATGAAAGGAATAATATAGTTTTTTTTTTGTTTTTTTTTAGTTTCATAAGAGCTGCGAAGATCCAGAAACTTATATTGTTGCCCATTTTCACGAGTGGTTGGCAGGCATCGGCTTAGTCGTTTGTCGAACTCGAAAAATCCCTATCGGATTGGTTTTTACCACTCACGCTACTTTACTTGGGCGCTATTTATGTGCTGGAAATGTCGACTTTTATAATACAATTAAAGGGGTTAGCTAGTTATAATTTTATTTTAACTTTCAGTCACTGTTAAATTTTAGAAAATCGATATTGACAAAGAGGCCGGTGACAGAGGCATATACCATCGATACTGTATGGAAAGAGCTGCTGTTCACTGCACACATGTTTTCACTACAGTATCTGATATAACTGGTTTCGAATCAGAGCACTTACTTCGTAGAAAACCTGGTAAAATCTTGATGAAAGTTATGATACATTTAGTTACTTTTTGTTTCCTTTAATCAGATATCATCACTCCGAACGGTCTGAATGTCAAGAAATTTAGTGCCATCCACGAATTTCAAAATCTACACGCGCAAGCTAAAGAAAAAATTAACGACTTTGTTCGTGGTCATTTCCACGGGCAAGTTTAAAATATGTGTTAATTCTGTCCTCTATTCTCTTTAATTTATAGACACTACGATTTCGATCTGGATAAGACGTTATACTTCTTTACAGCTGGTCGCTACGAATTCGTTAATAAAGGAGCCGATATGTTTATAGAATCATTGGCCCGGCTGAACCATCACATGCAACAAAAGAATGTGGATATAACAGTTATAGCTTTTCTGATATTTCCGGCTCGCACAAACAACTTCAATATTGAGTCGTTACGAGGTCAAGCTATAGCCAAGCAGTTAAAGGAAACCGTAAACGAGGTTCAAAGAAGCGTTGGCGCAAGATTATATGAAATATGCTTAAGAGGAAAAATTCCTAGCGAGAAAGACTTATTGAACAAAGAAGATCTGGTAAAATTGAAGAGGGTTATTTATGCTTCACAGAGATCCAATCTTCCCCCTGTTTCTACTCATAATGTTGTAGACGATAATAACGACCCTGTTCTAAACGCCGTTAGACGATGCCACCTATTTAATAACCATCATGATAAAGTTAAAGTTATCTTTCATCCCGAATTTCTATCATCAACAAATCCTCTTTTTGGTTTGGATTATGAGGAATTTGTTCGCGGTTGTCATTTGGGTGTTTTTCCTTCTTATTATGAACCATGGGGATACACTCCAGCTGAGTGTACATTGATGGGTATACCAAGTATTACTACAAATCTGTCAGGATTCGGATGCTTCATGCAGAATCATATAGATGATCCAAAATCACATGGAATTTATATAGTTGATAGGAGATACTGCTCCCCCGAGGACTCAATTAGACAATTATCGCAATATTTGTTTGATTTCGCGAGATTGAGCCGAAGGCAAAGAATTATTCAAAGAAACCGGACTGAACGTTTGTCGGATTTACTAGATTGGAAGACACTAGGAATTTATTATCAACGAGCAAGAACAATGGCTCTGGAAAAGGCTTACCCTGGAAAGATTTTCGATAATTATGATGCACAGTCCGTTGGTGTGCTCTCTAGACCCGCGTCGGAGCCGCCTAGTCCGTCGCTATCTAGAGCATCTTCACCACCACAATCTGATAGAGATATAGACGATGACGAGGATGAAGATGATCACGATAGTGAAGAAGAGAAAAGTGTTTTAAGTCAATCGGACAGATGTTAATTAATGAAAACGTTTCATTGGTGTGCATTTAGAATGTAGCTTAAAACTTTGATTAAATTTGAGATTGTTTCTATTTGCGTAAGCACAATTAAAATAATTAATGCTGTTAGACATAACGTAAAAATGACCTTATTTCATTTTTTTCTATTTTTCGGTTTTATCGCTTTTGTAGCGTGGCTTTTCAGGCTCTTCGTAATTGTATTTCGGTACGGACTTGAAACGACGGAAGACCATTCTTCTCTTTCCGCTAAATAAGCAATAGATTGTAAAAGTTAAAACTTAAAAAGAGTACCTTACATCTTATCTGGATCTAAAAGACCATGACCAATAACTAATTTGCTACGAAGACCTTGCTTAGCTCGTAGTTCTGCCAATCTTTGGTCTGAAGATGTTCCCCAAACCAGAGTAACAGTAGCGATAAGAAGCAGGAGGAAGACAAGCTTTTCGGACATGGCCAAACGAATAAGAATGAAAAAAACTAGATAATTTCTACTTGTCGTTGATTGGTCAAAGTAGGCGTTCATTAATCTGTATTGCATTAGCTATCTTAAACACGTCAAAAACGGTTCCTGATGTCTGTCACATTGTTTATATAATTACGTATTACCTCCTTAAAAGTTCTATTATTAGTCATATTCTCGTCTTAATCGATATATAACCGATTAAGCTAGTGTTCTTTTCCATCATAATAACTGCTCGAGGATTTAAAAGTCACTAATCTTAAAACTATCATTAATGCAATCAGATGACGTCAACAAAATGAAATATTTTTTTTAGTATAATAAAGATCTTCAGCATTCGGCGATAAATAAAAAATACGAGTAATTGAATATTATCATATAGTATTTTATTATTTTCCCTGGAAATAATATATAGAATTTCAATGTTGTGATTGCCAATAGGTGAAATTCGGAAAAATGTTTGGAGCCAATCAAACTGAATATGTTTCTGTCTGGTACGATGTCCCGAAGTTTAGCGCCAAAAAATTACAGATCTCTTAATAATTCCAGGTAAGGAATACAGATATGAATATGAATGAATGGAAGTGTTAGGTTATTCCTTAAAAAATTCTCTTTTCAATCATATAACTGATGACAGGGTAACAAGGTGAAACAATGGTTGATTTTCTATTTTCTTTTCAGATATCATTTAGTGTTTCATTTTTAAAAATTTTCCACTAATTTTAAATTAAATAATGAGAGGAAATATTAGGTACTTAAGTGAGATTCAAATATGAAACGCCAAGAATTTTTCAAGTGAGACGGTTCATATCTATTCTATAAATATAGTAATATCGTTTTGAAAGACGTTTTAGAATTCCATCAATAATAATTATAACAAGGAGTAGAATTTGAACGAAAAAATAAAACGTAGCAAAGGGCTTAAGCTAGCTTTTTGTGTGACAATAAGAAATTGAGATTCTTATAGTGTAGCGTGTATATTATTAGAATGTTTGACATTTAAATTCACAAGCACGGTGATGTCTATTAGAAATAGTAATATGATATATTTCATATTTTACTTATTGGTTTCACTGCTTCATCAAATATTGTTTTTTTACCCTAAAATAACTTATATTTAGAGGTTAGAACATTTTGTTCGAAAATAAGCCCTTCAGATCACGTGACATAGACATCAGCCAATCATCATACAGTGAAGATTTAGAGCGCAAAATTTGTACAACGCGCCATATTTTCCAGAATGTTTTTATGATTTAGATAAAACGGATAGATTTGTAGCTTTCAGAAATTGATAACTATGGAGATCAATGCAAATATAAATTAATTCTTTTAAAGATTGAAGTTTTAAACCGTCTTTTAGAATGCTAAGGTAAGATTAAAAAATTTTCTCAGCTTTTAATGGCAGCCATCTTTTTTACTTTGTTTGTGTTCTCCCCGCAAATGGGTTCAAAAGCTTCTATTTTCTCAAAATATAATACAAAAGTCATTTATTAAAAGAATAATTATCGATCTAGTTCCGCATTTTGAGGAAAGTAGATTAAAAGAGCACAAATTATTTTCGCGCGCTCTTTTTATTTCCCATTGTTATAGTTCGATTATATTTTCAGAAATGCAAACTCTCTAAACGGCTCTGAGAAATGTCTCTTTCAAACAAATCTCGATGGACAAACTGTTAAAGGACCATGGTTAAAGGAGGAAGATGAAAAAGTTATTGACTTGGTTAAGAAATACGGTCCCAAAAGATGGACGCTGATTTCACGCCACATTAAAGGAAGAACGGGGAAGCAATGTAGAGAAAGATGGCACAATCATCTCAATCCCGATATATCCAAGGGGCCATGGACGGAAGAGGAGGATAAACTCATCTATGAACTTCATAGCAAGCTTGGAAACAAGTGGGCGGAAATAGCTAAGCATTTGCCCGGCAGGTTAGTTTAAAAAAATTCAGGATTTTTTTACGAACTTATAACTTTTATCAATTAGAACCGATAATGCTGTGAAAAATCATTGGAATTCTTCAATGAGAAGAAAATTTGAAGCAGATCAATTGGTAAAACCCAATACCTCTCATCATTTTATGTCAACGGTAAGAGGAGTAATATAATGTAACAATGAGTAATATCTAATTTTATAGACGAAGACAAGCTTAACTCTGAATACAACACCTATTATGACAAACCCTCTTAACGCACTTAGTATCTTCACACCTATAGAAGTTGATTGCTCCGAAGGGTATTGACGTCAACTAATGTAAATTTTTAACTTATAATTGTTTTTAATTCAGAGGAAACGAAAATTCTCCGGATCGGGAAAAGAAATATTTAAGTCCACCGAAGACACCTACTCCTATTAAAGTGGCTTTGGCTCAGGCTAATAGTTTAGATGAAAACTCTACGGCCAACATTTTCACATCAACTCCTTTAGTTTCTGACTCGAATATGTTCGTTTTTACTCCAGATACAAACGCCTTTCAGAGTTTAGACAACATAAAGACTCCAACAAAAGCTCGAAAAGCTCTACTTCAAAATACTGTTACACCTCAAACACCAACTCCTATTAAGTTAGCTTTAGCTCGAGTTAGAAGCGAATGTAATTCGTCTAGTATGCTGGAAGAAATACAGCTGTTGATATCGGATGATGAGATTTTTGAAAATAAGGAAAATGAACAGCAGTTTAATTCTTCCGTTCTAGATACACCTCCAATGGCTAAAAGAAGTGTTGAATATAATCCAGAGACCCCGGTAAGCAAACAATAATAATTACACTAATGGATCAGGTAAATTTACTGATTTATTTGCAGAGTAAATCGGTGACTCTAGATAAAAGCTTTATGTTCTCGCCATCGATCATTGACGATGTCGCCCAGCCTAATGATGCCTTCTTAGCACCACCACCACCACCACCTCCACCTCATCCCCATCCTCCGTCAAAACCGTTAGATATATTACCGGAGCAAATAATTTCATCTGATTGTATCAATCAGGAATCTGAGGAAGAGGAAGCGGCTTGGAGATCCAAGCTGGAATTAGTTAGGCGTCTACGTCGCTATCCCTTACCCAAAGGAGATAGATGGTGTAGATCCATGTGCCAGTTGATTGATTGTGAGAATCTAGTCAGCTATTGCGACAATTTATTCAGCAAGCTTGTCGCCGACTCGTCTTAGAGGCGAAATTATCTTATATCTTTTTATGTACACTTATATTTAAAATGATTTTATTGTTTCCTTTCGCAGTGCTTCAATTACTTTTTATGGCGTTAATTTTAATTACTTGTCTTCGCCTTTGTCTATTATATTCGTCACAAAAAGAGATATGCCATACTGAAGTATACTAAATGTGTACACAATTGTTAACGTCGTAAAGTGTTAATTAATCAGTTTTAGATACATTATTAAGCATATTCTATTAGGGACTTTTATTTCAGAAGTTTTATTATTTATAACTTATGTTACGATTTTAACAGTGTATTATTATTTTTATCATAGCTGGAGTAGATGAAATAAAAAGATAAATTATTACGCTTCAAATTATCGATAAACTTGACGATCGTATTGAACGTTGTTCAGGTGCTATGGCTGAAAGCTGACTCACAATTTACGTAGCATAAAGGGCTTTTTGGCCGATTATATCTTAAACGTTTAAAAATAGAATAAACAAGTGATATTTTGGAGCTATTTAAAAAATTTCCTGACCTTGGCATTGGTGCAATGATAACTCAGTGATATTTATCAGGAATAGTCTTTCAAACACCAATTAGCTTACACTGCATCAGATCAATAATCTTATATTGGTTTAGTAGCAGTTTACTGCTCAGATCCAAACAATGAATTGTATTGAAAATGGGTGCTGGCTTCAGTAGTAGTCGTTCTAAGAAAAAAGAAAAGCAAGATGCTGACCACAACAAGACGGCGCCGTCGTCGACTACAGAAAGGCGTCGACCCACTAAAGAAACGCGGCGGCTCTCTGTAATGGACGGAGACGGTTTCGTACAACTAAATCAGTACTTGCTCAAAGACGACACCTTAGGCAAAGGCTCTTTTGGTGTTGTTAAGCTGGCGTACAATGAAGTTGACGACAAGAATTATGTAAGTATTAATATTTATATTATAATTTTTCAAGATTTTCTGTTCTAAATACCTGTATTGAACGTCACAGGCAATGAAAATCGTCTCCAAACGTAGGTTGCTAAGAAAAAGCAATACTTCACTACGAACTCCCCCAAACCGTCGACGAACTAATCCTCTTGAAAAAATATATCGAGAAATAGCTATTTTGAAAAAACAAGCACACCCTAACGTTGTTCGCTTGGTAGAGGTTCTAGACGATCCTGATGCAGAAAATTTTTATATGGTCTTTGAATTTGTTCAACAAGGGCCTGTTATGGATGAAATACCCACAGATAATTGGTTGTCAGAGCAGGACGCTTGGCGATATTTTCGTGATACGTTGTCTGGATTAGAATATTTACATTATCAAAAAATAATTCATCGTGATATAAAGCCGTCAAATCTTCTCTTATCTGAAGAAGGCAGAATAAAAATAGCAGACTTTGGAGTCTCAGATGAATTTATTGGATCAGATGCTCGCTTTGATTCATCAGCTGGAACACCAGCTTTTATGGCACCTGAAGCTTTAAAAAGCGGACAACAATACGACGGAAAGCCAGCAGATATATGGGCTCTAGGTGTTACACTTTACTGCTTTGTTTACGGTCAATTACCCTTCATAGATCCCTCTATAATAGGGTTATACAAAAAAATTCAGGAAAGCGACGTTAGTTTCCCGAAAGAACCGACTGTATCAGAGACGTTGAAGGATTTAATTTTACATCTTCTCGACAAAGATGTTAACAAAAGATATACTATTACGGAAATTAAAGTTTGTTTTCATCTCAAGTATTTAATTTAATCTTTTGTAATTACAAGTATTATTACTATTGACAGAAACATCCGTGGGTAACAAAATCTAGCTCGTTATTGATGCCTGCTGAAGAGGAGAATTGCTCACAAATTATCATTACTGAAGAGGACATGGATAATTGCGTCAAAATTATCCCAAAAATTGAAACATTAATCTTTGTGAAAACCATTTTACGTAACAAATCTTTCAAGTATCCGTTCAATTCTACTCATATTGAAGATGACTCAACATCAATAACCGATAGAGAGCGAAACAAAGCTGAAAAGCGATCCAATTCGCCCACAAAATCCAATTTTCAATAAATAATCAATCATTTATTTAACTGTGTTAGTACAAGGGATCACCGCAAAGAAAAACAGTATATACGTCGATAAGGATAAGTACATAATGTATACATTTTACATGCATACATACAAACACACATACTTACATACATATGTATATATAAGGAAAATTGTTTACATGTAAAACTCTGCATATAGTTAAACTCACACACCTAGGTGTCGTAGAATCAAACGTTATATTAAAAATTACCACACTTACGGAACATTTATTAAGTATTTATATCATCATACCTTCATATATACAGTAATAATTAGCTATAAGACACATTAATCGTAAAAATACATATGACCAACATCACAACGCATAGAAACGCGCGTTCAATTCATAATACGGTAACAGTGTCTATACAATATCCTTTATTCGAATTACTTACGCACTTAATCCAGAAATAGAATTCTTTCATCAATTTTATTTATTTCAGAAAGAATTGACGTTCTCCTTGGTAATTCAAACAAACTACACTTTATAATGTATATATGCACGTTTTATTTACTTCGTAAGCGTACGTTTAGATGTTCTATATTTACAAGAGTGAGCACTAGTGCGCAATCTTAAAGCTAGTCGTATTGCCTTTGCTCTTCCATTGGACATGTATGACGATTGTTGTGTCGTAATTTGTAGATAAATCATTATTTATAAGAGTTATAATTGTAAAATGCATATAAAGCCAGCCCCAGTAAAATCATTTTCGCATGAGCAGCACAAAGAAATGATAGAAGACAGTCCCTTAGAGGGACTTAAAACGAGAAAAAAATAGAAGAAAAATGTAGGCCTACGGACATCACACGTTGCGCAGTGGGCGGAGTGAGATCAAAACGCTGTGTGCTTTGCAAAATCATCTCAGTCTAACCTCAAGGAATGTTGTTGGCGTCTAGAAGAGGAAGAGGAACTGCTGGTAACTGTGATGCGACATTCAGTTTGCTCGCTTCCTTTTTCATTTTTAGCGATACAGGTATATCGACCAGCATCAGACGTGTTACAAATACCAATTTCGAGTGAAGAGACGCCCAAAGAGTAATTAATGTCATAACCAGACGAAGATGTTAACAGATTACCATCTTTGTACCATTCGATTTTTGGTTGTGGTTTACAATCTACCGTGCAAATCAGTTTAACACCAACACCTTCTACTAAATGACGATTTCGCAGTGGAAAGGTAAAACGAGGAGCTCTATCTGCTGGTTCTCGGTACTCATCAAAAGAGTCATCCAAAGGCTTCTTCTTACATAAATTCGAGACGAGAGGTTGAACGCTCATTGCTCGTCTTCTTGGCATCATTGGAGCTGCATGTTCGACCGTTAATTTGGCCGATTCCTCTCGCTTGCCGTAAGAATTCTCAGCTCGTACAACATAAGTTCCACTATCTTCATCAGATTTTAGTCTAGATATTCGTAGCTCGTATTCATTACCTGAATACTTTGGCATATATTTTATACTAGGTGACAATAGAGAATCTTTAAAAAACCATGAAATAAGTGGAGGAGAAGAAGCAATAACTTTACACATAAATTTTGAGGATCCGCCCTCTTCGGCGATTGTTGAATGAGGTTTACGTATAAAACGGGGTAGGGCTTCCTTGCGATCGAATTGAGAATCATAGATCCTATGTTCTTTAGCTCTTTGTTTCTTCAATGAACTAAAATTTGCTATACGACCAATAGTTGGAAGAGGATGTGGCCAATCAGCAAATCTTGCTCTTAGCTTATCTCTAATTGCTTTATATCTAGATGCTGGTATTCTTGTAGTTAAATCTCCGTGATCATCTTTTAGCCATGCATGTTCCAAAGCTTCGTGTACAGTCATTCGTTGACCAGCATTCTTTAAAAGTAGTCTGTTAATGAAATCTTTAGCCAATGGTGAAATTGTTTTAAAAGCTTCTTCATCAAAATGCCAATCGCATTGTCGTACATTTTCCAGGGTCTCAAAATCATCCTCTCCAGCAAAAGGGGACAATCCACTTAACAAAATGTATGACAAAACTCCCAAGGCCCACATATCAGTATAAAAGCCAACAGATTCGTGATTTGCAACTTCGGGAGCAGCAAATTCAGCTGTTGCTGTACTTACTTTTACAGCATTTTCTGGGTCTAACTTTGCTGCTAAACCAAAATCAATTAACTTTACATCGGTTGAACGTTGAGTCTCGCAAAGCACGTTCTCTGGTTTGATATCTAAATGAACAATTGACTGTTCGTGCATATAGCAGATGGCTTCACATAATTGCTTCATATAACGAATCACTTCGGCTTCGCTCATTCGATAATCATCATCAGCGATACGATCAAATAAATCACCTCCAGAGAGAAATTCAAGAATTAAGACCATTTCTTGTTCATCATCGAATGCATCGTGTAAATGTAACAGTTTCCGATGGTATAAATTATTCATGACGTTAACTTCGTTTCTTACTGTTTGTTTGTCGATGGAATGAGGTGTATTTATGAATTTTGCCACATAATTTCTACCAGATGACTTTTCAACACATCGGTGAACTACACCAAATGCTCCACTACCAAGTTCTTCCAAGACATCATAGTATTCATACACTGATCCTAGTTTTATATCAACATTAGCTGGTCTTCGTTGATTCCACGTATCTTTATAAAATTTATCATAATTATCAATCTTCGGACCATTATATTTGCCTCTGACTCGTCTACCATGCTCATCATAACCTAATGAAGGTTTACTTTTACGTGAATCGGATTCATCAGGAGTATGAACAACTCCCGTTGGTTCACAAGGTTCACTTTTACCAAAAAGATTCTCAGCCAAAATTCGGAATTGATAATCGTGTCCGGCTGATAGAGATTCGATTGTACCATGAGTAAAACGTGTTACACAAGCCTTAGACCAACTGGTCATGGGCATCTCAAGTTTTTCTATTATATATTGTGTAATACAGCTACCGCCGTCTTTTGCGGGTGCTTTCCATGTTAGCATGACAGAGTCACAGTTGACATTTTCAACTTGAGCAAATCTTGGTGGGTCTGGTTTATCGTTTACCTCGACTCTAACGGTGGCACTATCACTGCCTAATTGATTTTCCAACGTCAATCTAAAGGAAGCTGAATCAGCATTTGTAGCATTTTTTATTTTTAAGAAAGCATGACGATCTCCTAGTTCGATTCTCACATTTCCATGAGCCTTTAACTCCTCACTACCGTCTTTGAACCAAGTTGCAGTCGGTTTTGGTAAGCCAATGAATGGAAGTTTAATCACAATGTCTTCACCAACATCGAACGAAGCAACATCTTTAAATCGCGGTGGAATTTTGATCTTTGGCGGGCTTTCAATTACTAAATCAGCTCTACTTATCTTACTTCCTGCTTTGTTCGTTATTCTAACAGCATATTCGTCAGCATCTTCTCCATACACGTCTTTAACAATAAGTATTTGCCTTCCACTTTCCTCTCTTATTTCATATTTACTGTCTATATCGTGTAATTCACGAGTTCCTTTAAACCATGTAACGCTTGGTGCCGGATGTCCATTAACTTCCACCTCAAATCTAGCCGATTTACCTTGAACAGCATTAACTGATCGGAGCGTTTTAAGAAATTCTGGTAACTTTGCTGCTGCTGGATCTTTTACAGTTATGGGTCTAGAACAAACTGTTGGATTACTTTCACCCGCCTCATTCACTGCAATGACTTGAAACTCGTAAGATTTATCTTCAATTAAACCGCTAACGTTATAAATAGTTGCTGGAACTGGATAGTTGGTAACTCTTATCCATTTATTAGTTCCCGTTTCTCTTCTCTCGATGATATATCCTTTTATACGACCTCCGCCGTCTGACCGAGGTTTATCCCAAGATAAACTTACAAAATCATCTCCGACCGATTCAACATTGGGAATACCAGGAGCTCCTGGCCTATCGAAGGGTAATTTCGCGACAACCGATGATTGTGCAGTCAAAAACTTTCCTTGACCGTTTTCATTAACTGCTGCAACTCTAAAGAGATATTCACTATTTTCATGAAGGCCTTGTACATCTATATCGCTTTCTTTGTGGTAAGATGCAACTGTCGTCCAATAGGGCTTGCCAACTTCCTGCTTCTCTACAATGTAATGGGTAATCCTTGAGCCACCATCATCTGTTGGTGGTCTCCAACTCAAACGACAACTGTTTTTATTTAAGTCTGACACTTTTATAGGTCCGTTGCATTCTGAAGGAGTTGCTTTAACTTTAACTGTAAATGGCGCTTCAACAGCTCCTGCATTATTCGATAATTGCACAGTGTAAGGTCCTTCGTCTGACTTCTCCGCATCTAGATTACGATGTAATGTTATAGTTGATTACAGCAAATTTATAAGTAAAAAGTTTATAAAATCTATTCAAACTAACCTTTCAAATTTAAAACTATATAATCATCAAAGAGTGTAATTCTTAATTTATCTGGATTGACCGTTTTATTGCCTTTCTTAACGGATGCTTCGAAAGGACCATTTCCAGAAAATGGTATTTTTAATTTGAATGATTCACCCAAATCTACTGCTTGATTTTTTATATCTCTATCGAAGGAGGGTGGGGTTTGTATTTCCAGTTTAGACGATGTTGATTCCCTGCCTTTGTTATTTATCAATTCGCATGTAATCTGTTGGATTATAATGGTAAGAAATATATATATTGCAAAAGAAAGTAAAAACTGACATTTCCGCCATCGTTTGGGTTCAAGTTAGAAAGGACTAAACTAGCTTTATCTCCATCACGTGTCATTCTTGCGAAAGCGCCAGGTTTTATTTCTATGCCGTCTCTATACCATCTAATATCTTCTGGTTCACCAGTAAACTGTATTTCAAAATTAGCGTTACCTCCATTACTTGCTGTAACATTAGTCAACCCTTTGGTAAATTCTGGAGCACTTTCATTTTGATTCTTTGAGAGAGTAAACGGAATTGTTGGTGTGCTAAATTGACCTTCACCAGCATCGTTTACGGCTGCTACTCGAAATTCGTATGGCTGCGATTTTGGCAAATCAAGTAATGAAAATGAATTATCTGCAATTGGAACAGAATTGACTTTCTCCCATTCATTGGTGCCTGCTTTTCGCCTTTCAACGTTGTATCCTTTCAAACGACCGTCAACTCTTGGTTTTGCCCAAGTGAGTAAGGCACCATTTCGGCCAGCTGATTCGACATTAACCATGGATGGAGCAGGTGCTTTGGATGGTTTTGCTTGAACTTGAACGTAGCCTGTTGATGAACTTGGTTCTCCGGTACCGGCCGAATTTTTTGCTCGAACTCTAAACTCGTATTCACTATTCTTTTCAAGATTTTCTACAGCGTAATTAGTTCCTTTACAAGGTGATTTCTCGTTAACAGGTGTCCAACGAGATGAACCCTTGGGTTTCATTTCAACTACATAGCCTTTAATTCTATCACCACCATCGGAAGATGGTTTATCCCAGCTTAGTCTAACGCTATCCTTATCTGTATCGACAACTCTCAGTCTATTCGGTTGATCTGGTGTAGAGAAATTATGAGTAGCCTTTACAGGTTTATCTGTGGTGAGATGTTCATCACCCGGGCCATTTTCGTTGACGGCGGCTACTCGAAATTCGTATTCTTTATTGGGCTCTAGGTCAGTTACTTCACACTTGTTTCCACGCACAAAGCGACTAACTGGCGACCAAGAATTACTACCTTTTTCTCTTTTCTCAACTATGTAATTTGTCACTGGTGAGCCGCCATCATCTGATGGATTTTGCCAATGTAGAGTGCAAGATTCAGGAGTTATATCGGATGCTTTGAGGGGTCCACCTGGTGCTCCTGGCTTTCCACGAACGGTAACATTAAAATGAACAACGTCATTTCCTTTAATATTAGTAAGAGTTGCTGTATATTTTCCAGTATCTCCTTTTTCTGATGATTTGCATAAAAAAGTAATATCTTCTTCGCCAACTTCTACAGTCAGTCTCTTATTATCAGGTTTAACAGTTTTACCATTATTTTCCCACACAATTTCGGGTTTTGGATGGCCGTGATAAGTTATTCTGACTCTAAAAGGCTCGCCTAACGCAACATTAACATCGTGGGCTAATGGGTCGATAAATGCTTTTGGAGGACTTGGCTCAGGAGCTGGTGCTATTGCTGAATCGCATTCGGCCCACTTGCTCTTTCCTGCTTCGTTTACAGCTGCTACCCTGAATTCATAAGGTCTTCCTTGGACAAGCCCCTTTACCGTAGTCTGATGACCAGTAATTTCGCCTATATGAGCTTTTGTCCACCTATTGGTAGTAGGATCTTTCTTTTCGACAATATATCCAGAAATAGGCTTTCCCCCATCCTTCAATGGTTTATTCCATTTCAAAGTAATAGAATCTTCAGTTGTTCCAGTACATTCTGGAGCTGTTGGGGATCCTGGTGGATCGAAGGGGTGCTTCGCAGTAATCGCAGCTTCACATACTAACGGCTCACTCGTACCATTTTCGTTTAAAGCCGATACACGGAATTCATATTCCTGACCTTCATCCAAATTTTTCGCAACTGCTTCGTTATCTTTAAACACACCCGGAACTTTTGACCATTTAGATGAACCTTTTGGTCTTTTTTCAACGATATATCTCTCTAATTTAGCTCCACCATCATCTTTGGGAGGTTTCCAGGCAAGACCTATTGAAGTTGAATTAATATTTTGTGCTTTTAAAGGACCTTCAGGGCTTGCAGGAACATCAAGTACAGTGATATTTAATGATCCATTCACTAACCCAGAAGGGTTAGTAAGAGTTAGGTTGTACTCTCCAGTATGCATTCTCTTCGAATTGGATATTATTAGTATAGCTGCCTCTTCTGTAACCTTTAACGTTACATCTTTTTCGTTGCCGGTTATGTTTTCATCGTTTCTTTTCCATTTGGCTTCTGGGATTGGGTGTCCATTAATTGGAATATTAACACGTATTTCTTTACCAGCATTTACTGTTATATCTTTAACTCCTCGCATATTTAAAGATGGTTTTTCTGGCTGTTTTTCGGCCTTAACTTCATTGGTTGGCTTGCTTGCATGTCCTGGGCCTGCGGCATTTACTGCACGAACTCTGAATTGATATTTCTTTCCTTCTTTCAAATTCGGTATAGTAGCTGATAAATCTCTCACGGGAGAAACCGATGACTCTTTCCAAGCATCTGGAGAATCATCATCTTCGTCTTTAACTTCAACAATGTATCCAGTTATTTTGCCTCCACCATCATCTCGGGGTTTCTCCCAAGATATCTTCATTGAATTGGGTGTAATATCAGATACTATCGGCTGTGAAGGCGATCCTGCTTCGAAAACTGGGTCTCTTACTATGTGCTCTCCAGTAGTTGACGACGGTTTCCCTAGTCCAGCTTCGTTAACAGCTGAAACTCTGAATTCAACCAGGGATCCTTCTGATAAGTTAGGCACCGTGAAATGTGTTTCTTTGATTGGTTTTTCAAAATTACACTTTTGCCAGTCTGTTCCTCCCCTGCCATGTTTATTGCGGATTCTTTTTTCAACGTTATAACCTTTAATAGGATTTCCACCGTCCGATGATGGAGGTTTCCAAGATAAGGACACTGACTCTTTGTTAAACTTGGTAATTTTGACATCTCTGGGCTCATCAGGAGCGTCATAGGGATTCTTTGCAATAATTCCTTTGTTTGTTTCAGCTGGAGGACTAGTACCGTATGGATTTTCAGCTCGAACTCTGAATTGATATTTGTGTCCAGGAGTGAGATTTTTTATCTGAGCCTGGTTAGCATCTCCCAAGGTAGGAACTGATTCCCAAATACCAGAGTCGTCTTCACATTTTTCTACAATATATCCTGTCAAATCTGCTCCACCATCGTCTTCTGGTTCGCCCCAACTTAATTTGCAACTCTCGGCGAAAACATCGCTTACTTCAATATTAGTTGGTGATTTTGGTTTATCTGTTGATTACATTTAAATGATTATATCAGCTTATGGAGCTTGTAAACACTAGCTTACCTAATACAATCACATCGAAATTAGCTTCATCTTTTCCAAATTCATTTGATAGCTTCAAATTATACTTGCCAGAGTCTGACCTCTGAGCTGTTGGAACGTGCAATTGTACTTCGTCGTCGTTTCCTTTTGTTTGTACCTTATTAGATGGTTCGACATTTTTATCATTTTTCTTCCATTCAGCTTTAGGTTGCGGGGATCCAGTCATAGGTACTGAAATAGTTAATGGTTCGCCAGCTTTAACTTTTATCTGATGACCACTGAGCCCCAATAATGCGTCTTTATCAATTTTTGGAGCTTCTTTAAGGGGTCTTGCTTTGATAGGTTTAGAAATTTCACTTGGTTCCGATTCACCTCCTTCATTTAGAGCTGAAACTCTATACTCGAATTCTTTATTAGGTTGAACCTTAGTATCTGTGAACTCTCTATCTTTTACAGGAGTTTTGTTTAGTCTAACCCAACGGCCAGTTCTAGGATCTTTGCGTTCAACATTATAACCTTGAATTGGGGATCCTCCATCTTTAGTCGGTTTGTCCCATTTAATCGTAATTTGTTTTTTGTCACTATCGCTTACTTCGGGTTTTCCAGGTTTTGAAGGAGGCTTGAATGGATCCTTAGCAGTTGTTGATGTTGACGTTTCTAATGGTTCACTTACGCCATTATCATTTTCAGCTGAAACTCTAAATTTGTATTTCTCTCCCTCTTTTAATTTTGGAATTAAAAACTCATTAGTTGAGGGTTTAATAACATTCGGAATTTTTTCCCAAACGCCATCGCCTTCTCTTTGTTTTTCGATGACATATCCCGTAATTGGTTTACCACCGTCGTCTGTAGGTGGCTGCCAGCTTAATTTTGCATGATTTTTTCGTACGTCGGAAACAACTAACGGGCCTTCTGGCATTGACGGTGGACCAAGAATAACTAAATCTATCTCGGCGGAATCTGATCCAAATTCATTCTTAACTGTTACAGTGTAAATGCCAGTATTCTTTCTTGCAGTCAATTTATAGTTTAGAGTTGTTTTATATAAATGAGTTGTAATCGATACATTATCATTGGCCTCGATTTCCTGTTAAAATAATGAAATCGTGTTAGTAGAGTATATGGTACAAATATCAAATTAAAGTAATATATTCAATTTGCTACTGATGAAACTACACGTGTAGCGTATGTGGCTCACGTGAGTTTCATATTTAAAGGAGAGATGGATAGGATCATATAAAAGGAAAGAGGATAAGGAACAAGAAATAGAGATAGGGGAAGCAGGATAAATATTTCTTTTCAATTTTTACTTTTACCTCCTCGGTTAATTCTACTTGCATAGTTGCGACTTGAGGTTCTTCATTGTCTGGCTGTAAAGGCTGTGAAGGGTATTTAGGTAGGATTTGATTTTTTTAAACCTGCCAGTACTTTATGTTAATTACAGCAAGACTGATGCATATTTTCGGTTCATGCCTGATTAAGCAACCCAATGGACTAAAAAATAATAGGTTATGTGTTAGTTTTAGTATATAAAAAAAAAAAAATAACAATTTGTATTCATTAGATCTATTAGATTAATAGCATGTGGCAAAATAGACTTGTATACAGTAAAATCTTTATACTGCAATACTGCATATTGTCTTTTTGGTTACATTTTCTAAATTTTTTACGTCTTTTATAATAGCCATCAACATTATTTAATAAACATACGATTACAAGATATAATCGGTTAATTTTTAGAAGTAAGTTGATTAAATAAAGGGAGTAGAAAAGAAAGATATTTAACCTTATTTGATTGGCTCCATGCTGCTGTTGGCGCGGGCTCGCCTATAAATTCTACTGATAAAATAAGAGGCTGTCCAGCTTTCAGCCTTTTAGTAGGTTCATAACTTTTGCGATCAATTCTAGGCTTTACTCTTCGAGCTTTTGTTTTAATTTGTTCTGTAGTTGCACTAGCCTCACCATTTCCAGCATCATTAACGGGGACAACTCTAAATTGAAATTCTTTTCCTTCTGGTAAATTATCGATAGTGGTTGAAAGGTCATCGGGGCCAACAGTTTTTGCATCTTCCCAATCACCATATTTAGGTTTTTTCTGGACAATATATCGTTTAATTGCATTTCCACCATCAGATTTTGGCTTTGTCCACTCTAATTTGGCATAATTCTTATCGTAATCAACGATGTTGGGTGTTCCTGGGGCGGAGGGTGGATCCCAGGGATCTTTAGCAATAACTTCATGATCAGTTTCTAACGGTTTACTTTCTCCTTCACTGTTAACAGCCTTTACTCGAAATGTATATTTAGCTCCTTTTTTCAAATTTGTTACACCGCATTGGGTATCATGAACCTTTCCAACTTCTTCCCAAGGGCCTCGTCCTTCTTTTCTTTCAACAAGATAATTTTCTAATGGTGAACCTCCGTCATCCGAAACAGGATCCCACGATAGCTTGCATCTATCTCGGAAAACGTCAGTAACTTTTAAAGGCCCACCAGGAGTTGACGGCTTATCTATAATTTTTAGTGTAATGGGCACGCTTGTTTGGCCACTAGCATTTGTCAATTCCAACTTGTAGTCTCCACAATCTTTTCGATTAGCCTTGTCGATTGTTAACTTGCATTTATCTGGCTTTTGTTCAGTCTTTGCCGAATCATTTGGTTTGATTTCCTCTCCATTCTTTGTCCATTTAGAGACAGGTTGGGGAGTTCCTATGAATAGAAAAATGGAATTAGTAATATGTTGTTAAAAAGACGTTTAAAAAACAATTATGCATTTCTCTCAAAATCAACTTTGCATTTAAGCTTGCAAAGTTGCAAAACAAATAAATTCCTCATTAGCCAATATTGGCTAATTGGAAAGTTCAACAAGAAAAAAATTCGAGCTCTAATCAGAATTCCATATGAAGTTTACCCTTAGGTTTTTCGTCATCACTTCTTATATCAATTGGACGTTGCTTAGGTAAATGACTACCTGTTATCAATTATTATTACGGTGTTCCGCCAAAAAATGTTTTAAATGATTTAAACTCTCTTTTTAAACTAACCCGTATAAGGAATTTCTAGTTCGAACTTCTTGCCGGCTTTAACGGTTATTTCTCGTGGAATTTTGTCTAAATCGACTTCGGGCGCTCTCTCAGCTGGATAAATAATACATAATTTTATATATTTCACTTTACTTATATTAGTTGGAATTGTTTAAACAAACCTTCGTCTACTTTAACTTGACATTTTGTTTTCCTTCTTGGTCCAATTTGACAGACATATTCCCCTTCATCGTCCGTTTTCAAATTGTTAAGAATTAAAGTTTCTTCTCCATTTTTACTTTCGATTTTAACCCTATCGCTTTTAGCTGTCAACTCTTCACCATTTCTAAACCATTGCACAGGATATTTTTTAGGATTTTTAAATTTACAATTTAATTTTAGTGTCTCTCTTTCCAAAAATTTTCCACCTTCAAGAGGTTGCTTTATTACAACGTCGGGAGCAACATACATTTTAGCTCTACATATCTTTCCTTGAACACTAACTGCATATTCTCCTTCATCTCTTTTTACAACGTCGTGTATTTTTAAGATTCTCTTTAATCCTTTTTTAACCTCCTCGTATCGACCTCCCATTTTTATTGGTGTTCCTTCTCTAAGCCAAGTAACAACGGCATCTTCGTCGTTAACTTCGCATACAAGCTCTGTTGTTTCATTTTCATAAGCGTCAACATCACGTAATTCGCTAGTTAATTCGAATTCCGGTTCTAAGAAGATATGAGAAAAGCCAATTAGTACAATAATATAGAGTTAAATATTCTGTTATGTATACCAACCGTCAACTTGCAATTTACAAAGTGTGTCGTCACCGTCTACGTGACAACCGAATTCTACGGCATCTTCCATTTGTACATTTTTAATTCGAAGTAAACAGCGGGCATCTCGACGAGAAACTTCATATTTGGCAGGGGTATACTAAATCATGGAGTTGGTTAGTTTTAATTTATAAGAAAAATACATTGAAGCTGTTGAATTATATTGGTTAACTTACTTCTAAGGGTTCACCCGCTTTTGTCCAGGTAACGTGAGGTCTAGGATCTGACAGCATACATTCTAAAACTATTTCTTTTTTCTGCCTAACTTTCATAGCTTTTAAAAGTTTTTGAGTAAAGAAGAAGGACGCTTTCTTTCCCTCAACAGTTAACCAAGCAGAAGTTAGTTTATCATCACATTCACAAGTATATTTTCCAGCATCCTCTAAACCAATTCTATTAATTATTAAACGAAATTCTCCATCGACAGTTAAAAAATTATATCGCTGCCCCTATACGAAAATAACATTAATAAACTATGTATATTCACAATGGTCTATATAAATTAATAATTATTATTAAGCAAAAGATACTAACTTGAAATATCTCCAATTTATTTTTATACCATCGTAATGGTAGATTAGAATTGGAATATTTGCAGCTTAATACTACTTTTTGTTCCTTTTCTTTGCAAGTCACATCAGCCATTTCTTCGATCCAATGATCTTGGGGCTATAAATTCAAATAGACATATTCGATTAAAACGTTTACCAAGTGAACATTAGAAAGAATTAGGATTAGTATGACAAAGTTATTAACGAGCAAGTAACAACAATGATTTAAACATTTATTCTAAATAATTTAAAGTAACAAAAAAAACAACATTTATTTAGATTTCTAATCCTGATTGCATTTTTATTAGTTCCAGAATTCCTATATAATCTTTTTAAGTGCATTAAATAAAGCACAACAACCTATCAATTACTGTGCGCAATTGATAGTTCTGCTAAAAAGTGAAGATTCGTAACGATCTCTTGGCGAGCAAAAATACCTTCTCCGGAGCTTTACGCCTCGAGAGAAGAGGCCAATCGGGTATAACCTCGGCCAGCGAGGTTCGTCTCATTTGTTGCGAATTTTTACGTTGAACTTCTAATTGTTCTACATCCACTTTTTTCAAATCCATAATAGGAGTTGGAGGCTCTTCCCGTGATATTCGTCTAACTTGCTTCTCTTGCTGCTAGATATTATTCTACAATAAGATTTGTTTCTCGTTTTTTTCTAAGAGTTTGTTTGAAATAATAAGATTAGCTACTTTTTTTGCCAGAAATCAATTAGTGAAAAGAGTAAAAAACTGTAAGTAGCATGAAAAATATAATAGTCTATTCATGCTGTTTCAGATATTCAATTGTTTGTAGCTAATAACAGCTATAGAAATATACGAGAGCCGTTTTAATCTACCATACACAAAAACTAACAATGAGAAATATAAAATTAAACTCATGCTTGAAACTTATAAAAAGACAAAAAAAACATTAAAAGTCCAATTTAATCAGAATGAATCAATAAGATATTTTTAGAAGAAGGAATTTAAAAAGGGCTTTAGCGAGAATAATGAATTTTTTAACCTTTTTCTTTTTCTCCTTTTCCTCTTCAGGATCTTGCACTTGCTTAAGTTGATTTCTAGTTAATTCAATTTGAGACATACGCCTTCCTCTTTGATAGTCTTGTGCTTCTTTTTCAACTGTTATAGTATACAATAGGAAGATAAAGCGATGAAGTTTGTACAGTATATGTTTGACTAACGTGGTTTAAGTTCACCCCACTCGGGTCCATCGTCAGCACCTTTCTTCTTCTTTTTATCTCTATGACGGAGAAGAGCTCTAAAATCCATACTAGAATCTTTGGGATCTATATAAAAACCATATTCAATGTTAAATTATTTTATTTATTCGTTCAATTACCTTTTACAAATACTGAAAAGCCAGCGTGATCCAGTTCCTTTCCATTTCCATCTTCAACTACGCAAGTATACTTAGCTTCATCTGATGTTTTCGCCTTTTTCAAATCGTATGTTGCAATAAGCGTACTAGAATTAAAATGGAAGACATTTCTACTATCAGCCACAATGTCGCGTCCGGCTCTTAGCCATTTAACTTTTCCAGGTTTTTTCTTGAATTTTACTTCAACAAACATTGGATCCCCTACGATAAATAGTAATAAAATAAATGTAGCTCAATTTTTGGTAGTCCTTTAGTGTTACACGAAGCTTTACCTTCAGGAATAACTTGATTTTTGGGTTTAATTTCAAAGTATTCGCTTTCCTCTTCCTCCTCTAAATCAGGTCTGCTTAGGCGACGAGAACCCCGCCTAAAACCTAACATATCAGGCGAGAGGCCGTCCATTTCCTCTGTTTTTATCAGAATAGAAATTAATTTCTTTCAAGTAAAGGGCTTTTCCTTTAAACCGACACACGATTAGTGGGATGAAATATATATGGCTATTTCATTAATAAAATGCTATTATCGATAGTTTTCAAAGACGCTAATCAAGTAAGATGTGTAAAATACATTCTTCTTGATATAACATAAAAAATAGACCTATTTGAACAGGTCTATTTAACATTCATGCGTTATTTCTGAAAATAGTGTCAGCGAGTGAACTCTCGGTAAGTTCAGGCTTTTACTGTAAAAGCCAGTATCTTTTGTGTTTACCATCTGTGGTATTTTCTTCAAGCTCCTCTAAAATTATACTAGGCTTTCTTGTTCCTGCCAATAGGCCTGTGTGTTTGTTGTATCTTTCTGGGTGGGAACCATCCTCTATTGCTGAGGGTGATGGACTCCTACTGCCCTCTCGTGACGAAATCGGCGATATGTCTGCGTTATAAGTCGATGAACAAAATACCCAAAAAAAAATGAAGATGAACGATAAAATAAATGATTAACTGAACCAAGTTGGACTCGAAAGTCAATAGAATATATATGTATATATATTTATATATACAGTAAAAGTGTATACAACCCAGCGTTTATTATATATACAATTATAAAAGAAGTAGATAAAGTATACGCTAAAAATATCTCTGATTTTTTTTCTTAGGATGATAGCTTTCGAATTAAGATTTTATATCCGATCAAAAGTGTATAAGCATATATATATATATATATATATATATATATATATAAAGTATATATACTGTACCTTTTGGAGCCAAAGTATCGGTTGGTATTTTAGTATTATCCGCTTCCATAACGATCGAGGGAACAGATTCTGTGTGGTGATTAGGGTTTATTTAAAAATAGACTTCAATAGTATGTACTTACGTTTTCCTCTATCTGTTGATTTACGTTTATCAAACTGGCTTTTCCTTTCCGGAACATCTGGAGAAGAAATGTAACGATTCGTATAAGGAGAGATAATTCTGATAATATAGATAGTTTTCTCAACCTTTAACAACGAGTGTTGTAGAGCATTCGCATTTTCCATAGTCATTCGAAACGACCAAGAGGTATCTGCCGGCATCTTCATTTGTAACAGAGCTTAGTTTCAAACGTAACTCTTTGCCGGATATCGAAATATGTATGTTATCTGACCCTTCGGCTTCAATCTTTTTGCTATCCAAGAACCATTCCGCTTTGTATGGTTCTGTGCCTGAAACTCTTGCTGTAAATTCGGCAGATTTACCAACATTAGTCGATATGCCTTTTATTTTATCTGTAAAAACTGGCTCAGATCCCCTTTTAACTGGCTTTAAATTATATGCAGTCTCTTCAACGTTATCAGTTTTTTTTACTTGTGTTGATTTTTTCAGTTTTACACCCCAACCGGTTTCTGTTACTTCCGGTTTCTTAACCTGATTCGTTTTTAATCCGCCTAGTTTTTTCTTCAAAAATTCTGGTTTGTTATCGTTATCTGTTTGTTTCTTTTCAGGTTCTACGGTTTTCTTTTTTACTACCTTTTTTACTGTTTTCTTTTCATCTTTCTTAACGACTTTTTCATCGTTATTGACCTGATTAGTCTTGGAAGAATTTTCTAATTCCGCTTTCTTAGGTGAAATCTCTTCCTTCACCTCTTCGTTATTTTCCTTTTTAGTTGCAGAATCTTTCTTCTTTTTCTTTAACTTAGTTTCGTTTTCTTCCGTTTTTTCCTCCTCATTCTTCTTGGCGTCGTTTAATATATCTATTATTTAATTTGTTGTAAACATTATTTTGATTATTCCAAAGAAAATTATCAGCAATTCATTCAACTATAAAAAAGTTAACCTTTTTTTGTAACATTTATCACTTTAACTATTTCACCTCCGCTATTTTGAATGGTACATCGATATTCTCCAACATCACTCTCCGTTACCTTTAATTTTATTTTTTTTATTGACCTTTATGAGTTATGCAGTCTAATTAACAACTTACATGATTCACTTCTAATATAAGCACATAATCATCATCTTCCCTAGCTATATCTATAAAGTAGTGACCTCCATTTTTTAAATTCTTATTGGAGAAGAACCAATTTACAGTAGGCTGTTTAAACAGATTAGAAATTTGTTCGTATTTATTTATTTTCTTTCCTACAGGGTATTAGTTTATACTTTCGTAAATGAAGTAACTTTCATCTCAAGCAGAAGCATCTCTCCGTCATTTTCAAGTTTTATTATCGGTTGACCAAGTACAGCTGGCGCTTTTTGTTGGCCACTTTTATAGAAAAATAATCAGAGAACGATAATATATTTGATTAGCAGTGGAGAAATATATAATTCTTACCTTTCCAAGTTCAATTTTATATTTGCACTAGCCTCGCCTACTTCGTTCTTTGCTTCTACTTTGAAAGTACCGCCATCTTTGACAGTGGCATTCTTTTGATGGAAAAAAAAAGTGTACAGAAATTTTTTATAGAATAAAGTTTTTAAAAATATTACAGTAATCGTTAAAGTTAGAACATAAATATCAGTTTCTTTGCTAGATAACACACGAAATCGGGGATTTTTCGGAAGAGGAGAACCTGTATAGCATATGTTTCAACGAAGAATAAATTTTAGTTGGTATTTTTATAAGAATAAATACCGTCTTTCAACCACACAATTTTCGGTTCAGGTTCCGCTTGACATAAACATTCAACTGTTACAGCGTTTGTCTTGCTATCATGGCGTATTTTTGGTTTTTGGGTGAAGGAAGGAGCTTGAGAGGTTTTTTTCTTTGACTTTTCTGTTATAAATCATTTTCAGAAACTCAAACGGACATTTAAAATGATGTAATTAAAAAGTCATATATCTTATTTTCAAGATATTTACCGATATTTAAATTGAGATTGGCATTACTTGTGCCTAAAGGATTTCGCGCTGTACATTTATAGGCTCCTCCATCTTCGCTAATGGCGTTCTTGAAACAGTAGGCATTTAATTACATTGATAGTAAGTGACGGCAAAGAGCAAAAATATACACAAAACAGAAAATAAAATAATGAAGTGAGATAGATAACAGAATTAACTTTAAAAAAAAGAGGATGTAGCTAGAGAGTTACAGAAAAAGCTTTATAGGAAAAAATCAAGTACGTACCATTATTATACATTGTAAACGATAAGAATTTGATGAAGTTTCAGTAACTGAAGTACTAATGCGATTTGATGTAGATATTTTCTTTTCATTATGAAACCAATCAACCTCTGGTTTGGGCTGAGCTTGAACAACACATGACATAACGATTCTATTTGATTCTTGCTTAATACTGGGCTTTTCTACAAAACTAGGTGCTTGCCCGTCTGATGGTGCTGAGCTTTCAAGATTTAATTGCAGGCTTGCATTAGATTCCCCATGTTTGTTTGAAGCTTTCACAACGTATAATCCACCGTCAGATGCTTCAACCTGACTTATTTGAAGTAAGATCACGTATGAGATACCATCAGTACGAGTAGATACAGAGTATCGTCCTCCATCCTTTAATGCTGTAGTCCCCTTTGACCAAGTTATAGTTGGAGAAGGGTCAGCAATAAGCGACACTTCAAACTCTACACCCCCAGTACTTGTTTGTCTTATTACGGGTTTTGCAGTGAATTTAGGAGGTTGTCCATTGGAGGCTCCGGTATCAAAATTCAATTTTAAGTTCGCTGTACTCTGTCCATGAGCATTTTGCGCATGAACTTTATATGTAGCAGCGTCGGTTTGCTGAGGATCAGATAGTTCGAGAGCAACGTAGTAGGAGGAATTACCTTCATCCTTTGAAACAAATTTATACCGTCCCCCATCAGACAATTCGATATCATTCCGAAACCATGTAAATTTTGGAATAGGTTCGGCTGAAGTGCGGGTTTCAAATACGATTTTCTTGCCGCCATCTTCTTGTCGAATTGCGGGCTTTTGAAGGAAGGTTGGAGCACGTGCCCTATGAGTGGACATACGTCTATTAAAGATGGAGAAATATCTCACACGATCTTTCTTATCGTTTCTCTATCTGCAGAAAGAAGGGCATACTCTTTTTTTCAGGTCGCATAGCGGCAAATTATAGCTACATGAGTTCTAGCGCCGCCTACCTATAATATTAATTTCGCAACAAATTCTCTCCATCCTCGCCTAACGCGTGTATATATTTAGTATATTTAGATCTCACAGATTATATATAGATAGTATATATAAATATATAGAATATTTACAGAATGTATGAATTTTTTGTATACACAGATGTTTCACCATATTAGAAAGCGATAATAATTAGAGATATTTATATATCTGATTAAATTATTATTAATAGTACGTTTCTATTTAAAATCAATTAAAAAAATTATTATATAATACATTAAATAAATAAATAGGGTCGCACTTGGTTGTTAAAAGTACAGAGGAAAGATATAAATAGTTATATAAACAAAATGGAACGAAGAAAGCCAGTTTATGTTAAACTACGCTCAATGAAATATTCCAGGCATTTCATGAGATGGAATGCTTATTATGAGGAATACTATCGTACTTCTATATAGGAATGAGTTATTCAATAACGAACTAACCTGGCCCTGGCCATCTGACATTGCACCAATTATTTATCCACTACCATATATAAATGCACAGTAGTCTATAGTCATATAGATACACGCACATATACACCGTATGCTATATATATATATATATAAGCATATATTTCTTTATATATATATATATATATATGTATATAATATCAAATTAGATGCCGTCAAGCTTTGAGGCTAATCGTAAATTCGTAAATGCGAAAAGAAACTGCAGAGAAAGACTTTTTAACCAAAGCGCTCAATCACTAGTAAAGCATATAGTGAATGTTCTGCAGAGAAATACAGTTAGCTAAAAATATCGCATATCAGCACGTACCTAGTATATAGGGCAAACATCTAGACCGGCCTATACATCCTACTGCAATATTACCAAATATAAGAAGATTTTTATTTTTGACCTTTTAATTTGATTTTCCAGAAAGAAAACTACATGGTTTTGATTTATTAGCGTTTATTATTATAATTTGGTTTTTTTTTAAAAGTATATCTGGATTTTGACAGAGTTTATTTTTAATAATGAAAACATCAGACTGATAAATGATATTTTTATGAAAGAATTTCAAAGAGCAGAAGAAATATGTTTTAATCCAAATACCCTCTTCTCTCTAAGTCTAGACTGCTGCGGCATTAAATGGCATTAAATAAAGTCTGCACGCCTCTGAAACCGCTTAATCTTCTCAGCATTTGAATTTTCCACCGTTTGCTAACAATAGAAAAGAAGCTTGAGTTGATGTTTTAACGAGCCAAACAGTTGCTTGATTCATTCATTAGAAGTTTTTTACTACAACACTAGGTGGCTCTACTATGACCTTTTCATTCCGATCATTTTTTATAAGAGTAAAGTCAATAGCAAAGTGAAGTAGAAAAAAATTCTCATCTTCGTTTAACTTTATCTCTTTTTGTTAGTGTGTGGTTCACTTAAGCGGTGAATAAATTAGATAAATAGTGCTTTTTCAAACGTGTAGCAATTTATTCTTCTGGCTGCAATTATTTATAATATATTATCGAAATCAAATGTTATTACGTAAATATAAGGGATTGCAGAGGTCTGACATATTCTCCTGTCGAACCTAAAAATAACTGCACTATTACAGTGAAGATTTTATAACCAAGATGGTTCTGTTGAGAACGCATAGCAAATAATAGAATGTTTAATGCTTTTTAAGATATCTTGCCTATATTATTTCAGCTATACGTATAAGAGTACGAGAATTTAATAAAGAAGAAAAAACATACTGGATGTATTACAGATATCTACGTGCCCTCTGCTGGTTTATCGTAAATTTCTACGAAAAATTCTATTTGCAATTTTTAGATCGTATACAATGAATGGAATTTCATTGAATCAATTTTTATCATTCTTAGGTTTCCTTAAGTAAAACGAAAGAAACATTATACGAAATTTAGTTTATTCGCGCGCGCATAAATGATAGCATATATATTTATATACTATATTTGTTTTACAAGTGAAACTTAAGATATAATTAACGACCAATCTAAATGAATTGCCATCCTTCGAAATATGATAAAAAGTATAAAAAGATACTATTTGAAAAGAAAAATGATATGTTATATATATTTTTCATGCTGAGATCACATGTTTATAGGGTATAAAAACTTTGTAGATAAAAAAATATGATTTATTTTAAAATAAATGTCCGTTAAATGTTCTTTTTTTCATCAATGAAACATTTTTTAATTATTAATTTTATTAGTATTTATTTAATTAATGTAATTTTAGCATTTAGCTATCAGAATCAGCCAAAATGCCGTTTTAAAAAGTCTGTATGCACCTTTCACTTTACCGTTAATCGGCATCATACTATGATGTGGTTTGTAAATAATTATGTTTTTCTTGTATTTCCTAAATGTTTATTTCCTATAAATTCTAAGACATTGAAACGCAAGTTTATAATTTATCAACTCGTTCGCTAAATAAGATTGCTAAGAAAAACAAAAAATGAGATAATAACTCTTGCTGTTCTCGTCTTATAACTTAATTATTTCTTGGATGTGTTTTAACACTAACTAATGTTAGATTAGAGCTCTTTTTATTTACAGTACAAAGTTCCTTAAGGAAATTACATTTTTCACATTTCTACTTGGTGTATTTCTAATTTATCTTTTTCAGTGAATCTCTACAGGAAGAATCTGGTTTATACCCTGTTCGATTGACCAAGAATAAAAGGTGGGAAACTAGGCTAAAAAACTGTACTATTATGCAGTTCGAACCTCCATCTAATCTTATAACTGGCGTGGGAAAACAGGAAACGGTTTTTGTCGCTAATGGTCAAATTCCAGGACCAACTATTATTGTTTACGAAGATCAGCAGATAGTTGTTAAAGTTAGAAATCAACTTATAGACTCAGCCGTTACGATTCATTGGCATGGAATTTACCAAAGAGGAACGCCTTTTATGGATGGTTCATCAAGAATTTCTCATTGTCCTATTTTACCTCAACAACAGTTTAGCTATCGATTCATAGCAAGTCCTAAAGGAACGCATTTTTGGCACGTTGATTCACCTTCACTCAAAATTACGTATCAAGCATTTTTAAAACATAACTAGTTGAATTAAATTTACTTATAAAACATTATAAGCTAAATTCTTGGAAAATTTAATCTCGTTATTTTAAAGTTTGCCAAATTGAACATAATTAATTCAGTTCAATAGCTTGAAAGCTTTATCGCTTTATCTTTTATATTCATTAGGTTAAGTGAAAACTCTTGATACGTAGTGCCGAGCTATGGACTATATGGAGCACTAATCGTCTTGGAAAAAAAGAATCCAAACGTAGAAAAGAATATTATAATTCAAATATCTGATTGGAATCATTGGTCAGCAACAATAAACGGGAAAGGAAGGGAAGTTGATTCTCCATTAGCTCTTGAGACGTTTTACTTGGAAAGGAGTATTATTCATCTCTATCGCTTCAGATTGATTAATGCAGCTTTCTCAAAATGCTTTTTCTTCACTATAGATGGTCATATACTATTGGTAAAAGCGGTAGATGGAGCTGATATTGAGGAAGTTGAAGTCAATGGTATTTTTATAGGGCCTGGAGAAAGGTATGAGAGATATTTTGTGGAAAGTTAATAAATTTATATAGATCTATAAAATTTTATATTTTTCACTAGCTCATTCGTTCGCTATATAGAATACTATAAACAATATCCCAAATATTTAATAAAATACTTCTTATGCTAAAATTTAGAGAGAAAAGCAAAGCTTTCTATAAATTCTATAAATAATAACGACAACAATTAAAGAGAAAATAATCATTCAATTAAAAAATATATTGATCTAGTTTTTTTATAAAGAAAACTCATATTACTTAAGATAAAAAGCAATCCCCCACCACCGAACAGTATTTCTTATGTAATCAGAGCAGAACACTGTATAAAGTATACATAGAGTATAATGATTTTTTTCCCCTAGAACTTTTCACGTAATAGTCTGTAAAATATTTATTGATATTTGATTTCTTCTGAAAGATAAAAAATATATTTTATGAGAGAAAATTGCGTTTTTCAGATACGATTTCATCGTAGAACGAACTATAAATATCGGAAATGAGTCTAATTTTTGGATAAGGGTATACGATGATAAATATAAAGAAATAGTTAAGGGCATATTACAATATACCTATGAATCCTTACCAGAGCCTTTATCTGTAGAGTATAATTGCAGAAAAAATAACTGTACGTTTCTAAACTGTTTTGAGGAGTTGTATTGGGAATGTATAGACATTACATCTATTTCATTAATTACTAAGAAATCAAAAGAGAAAAATGTTAATTTATCTAAAGATTTTATTTCAATAAGTTTGCCTCAATTAAGCAAGAAAATAAAACGATTCCATCTCAAATTGAGAAAAGAAGTAATCGTTGATGTAGATTACTTTTTAACCTCGAAGAATTTGCCTTCACCGAGTGCCTGGAATTTTATACATCTGCATGGACATAAAATGGAAATTTTAAAAATATCTAGACCTGTTTATGAGAATGGGTTCATTATAAACAACACGAAACGTTCAACTGTTTTTCAAGAAAATGAAATTACTCATGAGTAAGTGAGAGGAAAGAACTTATTTTCTTTATTTCTAGCATACTGTGTGTAAGGAACAAATTAAAACTTCCCTTAATCATAACAGTACTATCTACGTAGAAGGAAAGCAAACAAATTCTTTTAAGCATAAAACTTTAGCATTGCTTTTATATGATCTATTTACTTTATGAGCTATAAAACTTATATACAATGAAAATACTATTAAAATAGAAAATACCGAAAAATTTCTTTTATTTATGAAAGATTAATTAAATTCTCTTTCTTAATTAATTAAATTTCAACAAATTAGTTATTTAACAACCAATTCAAGTATCTTTGTCCCAAAATATTAGTATTTATTGATTTCAAAGTGTTTACATAAAACACTTTGAAATACCAAGGTTAAATAACTTGTTTGATATGCCTCTATAGGCTAAATGGTCAGAGAACGAATGCAGGACAACTACAATGCAATCCATTTCATAATAATAATAATTTAGTAATTCATTTCTATACTAATATGTTAGTTCTTACATAAAAAGAGAGAAAGAAAAAAGAAATATAAATTCCATATTCTATTTATATCTACAAAAATATTTACAAAAATAAAAATGACAAATTATCTTTTTCTTAGATTCCAAAAAAAACCTAACAACGTACTCAAGGATACTTGTATTGTTCCTTATGGAGGATCTGTAAGATTCAGTTTCATTACAGATAATCCGGGAATATGGAAATTGGATTCAAAATTTTCAACAATAATTTTTGAAATAGGGGAAAAACACGAAATTCCAATTCCACCATTGAACTTTTCTAAATGCTCAGATTTTTCAATTGATTCCAAAGCATTTCTAAATATGATTAAATTTCCCAAAAGAGCTCGTAAGTGGTTGTGTTTTATTATTACTAAAACAATAACAATTTAATGATAAGAATGCTTCTCATATTTTCTTTCTTCGCAAATCTTTAATAGGACAAAGAAGTATACAAAATCTAACTCTCCCGGAAAGTAAAAGAAACTTCCTCGAAGTTGCGGCTATATTGCTCTTTATTTTCTTCCTAATTATGCTTTACGTAGCTTGTTCTATTTGTAGGAGTAATCGGAAAAAATTATAAATTTTCTGTTACTCATACTTAGACTTTCTAAAGAAATATTTATTTATTAGTAATGCACCTATTTACTTCGTTGGGAAATTTCTATGATTTTTACAATATAAAATCAATTAATCAATATTAAATATAGCTGTATTGTTTGGTTGAGAGTAATACCAGGTTCGTTTGTATGAGAAATAAATTTTCCTAATATACATTCTGATCGATTCTGTCGATCAATACGACTTAAATTATTCTTCAACGTCTCTTTTCAATACTAATTGTATATTTGAGGTCAGATGCTTCTGTATACTAGCCTATAAGGATTATAATTCATAATTAATGAGAAAGCGTCAAGCTGTAATATAAATATTGATTTCTGTTATAACGGACTAGATAATGAACGAGCACCACAGCGGTTTATATTTGCTATAGAAAAGCAGGATATCACGTGAGGGTGATTTCAATGGTAGCCAGAGTGCGTGGTATGCGTGAACTCGGTTAAATTTAGTCATACTTGTATTACAAATCGTGTTGAGCCAGTTAGAGGCATATTCTCATATGAAAACGGTGAGAGTTGGTGGGATTTTTTTTTTTGCAAAGATTGATTAATTATAATAATCAATTATTTTTCAGAACGAATGACTTAGTCGTAATGAATTCTGCTATGTTCGAGGTTGATTATTTGGGTTCGTCCTCTTCACTTGGAATTGGAACTGGAGTGGGAGCTCTACAAAAACCTTTAAAAGTGTTATACACCACTTATGTTCAGAAGCAATCTGCATCAAAAATTCCCAATATGAAAACTCTTTCTCTCTCTGAGATGGGTTTGACTTTGTCTGAGAATGGGAACGATATTCACTTTAATATGGATAACATTATTCTTTGGGATGTCGTTCAATTTGTCATGTTGAAGGATAAAAAAAAGACCAGAATAGCTTTTGAACCACTAGATACTGAACAAAATATCAACATGAAAGATAATCTCTTTACGGTTATAGACAAAAAGGAAGTGACAATGTTCTCCAAAGTTTCAAACCATCCAGCTATTCTCGCCTTTGTTGCTAGGCGCCCTGCGGGAATCAAATCGTTAGACGTTCATGCTTTCATATGTGGTTCAGATAATGATGCAAAAGAAGTACATGATATGTTAAATCAGCTGAATTTAAGCAGACAATCAAATAACAGGGAAAAAGGAGTTTTTTCCTACAATCCATACGACGATATGGCTGCTGCAGGAAGCGTTAAGAGTGTTACAGCTGTTGTAACACCACGAGCAAGATCAGTTCGAATGAAATCTTCGCTATCTACTTCTTGTATTAAATTAACTCAAGACGTCTTCAATCCAATTGAAGACGATTTCTATACAAATCGCATCGAAAAAAATGAAATCGAATTTCAACAAAAGGCTTTCGAATTTAAAGATGACCAATACGCCAATGAAGAAGATACTACATATTGTAATTTACCTACTCCTGATCAAGCTGTGTTCATTAGTACATTGGCAGCCCAAGAAGCTATTCGTCGCAAAAGAGAAAAAGCTAGCTACCCCAAACCTAGAAGTTCATCGCCGGGCTATGAGAAAACTTTACCTATACCTAAGTCATCACCCCCTCCTGTCTCTATACGAGTTCATAATGCTAAAGATAAGCCAGTAGCAAAGGTCACACCCCGTATTGGAGTAAAGGTCTTACCAAAAATGCAAACGACAGAGAAGAAAACAACCAACACTATGGGTATAACGGAATCTATGTCCGCCCTAATTGTCAACGATGATTCAATTAAACCGTCGAGCCAAACAAATTTCGAAAAATGTTTAGGATACCTGCCATAAAAAAACTGTAGTTTTAAATATTTACAAAAAACTGTCTAATATCGTGTTTCTTTTGATAAAAAGAACGTTTTCTGTATATTTATTTCAGAAATGCATGTAAAAATTTCAAAATTGATCATTGATTTCAGTATTTCTCTAAAGTTTTTTCTATCATGCATTTTGTACTTTAAAAAAAAAATAAACAAGTAGTAAAATGCAAATTGAAAATATTAGTATATTGTCATTATTATTTCTATTGTTAAAACTTAAGAAATATCTCTTTTATTCGGTTCTCATTGTTGAAGTTGAGGCTTGACGATCAATACGGAATCAATACTGCTAACGTAGACCATTTAGGTGTATTAAAGTGGCAATGTAAAAGTCTGAAATTCACGACTAAAAATTATTTTGAGTACTAAAACATCTTTAACACAACTCGGTAAGTAATATGAGTTGTCATTTGCTTTAATACTAAGAATAAAATGAATGATAGGTTAGAGGTAATGGATGTCAGTGAATTTTTTCTTAATATTTCCCTTATAAATATTGCATTCAAGGAATTTTTTGTATTTCAACTTACAGAGGAGAAGCTCGAATGATTCGGAAGAGAGAGAGAGTGTTATTAGTAGACTTCTAGGTCTTATATTAAGTATTCTAGTTGACATGTTCTTCCAAATAGTCTTTTTAAATACTGTGAAAAGAAGCATTCTATCTGTTCTCTTGAAAAACAAACGATTTTATCGTGCTTGGAGGCAATGGAAAGGCCGTAAAGCTAAAATTCAAAAGTATATTAAACTCTTTCTAACGACGGCATTCATCCTGATTTTGGCTGACGCTGTTATGTGTTATTTTAAGGGGAAATGTTTTGCATCTAAGGGATATGAATTGTACTGTCGGAACCGATATGTTATAGGAATTTGTGGAGGTGTGACCAAGAATCCTAGAATGGAGGAGATAAAAGATATTTGCCAAAATGCCAAAGATATGAAACCCCCTCTACAGAGCACATTTCTGCAAGTTTATGACGACCAGCGAATTGTATTTTGCTATGTACCCAGGGTAGCGACAAGATTCTGGGAAGACTTTTGGCCGAGAACCACTATAAGTGATCGACATCATTTACAATTAGACAATGATGAGGACATCCCACCTTTCCATAAAGCTATTGGTGATTACACACGAGGTCAACAACGCGCCAGAATGTGCTCTTATACAAAGGTCATGTTTTCTAGAGAGCCTCTTTCTAGGCTCTGGTCTGCATATAATTCGAAATTTGTAAATCCTAACCCATACTATATGGCAACTTATGGTACGAAAATTGTTGCTAAATATAGAAAACACCATCAATACTGGCATCCAAAAATATGTGGTCATGATATAACTTTTGAAGAATTTTTAAGATTCGTGGCAGACGAAATTCGAAATGACACTTTACATCATCCAGCTTGGACACCTCAATATCGTTTATGTAACCCCTGTAAAGCACAATACGACTTCATTGGAAAGTATGAAACTATGGAATCTGATGCTAAGAAATTTTTAATTGAAGCAGGCATGCATATACATAAAGCTCCCCTTTATAATATTTCTAATATTATGGAGGAGCCACCTTTCATTGATATTGCACACAGGAAAAAACATTTTCCCATAGCTTGTCATAAATTAGATATTTTTATGCCTGGCAGGTGGCGGTATTTAAAAAATATTGGATTACTTGGTTCTGCATCTCAGGCTCCCAATTTAGAACCATATCTCAATAAAATTTTCTATCCTCAGATTGACGCAGAGGTTCTAAATGTCGTACGCAAGGAACTTCAATTCCTTGGGTCTGAAGCTGATGCTTTCGTACGACAAAGAAGAAATCAACGATTAGATCAGGAAATCTCTAAAGTACCAAAAGATTTACTTGACATGATCATTGAATTGTTTAAGTACGACTATAAATTGTTTAACTATGATCCAACTTTATTATAATACAGTTAAATAGAAAATTCTAATGTTAAACCCAATCGTAATCAAGGTTTTCTGACAAATCAGTAAACGTAGGTAAAGAGATTGAAGGAGACGTAAAATTAGATTCTAAGGTTTCTGATATATGCTTGAAATATTCATCCGGCTTAGCCAAATTTTCAAGCAACTTTTTCTCATTGGGTGGCTTTTTCACTTTCTTAGACGAGTATATGACTGGAAAAAAGATTATTAGTTATCTTATCAAAGGGAAAATTTGTTTCACATACTATGGCGATAAGCAGTAAATCTATCTTTTTCGGTTAGATGAGAATAGACACATGACGCTCCAAATTTGCAATTTCCTATTGTTAATTTAAAATGATAATTCTGTAATTTTCTTTATATGTTGAATTCAACTAGACCTTCCTACCTGTTTTGTAAAAATCTATGCAAAGTTTCTTAAGAGAATCTTCCTTTAAAAGGGACAAAGGATCTGTTCAGATAAACGATAAGGGCTTCTTTATGTATATGTACAGTATATATATAGACTTTATATAAAGGAATGTGAAAAATACCTGAGGACGCTCTAATTTTATTGAAATACTTTTCTTTAAATAGTTTATGTATTGCACCTCGACGATGATTTTTTATATTTATTTGACTACCGGCAAAGGTTTTGTTACAAAATTCGCAATGATATATTCTACCCATGAATGCGTTCCAAAATAAAGTAGTGTCCATAATAGGAACACTTTTCGTTGAGCGCACTGTCTCTAAGGACAACAGCAGTTTATCTTCCTGAGATCGGTTAATGCACAATACTGATATGGAGAAAAGTCCAGGATTTGGAAAGAAGGTGGTTGCACTATCAGCTTATGTTAATTCTTATATGCCTATTATAAGTGATAAAACGTCAAAGGAAGTTAGAGCTGAATACGACGCAGTGAAAACTTTTAAAGGTGCAAGAAGTATGCACAGAACAACACACAGTTTTGGGTATGAAAGAGATCAAGCCAAATACGAAACGGAAACCTCCTTATCTCATGGAGGTAATCGTTCACAAGATATACCACAGAGACCTCAAATGGCGCCATGTCAACATCTTTCCAATTTCGAACGTTTAGGGACAGACAGCCACATGGACTTGACAACCAATTACTCAACTAACTATAAATTGAGGCCATCAATACATAGGCAGCATGATAAATTGGCGGCGAAACGCATGATGGCAAGCACAAACTTAAAAGAGTCACTTGTTCGACAACCACAGCAATGTTCCGCTCCAATTTCTCAATACGGTCGAGTGCATCATAAATTAGGTCTTGTTTTAGGACCTGGGGTAGAACATTATCGACCTGAAGCCAGACGATACAATGTTCTCACGGGTGAGGATATAGGTCCAACGTGGACAGCGGATGGGCATAAAAGAGTAAGTGGCAACAGAAATTTGTTTAACGGAAGACGACTATTGGAACAGCATGGTGCTTCATCTTTTCCAAGAACTGTCCAGCATTATGAAGTAATCAGATAATCTATAAAAGGATTTTCTTAATATAAACTTTTAATTAAGCTATGTATATTTAGGATACTTAATAGGCAACTCATTCGTATCAAAAAGAAAGTTTAAATGCACATTCACGAAGAGACGTCAACGAGTGACTAGTAATGATAGGAGAAAACAATCGGCGGAAATTTTTGTTTTTAATCTTAACGTAACTGCCAAAAATGGCACCACCTGATAGTTGACTAGACTACGTCGAAATCATTGTTATAATGTCATTCGAAAAGTAGAACCAGAGCTTTCGCAGCTTTTGCTATATCATAGGCACATTGAATGACAGTTTGGGTATGGACTTTAAGATCATTATCCTCTATCGAAATAGAATTGCATTCTTGCTTCAGTTGATTGGCTCCATTCTTTAATTGACTTAGGACCATTTGGATACGATCAACTTCCATAGAGTTGGAAAACAAGGTCATCATGTCATAGACTGCACTAAATATCTTTTCGGAACACAGCCCATATGCCTCGTATTTGGCTTCTTGAGCACATCGTAAAAGTTCTTGAATTCTTTTTGTTATTTTCTCCGTTCTTTTAATAATTTCATCTTGAGTTGGTAGTGTTCCACTTTCAGAGCTATTACTTCTCGATGTCGATGCTTTACTATTGGATAAATAATCTTCTGAATCGTTGCCAAAGACAATGTCATGACCATTCAATAAAGAGGGCCTTATTTGTTCGGGATTAGCTCCATTTCGCAGTTCTGAATTTTCCAACATCAATTTCTTTAATTTATGGCTCATATCGTTTACTTGATTCTTTAGCTCATGATTAGCACAAGCCAATTCATGAACTTTCGCTTTTTGTTCAATCAATTCTTTCTTTATGTCAACCAAATCAACAACTGACAAAGAACCATTTGAGGGAGAGGAGGAGGGTAAACTCAAATCAAGCGATTTTTTTTCGGGGTCACCAAATTTGCCAATTCCAGAATCGATAGCATTTGCATAATCTTCATCAGAAGCTACACTATCATACAGAGGTTCATCGTCACTCAAACTTGATCTTTTACTTTTTTTAGGATGTTCGTTCTGTGCACCAGCTATAAAAAGTCAAATTTAATAAATAATGCATTTCAGTCTAAATTTCACAAGAGAATTACCTAATTTACTATTTAAAATGACTTGCTCTCGTCGGCGGGCGTCGCTGAGTATATCAATGATCAAATTAGTGAATTCTCTAGCGTTAAATCGTGCTAATTTCTGTCTTCCTTGATTTCTAGTTGAAGTGAATTCGGAATTTACGGGTAAAAATGGAACAGAATGTTTATCAGAAACAACAGATGAATGGTTTTGTGTTTGAAGCCACACTGTAGCAAATAGATAAGATTTAATACAAGATTTTTTGTTTTTTTTTTCCACTTACCTCCATCTAGTTCTCTTCGGTCTACTTCATCGTAAACATCCATTGCTAATTCTTCGAATAAATGATTAGAAAGCTGTAAAAGGCATACTAATCTTATAAATCTGTAATCAGATAAAATTTGAAACTAACAGCTTGAAGTTTTTTCTTAGCAGCCTTAGCTAAATCGGTATTATCGGAGCTGTTATCAACCATTTCTGGTATTAGGAAATGTTGACCATTTCTATGATCTGAAGATGAAAATAGATAAGAAAAACTATCAGTAACTAAGGTACAATTAATTGAAAACATATGTGCTAATTGATAAAGAGAAATTAATGTGCTTTACCTGGTTTTCTACCACACAAGTAGAATGCCAATCTGTCTGTTAATTCGTATTGACATTCTATTAAGCGATCCATTATTTCTACATGGCCTTTCTTTCTGTTAAGTGATAAATACAATAAAGAATTAGATTCAAATGAGAATTGTATTATCTTTACTTGGCTAGATCAACAGGAGTCAAACCATGGGCGTTATAACAGCCAGGATCCGCTCCCCAGACAAACAGTAATTCTATCTGCCAGATTTGGCCGAATTCTGCTGCAACATGCATAGGAGAGTTTCCATTTTCCTTAAAGTAATTTTAAAATTAGTCATAATTATTAGTCACTATGAATGAGTAACTTACAGGATCATAAAAATTGGGATCTGCTCCAAGGTGAATAAGACGTAGTGACTGGTCGACGTTTTGAGTTTTAACGCAATTATATAGTTTCTGTTTAAATAAAAACGGATATTGTTTGTTGTAATCTGTTAATTAGTTAATAGTTCACCTTATTAAGTTCGTCGGATGAGAATATATCTGAATCTTTTCCTTTGAAAGCATATTGTAAAGCTTCATACTTTGCTCGAATGAAATTGGCTTTTGTTGGACTGTTTTTAAGGTACGATGAATAAAAACAAATATCTACAAGGTGCAAAAACATACTGTAAAGCATCTTTATAAGTTGGTTTTCGTTTACTGAGCTTGCCAAGTGTTCCTTCAGTTAATGTACACTCCCAAATAGTGTTTGCATCAGATGCAACTAAACACTGCAGCATCTATTAATAATAATTTTTTTAGACCCACGACTTAAAAGCATTAAGCTAAAGTAAATGAATAATTACCCCTAACTGACTTTGGCTCCATTTACCTCTTACTGCTTTAATTTGAGAAATATGACGGCCAAGAGATCTATGAACACTACAACAGTCATCGCAAACCAAAACTCCTCGATTGATGGACGCCCATGGTGCCTCTGTAAATTTTAAAAATTATAATTAGATGACCAAATGGTTGAATTTTGAATTTTTTGGATTTTGTAATAAAAAATGTTATGAATTAGAATTAACTAGTTCACGCTTATTTATGCTCCCTTGGGGGTTTCAGTCGAACAAACAATAACAAAACTTATACACATTAGATAAACTTACCGATCGACCCACAATCAGCACATTTTTCAGTAGATAAACGCTTGTTTGATTTCAGCATTTTATATTAGATTTGATTTTACATAAATAAAGACAATAAATGGTGACTAAAAGGCGATATTTTCATTTTTCACTAAAAGTGAAGAGCTATTACTCTCCTAACCGGAAGTTGATCTTAGATATAAAGATAAATTAAATAAAATTTTTAATCGAAGTTATTAAATATACTAAAAAGAAAGAAAGAGAAATTAAATAAAATTTAGATTACGAAAATCGCTTCAAATGTTTCTTCCTTGATAAAGCTCCTACTTCATCACTTGTAACAAAATATCGTGTCAGAACTCAAACCACACTATCTTGCACTTTCGTTGGTATTATTTTTTCGATCTAAAATAATGTCAGCGAGCAATTTATCACAACTATTTCCTCTACATTGGCATGTGTGGTCAAATAATTATGTAGAGTTAGATAAGGAACTCCTAAAAGGACAGGTAACTTTTATGAATTGATTATTTTTTTCAATGTTATCTAAGCACAGATGTTGAAATTTCAGAACAATTTGGAGGCTTTGGATCCGAGAGGGAGGACCCCTTTAATGTTAGCAGTGGTTCTAGGTCATTTAGAATCAACTAGATTGTTACTAAAATTTGGAGCAGACGCAACATTTCAAGATAAGAAATACTGGTCAGGTAAGAATATATTTAATAAAATCTATAATTGTTTAAATTTTTTCTTTCCCTGCACCGTAAAACATGCGGTATATATTTCATATAGAAATTAAACTTTTGAGTATTATTTACTTGAATATGTTTTTCAGTTGTTCACGAGGCAACAAGTACAGGAGATCCTGAGCTTGTGGCTTTAATATTACAACATAGAGATGCTCAGCGAGAGAAAAAGAAAACCCAGAATATTCCTTGTTTGTTAAAAATATTAAAAGAGTCGCCAGACTTTTATGTAGAAATGAAATGGGAATTCTCTAGTTGGGGTAAGCTTTAACAACTAAATATTCTATGATATCACAAATTATATTTGTAAAATAGTTCCACTTATATCACGTGTGTGCCCAAGTGACACGTATCGAGTATGGAAGTCTGGTGCACAAGTTCGTATTGATACAACTCTGATTGGTTTCGATAATATGAAGTGGATTCGAGGAAACAGATCCTGTGTATTTAAAGCTACCGAAAATGGTGCTGAAGTACTAGAAATTGATCATGACACCAGAACAACTCGTAGAGAAATGTTAGATTTGCAACCTGTACCTGACCAAATACTTCAACCAACAGAAGATGCTGTTGCTGTTCGACTAACGTCTCCTATTGCCACAACGTTTATTGACGTAGATAGAATATCTTTTGAAAGGAGTAAAAGCGGTATCTGGGGCTGGAGAAGCGACAGATCTGAAACTCTAAATGGACTAGAATGTAAAGTTTTCAGTGCATCTAATGTTGAAATTATAACTCAAAGTCGTTCTGAACATTTAACCGAGTTGGATAAAAAGCAAAGTAAATCACAAAATCAAAGAACCATTCTTGACTCTTTATTGAGCACAGTCGAAACCCAGAAAGCCGCAAATAATAGTCAATATACCTGCGTAAGATTTAAATATTATTTTTAAATTTTTATCAATAATTTTAAATTTTAGGAGACTTCAAGCACCCAAAATAACCCATGTAATATTACACCAGAAGAGTACTTCAATGATAGAATCGATTTACAAGGTAGAGATATTGGTAGACCAAAAGAGACCAGTACAAAAACACAAAGATTTAAAGCTACTTTGTGGTTATCTGAAGAATTTCCTTTAAATTTACAAGAACAAGTCCAACCGATAATCGATTTGATGGCTGTCTCAAACGCACACTTTCAAAAGCTCAAAGACTTTATAACGTTACAATTGCCATCTGGTTTTCCCGTTAAAATCGGTTTGTATTTCAATGATTAGTCACTACTATATAATAGCAAAACGATTATTTTTCGCAGAAATCCCCCTTTTTCATGTGATAAATGCGCGAATAACCTTTGACAATATTTACTCTTTAAAAAATCCTGTTGAAAACGTACATTCCTACCAAGACGGTACCGTTTCCAGGTGCACTATCGATGATGAAGTTTTTGATGTAGGAAGCAATTATAAGATCCTACAATCAGGTATTATGAATCCTCGTTTTCATGATGAAGATGAGAGGCTCTTGAGGTTTGCTATAAAACAAAGTTTAGTTGAAAGTGGCACTGAAAGAGATCAAGTAACCCTAATGGAAGCCCTTAATCAAAGTAAACCCACTGATGAACCCTCTGGATTTTTAATGGCATCAGATGAGGAACGAGCACTCCAAAGGTAACGATTTAAATATGCAATGATTCCGCGTTAAGTCTTACAATTTTTAGAGCATTGGAGGAAAGTCTTAGTTTAGTAGGCGCACAAACAAATGATATTGTTGAAGCTTCATCAGTTCCAAATGTTGATGATGATCTGATGTTGGCCATTGACATGTCGGTACGTGAACAAGAACAAAGAGATGAACGTCGTCGAAAGGAAGATGAAGAATTGGAACAAGTGTTAAAACTCTCAATGTTAGAAAAGTAAATTAAGTATCGTCTCCAAATTGATATGCAGACATCGAAACAAGTGGCATACATTTATCTTGTATTTCATAAATTAAGCATGCTTTCTTGAAAAAAATGACACACGAAAAAAAGCGAACGGTAGCAATCGTTAAGTACTATTCATTTAAAATCATTCACCAACAATATAGCCAACAACTTTGTGTTGGTGAGGTTAAAAGCAGGAGCACGAGCGACAAACCAGCCACCGAACAAAAACGAAACAATATCGGCTGTTGTTTGGAATGCTTGCGAATTTAAAAGGTCAGTGTCGTTCAAGTTCGTTTACAGATACGACATTGTGAGCTGGAATCGGTGGCATTTTCGTCAGCGCTTGTTGTAAGACGTTCGGTTCAAAAAACATTGATAGATCTGCAAAGTTGTTGTTTTCCTGTTCGTTTTGTACTTTACTTATGCTACTTCCGCTGCCAAGCACCGGTCGACCTAGTGGTGAACCCGTTGTTGAGTTCAAATGTTCATTAAGTTGCATCCTTTGAACTTCTATGGCGATCACATCTCGACCAACTTTCGAGTTTTCACCATAAATTCGAAGTTGTTCGTCAATCAATCTCATTTGTCTTTGACGCATTTGATACTCTCTCATCATTTCTTGTTCTTCCAATTCCTTCTTTATTAGTCTCTCATGTTGATTGTCCGCTGGCGATTTTATCTTGTATGGGCCTGGCATAGTTATAGTAATGTTACCACCACTACTAGAACTAGATGAAGCCGGACTCAGTAGATTTCCACCAACTCCTGTTGCTGCTCCCCGATCTTCAGCGCTTTCAGGGGTAAGATCTAAGGATTTTGGCGGAGTAACGGAGTTACAGCCACCTTCATTTTCTTTGTTTGTTGATATGTTAAGATTTTTCATAACAGCTGTAGGAACAAAAGGAACTCTAAGGGGTTTCCTTTCTTCTAACTTTTGCTTATTTAAAAAATTCTTCTGCCCTTCCATTTGACGTTTTAGTAGTGCATTTTGCATAATAGCTTGAGTGTGATACGTCAGGTAATCTGGATTTGGAGTTTGCGGCTGTGGACGGATGGGTACTGGGGCATTCAGGTGCATAGGTGGTTGATTGCCAAACATTATTGGAGACGGCGCTCTCGGTGAAGAAGATTGCTGCTTTAATAGTGTCAGTGAAGGAGATTGGCAAGGAAACTGCATTGCAGCAAGGGGAGATTTAATACCCAAAGCCCCAACCGACATTACTTGTTTTTGACGCTGTTGTTGAATCATTCGAATCAACTGATTGGCATGTTGCTGCTTAAGTACTTCCATCATTATTTCTTGCCCAGCAGCAGCAGTAGGTGTTTTTGTATTATTTGAGAGCACTAACTTTTCAAATGTTGCAAAATCCATACCAGAATTCTCGTTTGCCGCTTGTGACATCCATTGTCTAATGTATTCTGGGTCCTTGTCTGGTAGTCCAGGAAATGTTTGACCGATTGGAGACCGTTCACCGTTCATTTCAACATATTGCTCTCTTTCTTCATTTTCAGGAGCAAACCATTGATGTGCACGGCTAGCGACGTTTTCATTTTCCTTGAGAACAAATACGTTTTTAGATATAATAAGTAAATTTCTCTAAAAATCGCTTACCATTAAATGCGACATGTCCATATTAAGCATATTTGAATCAAAATGCTGATCAACCTCTTTACCTCCATTTTTCATACCCTAGAATTTAAAAATGCTTATGTAACAGCTACCTTGATGCTCAACATTTCTTACCAGTGCGGATTTCAAGGCTTGTGACATAGACTCAACATTGGGAGGGAAGAACCCATTACACATTGGTTGCTTTGGAGGTTGATTTCCAGGCTTCAGGACAGATGATATAGCCGAATCATCTTGCATTGGGGATGCTGGTTTATCATCCTTTTCCTCGGACACTTCCTCATCATCATCGAAGCCTTTTAGCTCGATAACATCATTTTGACTAGTTGGAGCATTAGTAAACCATTCTGGAGCTTTCTCCGGGGTCCTAATGCGACTAATGCTGGTATCATCATATAAGTTCATATAATCGCTCTCAGAGTTGCATGATATAACTCTACCAGTTCCGTAACGTCTTTCGTTGTATCTCTTTGGGGCTTCTGAAAATTAATAGAGATAAGATTTAATTTCTAAACAATTATTAAATTACCTTTTTCAATAGGACCTTCATCAGGTTCGCTCTCTCTTTCATCGAAGCAAGCTAAGGGTTTCCAAAGTTTTCTAAATCTGTTAAATAATTATATTACGTATTAATTATTATATATTAACATATATTTTTAGTTTGTATAATATCAATAATAAATACCCTCGAGCATACTTTGGATCCAATGATACCGGCCATTTTTGTGCCAAATCACAGTCTCGTAGTTTGAGTAGTTCTTCCTAATTGAGCAATATCAAAGTTTTACACGTTAATTTTTGTGCTTTGATATTTAAAAAAAATGGTGATAAAACATGTTTCACTTACCCTGCTGTAAGATACAATTTTCTTTGGTTTGGTTTTCGCACTATTAGACTTTTTGTCTAAAGGTTTAGCATCATCCGTTCCTTCACTTTTGGCATGTCGACGCCGATTTTTAGAATTTTCTCGCTTAAGACGATTTTCTTGACTTTTTTCTTTCGACTGTTTCTTCGGTGAGCCCCCGATACCTTCTTTTTCTTGCGACTGCCGAGATTCTCTTCCTTTAGCAGATTTCGATGACTTTGGTCGAGATTTCTTCTTGCCCTCCTTCTTTGAAGGGGATTCGCATTCGTTCTTTGGAGCCGGTTCCTCGTCCATCTGTCGAAGTAATGAAATGTCTATGTGAACATTCTAACATGCCAAATTTACCTAAAAAATTGAGTACATACGGAATGCTAGCTGTAATTATTGTTCTAACTGTCGGACTGAGATCATGTTTTCTTTAGTTAATAAAAAAATACGGCAAATTGACGAGAAGTTTCTCAATTTGCTTTCAAAACAAGCACAACTACAACCAAAATGTCGTTCGAATGATGAAGGCAGGAAATTGCGCATGCGCTAAAACTTCTTCGTAAATAAATAACATATGGGCTACAAATTAAGCTGGCTCTTTAAATATTCTAATAAATTTATCCCTTTTCGTTCTATTTAAATATATTTTACGAAAATTATTGCCGATATTTATAGGCGGTGAAATAAACTTAAATTAGTTCAAAGATATTCAACTCATTTAAATATTAAATATCTCACTCAAATTCTAGAATCACTGCTCTTAAAGGAAACCATTTATATTTTGGAGTAGAGTATTCATTAATATTTATTGTCTGTTTTGTTGGGCAAATGCATTAAATTTTAATTTTAAGAAAATAAATAATAGCTAATAAATATTTTAAATAAAAACGATCGTATAAAATCTATTTTAAATATTTGGTCTCAGAGTACAAATGTATATCAGAAACATAAATATAAAGTAGTAAAATTTGTTATCTGCTTGTGCTTTAATCAAAACTTATTAATCTTTTCTTCAAGAGTCAAAAGATAGTGCCAGCTTTGATTAATAAGAGTTATCTCTCGCACTATATAATATATATAGTATATATATATACTTAATAGAAAGTATTTCTCCCAGTAAACAATTATAATATTTTAAGAAGTTAAAATAGATTATTAAAAACATTTCAACTTTCGAATGATAAAGAATGAACAAATTTAGGAACGAAATATATCTAAAAATGATAAGGACAAAAAGCTATTGATTTTTGATAATATCGAGTAGCTAGTTAGATTATAGAATAATATTTTACTTTAGATTTAGATCTAAAGTTTCTATAAATCTTGAAAATAACCAATTTTTTTAATTGTCGAATTTTTAGAGACTTACCGAAAGATGTGTAGAGTTTTTACTTATATCTATTCTATCCAGGCATAGAAACAATATCCTCACAATTCATTATAATCCGGGTAGATCAGATTTTTGATCATGTTTAAGAGAAAATCCGTGTTATATCAGCTTGTTCATAAGTATTTGAATACTTTTTCAGTTAAGAGGTACCGAGTTCGAACCGTATTAATCATTTCTGTGTAAAGCAAGTAATACGTACCCGTCTATCATCGATTGCTGCGGTGCTGCCCCAGATTTTTAAGGGACTGATGTAAATGGAATATTAGCTACATGATTGTAGCTCAACAATTTTATGCAAATTCATTAAATCTAAGCGAAATTTTTGTCGTTGTGATATACTTTTACATGAGATGCAATCATTTCGTTACGTTGTTGGATATTTCAAGGAGATTCATTAACAGGAATGTTCAATCAGCTGTGTTGGGTCATAAATTTGTCCATCGATTCC